GCGGGCGGCGCGCGCGACGGCGTTGCCTAATAGAGAAAAGTTGTCATCGTCGACGGCCGACGCGACGATCGCGCGCCGAGTAGATCGATCGCCGCGACGCGCGAATACGCGCGGACGGACGCGAGGGCGAGGACGCGGAGGAGGGCGAGGGACGCACTAGGCCGCGGTCGGCCCGTCGGACGCGTTCTTCATGACGAGGCGAGCGACGACGTGCGGTGCCCTCGCGCCGACGACGGACGTGTGTCCCGGAACGGGCCGCGGCGGAGCCGAGGAGAGGGTGCGACGGAGAAGCGCGCGGGCGGCCGAGGTTTCCCCGCGGTCGTTTCCCGCGCTCCGCGCCAGCAGGCAGAAGAGCCAGAAGAGCGGAGGTTCGGCCCGGAGCCGGAGTCCAGTCTCGAGCGTGAAAAAAAAAACTTCGACGTCAAACCTCGGCGCGCGACATCGATGGACCCCCCCCCTTCTCCGGAGACGGCGCCCGACCCCACGCCCGTCGCGGACGACGACGCCGCCCTCGGCGCGCTGCAGGGGAAGCTGCACCGGTTCGCGGTTCGGAACCACGGGTTCATCGCCGCGTTCGCGGCGTCCAAGGTGACGAAGCACGGCGACGGCGTGCTCTTCGCGTTCGCGAACGTCGGGATGGCCGATCTCCTCGCGGAAGAGGGCGACGACGACTTCCAACGCGCGCGCGACCTGGAGCGGCAGCTCGTGCTCGTCCACGGCGGGATCACGTCGAGAGCGGCTGCGGGGTGCACGATGGAGGCGCTGCGCGCGAAGATGCGCGCGGAGACGAGCGCGCTCGCGGAGCGTCTGACGACGACGACGCGCGACGGCGGCGGAGGCGGCGGCGGCGACCGCGAGTCGTTCCACCTCGTCCTCGCCGCGGGGATGGAGTACGCGACGGAGGACGTGCTGGAGGCGCTGCGGCCGCCGAAGTGGAACGGCGGCGGAGGCGGCGGAGGAGGAGGGGGCGGGAAGAAGAAGAAGGGGAGAGGGAGGAAAGCCGACGGCGGCGGCGGCGGCGGCGGCGGCGGCGGCGGCGGCGGCGGCGGGTACCCCGGGGTCGGGGGCGTGAGCGTGATGCGGCTGCAGTACGGCGACTTCCGCGCGGCGCTGACGCACGGGCTGTCGATGAACTTGCAGGACGCGCTCGACGTCGAGCTCGACCGTGAGGAGTGATGTCCTCCGTAGCGTGAATAGCGAGGGCGGCGACGTCCTGACGAAAAAAAGCGACCCAAAGCCAAACTTCGCGTTTCGTTTCGCGCGTCGCGTCGCGCCGCGCCGCCGCGCCGAGTTGTCTCCTGATGAGATCGCGCGGTCGTCGCATTGTCAACCGCGCCCGCCGTCGCCATGGGAGAGGACGCGACGCCGGAGGGCGCGGAGAAGAAGATGACGTTCGCGGAGCGCAGGGAGGCTGCGCGTCTTCGAGAGAAGGAGGAGCGGAGCGCGGCCGAGGGCGCGCCCGCGTCGGCGTCCGGCGGAAAGAGCGGAGGATTTAAGATTCCGAAGATCGAACACGGCAGCGCGGGCGGCGGCGAGGGCGACCGATCGAAGCGCGGCCGCGACCGCTCGCGCTCGCGCTCGCGCTCGCGCTCGCGCGACCGCAAGAAGCACCGCAGCCGTCGCGGACGCAGCGCGAGCCGCAGCGCGTCGCGCTCGTCGCGCTCGTCGTCGTCGTCGTCGTCGTCGTCGCGACGCGCGCGCAAACATCGAAAACATCATCGCTCCAGCGATCGCAAGTCCTCCGATCGCAAGAAGAAACGCCGCTCGTCGCACGGAGACGACCGCGACCGCGACGGAGCCCGAGCCACCGGCTTCAGCGCGCCGCACGACGCCGCGCTGTCGATGAACCCCGCGCTGGCGTCCATGGCTGCCATGGTGGCGCGAGATCGCGTCCGCGCCGCCGCCGCCGCCGCGGACTCGGCGGGCGGCGGCGGCGACCGCGACCGCGACCGCGGCGGCGATCCGAGGTACGGGATGGGCGCGGGAGGCGGCGGCGACCGCGACCGCGGCGATCGCGGAGGAGGAGCGCCGACGGACCCGAGGCGGACGGGCGCGGCGGGCGGCGGCGACCGCGGAGGAGGAGCGCCGAACGAAGGGAACAACGCCGGGGGGGCCCGCGACGGCGGCGAGCTCGCGGCGGACATCGAGATGATGAAGCGCATCTCGGACGCCGCGAAAGCGGTCGCGTCGAGAGCCGCGGAGGAGCTCGGGATAACGAACGTCCCGCCGCCGCCGGGGATGGGGCCGGGGCCGGGGGCGGGAAGCGACTTCACGCTCCACGGGACGAATTTGGGTGGCGGATACGCCGACGCCGGATCGGGGATCGGATCGGGAACGGGCGCGGGCGCGGCGGAGGATTCTCTCCGATTCCACCCGTCCATGGAGGGCAGACTGATCGGCAAAGGCGGGTCGATGATCATGGAGCTTCAGACGGTGCACGCGGTCAAGTTGAACGTCGTGCGAGGCGAGGGATTGGTTCAAATCTCCGGCGCCGCGCTCAATATTCAACGCGCCAAAATCGCGATCGAACGGCTCTGCGCCCCCGACGCCGCCGCGCTGGGGTCCGGGCCAGGGGCGGCGGACGCGCCCGGGTACATCACCGAGGTGGTCGACATCGGCGGGCACATGGAGGGCCGCGTCATCGGCTCGGGCGGGGGCACGATTCGCGACATCGAGGCGCGGTCGGGCGCGAGCGTCAAGGCGCGTCCTCCTATTTCTGACTGCTCCCCATACGACCGCGTCGGCGTTGTGAACGCCGATCCTCGAGGACTTTTCCACCCGGCGCATCTCTCCGCCCAGGGTCCCTCGCTCACAATCCCGACGCGCCTCGACGCCTTTCAACTCCGCTTCTGACGCCTTTCAACTCCACCCCGACGTCGCTTTGAATGGACCCTCCCTCGACCGTCAAGGTGCAAAAGGGCGCGGGGACGTGCACCATCGGCGGCTTCGACCGCGCCAAAGTGGACGCCGCGCGCGCGATGGTGGACGCGATCATCGCGCAGCACGGCGGCGCGCACGGCTCTCTTGGTGTGCCCGGGCCCGGCGGCGTCGTCGAGAGGGTCCACGTCCCGCGCAGGGGCGGGCTGATCGTCGGCCCGCAGGGGGTGAACATCAAGCGGATGAAGGAGGAGTCCGGCGCGGACATGCGGATGGTGCGCGAGACGGAGGAGGTTGTCATCACGGGGCTGCCGGACCGCGTCGAGACCGCGGTGAAGCTCGTGAAGGAGCTCCTCGCGACGATGCCGTACAAGCCGCACGAGCCGGGGTACGTACCGGGCGGCGGAGGCGGCGGGGATCGAACCGGCGGCGCGGGCGGGATTGGCGGCGGCGGGTACCCGCCCGTCGTCGACGAGGTCGAAGAGCGCGTCCCGTGCCCGTTTCTCGCTGGCGTCGTCATCGGCCCCGCGGGGGCGAAGATACGAGAGCTGTCTCAGACGCACGGCGCGAAGTTGTTCGTCCGCGGCGGTCACAAAGAGCAGCCGGACGGCGCGAAAGGGCAGGAGGTGTGCGTGATCAGCGGGCGACGCGAGTGCGTCGACGCCGCGAAAGCCGCGGTGGAGGCGCTGCTCGCGGAGAAGCGCGCGGGCGGGATGGGCGGAGGCGGGATGGGCGGCGGCGGCGCGGGCGGCGGGGCGGCGTCGTACGGCGGGGCGGCGACCGCCGCGGGGGGGTACGGGATGCCGGGGCAGTATCCCGCCGCGGGGCCCGGCTACCCGGGCGGCTACCCGGGGATGATGCCTCCTCCCGGGATGATGCCTCCTCCCGGGATGATGCCTCCCGGGATGGGGGGCTACCCGGGGATGATGCCGCCGCCGCCGTTCGGTGGCATGCCGGGGGGGTTCCCCGATCCGTACGCGGCGCATTACGCCGCGGCCGCCGCCGCCGCGGGCGCCGCGGGCGCGGGCGCGGGCGCGGAGGAGGAGGCGCCGGGCGCGGAGGCGGCGCCGGGAGGAGTCCAGGACCCCGCGCTGGCGGCGATGCACGCGGAGATGCTCGGCGAGCTCGGGATCCAGTCCGCGTCGGCGGTCGGCGCGCCGCCGCCGCCGCCGGGAGGGCCGAGCATCCCGAGCGCGGCGGACGTGGGCGCGCCGCCGCCGCCGCCGCCGCCGCCGTGAGACGACGAATAGTAATCGATTCGATACATCACGATCCAACCGTCGCTCGACCCGCCGGCGTCCCATCGCGTAGTATGATACCGTCCATCGCGCCGCGTCGATCGATCGCTCACTTCTTCTTCTCCTCCTTCTTCTCCTCCTCCGCGCGCGGGCACCCCATCTCGCACAGCGCGGACACGAGCCCGAGGTCGGCCTCGACGCCGCGTTCGAAGATCTGTCTGATGACGCCAATCTCCGCGGCTTCGACGTCGCGCTTGATCCAATCCCCCTTCTGATCGATCGAGTTCCCGCCGCCGTCGACTTGCGTGTACAGGTAGATGTCCTCCAACCGCTCCGCGAGCAGACGCGACCGCGCGATATCCCACGACACCTGGTACGGGTTCGCCTGCGGCCTCGACCGTCGTATGATCGCGTGCGCGTCCTCGTAGGACATGCCCTGAGGGTCGAAAGGCGTCGGGGGCGGAGTCGAAAGGCGTCAGGGGTGGAGTTGATAGGCGTCGCGGTGTGTCGGGGATCGAAAGCGAGGGGGGGCGGGCGGAGAGATACAAACGCGGGAAGGGAAGAAAGTCCTTAAGGATCGGCGTTCACGACGCCGACGCGGTCGTACGGGAACGGCGTCATACTAGCTAGGGGACGCGCCTTACAAAACGTGAGGTATCCGAGCACCGTGAGCGACGCGCGATTGATTCCCGCGGTGCAGTGCACGTACGTCCGCTTCCCCATGGCCTGAAACAGCGCGAGCTTTCGAACCATCTCCGGGAGCATCTTCGCCTGGTCGAGCCGGTCGAAGTCGCGCACGGCGACGCGGACGATGGGGACGTCGCGGTCCAACGCGCGGCGTCGAATGGGTTCCCAGTCGATCTCGAGCGCGCCGTGGCACAGCGTGCACTGCAGGCAGATGATGGCCTCGACGCCGCCCTCGTCGATGAGGCGGTCGACATCCGCGGGCGAGCGCGGGCACGAGCCGATGACGAGCTTCGACGACGCCAGCTGCGCGTCGGTCGGGGACTCGATCGCGGCGGGCGGCGACGCGGACGCGTCGAACACGACGGGGTCCCAGTTCAGCGTCCACTCCCACCGTCCGCCCGTCGGCGGCGGGTCGCCCCCGCGCGGCGGGCGGATCTCGTTCTCCTTGACGCCCGCGGCCTCGGACTCTTCCTTTCGCTTGTCGTACGCCGACTCCTCGGACTTCATCGCCTCGTCCGCGTCGGAGGACGCCACGGCGCGGAGGATCGGGGCGATCGCCGATCGTCCCGCGGAACGGCGGCGATTCAACATCGTCCTTCTCGCGACCGCGGAGCCGCGCGCGACGGACGAGGAGGACGACGCGCGGGCGAATCGCGCGCGCGCGCGAGGCGGCGCGGGCGCGACGCGCGATGCTGCGTGGATGACGGACGCCATGAAGACGGCGGCGGCGATGCGGCGTGAGGGCGGCGGACGGGGAATGGAGGCGACGACAGGATTTATGTACTTTTCGGATCTGGTCGGATTCGCCCGTTGATGGATGAGTTCTCGTCTTCGCGCGGGGCGACGTCCGCGCGCACACCGCGCCGCGCCGCGCGTCATGGGGAAGAAAGGCGACCGCCGCGCGAGGGCGCCCGCGACGGACGGCGGCGAGACGTCCGAGGCGTCCGCGGAGCCGGAGCCGGAGCCTCCCGCGGGGATGGGCGCGTTCGAGCGCGAGTACGAGGCGAGATTAGGCGACGGGGATGCGGAGGAGCAGAAGCGGCAGCGTTCGGAGACGACGACGACGACGACGACGACGACGACGCGGCCCGCGTCGGACGACGCGCGCGCGGACGACGCCGAGGTGCATACCGGCGGCGTCATCCTCAGGCTGAACGCGAAGCTCAAGGCGGCGAACGCGGAGCGCGACGCGATGAAGAGGGCGCACGACGCGATGGCGAGAGACCTCGAGGCGCGTCGCGTCGATCCTTCCGCCGCCCGCGCAGCCGGGCGCCATTTAACAACGAATCGAGCTCACTCGCTCACTCGTCCACATCCCTCCCTCTCTCCTTCCTCCCCCGTCCACCACCGCGCAACGCAGGCGGCGGGAAACGAGATCGAGCGCCTGACGCGCGAGCTGTCGACCGCCAAACGCGCGCCGCCGCCCTCGCCGTCGCCGCTCGAGCGTCGCGCGAGGGAGGCGGATGCCTCCGCGGCGGCGGCGAAGGCGGCGGCGGCGGAGGCGCGCGCCGCGCTCGCGCGCGCGCAGATATCGACCCGAGCGATGAAGGACGACCTCGACGCCGCGACGCGCGATCGCGCCGCGGCCGAGCGCGTCGCGGCGGCGGCGAAAGACGAGCTCGCGGTCGCGGCGAAAGACCTCGCGCGGCTGCGCCTCGCGCTCGCCGCGCGAGGCAACGTCGAGGCGAAAGGCGCGTTCTATTACCACACCGGTCCCCATACGACCGCGTCGGCGTGGTGCACGCCGACCCTTAAGGAGTTTCCCCGGCGCATCTCTCCGCCCAGAGTCCCTCGCTTTCAATCCCGACACACCTCGACGCCTTTCGACTCCGCTTCTGACGCCTTTCAACTCCGCCCCGACGTTCTCGCTCGTACGGACCGACCCGAAAGCCGCCGCGGTGATGGACGACGCCGCGAAGAGGCTCGCCGCGGCGGAGCACCGCGCGATCGCGAAGGGCGACGAAATAGCGGCGAGCGTCGCGCGCGAGGCGCTGAGCGCGGCGAGCGAGAGCCGAGACGCGATCGCGAAGGACATCGCGCCCGCGGAGGAGACGTTGGCGCGCGTGAGAAGAGACTTTTCAGACGCCAAGGCTAAGGTGCGTTCTATACACTGGTCCCCATACGACCGCGTTGGCGTGGTGAACGCCGTTCCTTAAGGACTTTTCCCGGCGCATCTCTCCGCCCACCTCTCGCTTTCAATCCCCGCTCTCGACGCCTTTCAACTCCAACTGACGCCTTACAACTCCACCCCGCCATCGCTTTGTATGGAACGACCCTAAAAGTGGGACGCGGAACGCGTCGCGACGACGGGAGCGCTGGAGAAGGCGCAGAAAGAGCACAGCGCGCGAATCCTCGAGCTCGAGAAGACGTGGCAGATGCGGCTGACCGAGGAGGTCCAGCGAGCGACGCGGACGGCGAACGAGCGCGCGCGCGTGAGTGCGACGGACGCCGCGACGAGCGCCGCGAAAGCCGCCGGGTACGACGCGGTGAAGAGCGAACGCGACGAGCTCTTGAGAGGGATGACGCCGCTGGAGATGGCGGCCAGGGACGTCGCGCGCGTGAACGCGAAGCTCACGCAGAAGCTCGTGGACGTGCGGTACCTCGCGGCGTCGCTGACGTACGACCGCGAGGAGGAGGAGGAAGAGGAGGCCGACGCGCGCCGCAGGAATAGCGTCAATAGCGTCGCGTCGCCGCCGCCGCCGTCGACGACGACGACGCGTCGGATCTCCGCGTCGTCCGCGCTGGGGATGGACGACACGCACGCGCGGAGCGTCGTGAAGTCGACGTCGAGCGGGTACATGACGACGACCGTCGTCGCGAAGAAGAAGATCGCGACGGCGCCGCCGCCGGCGCTTCGTCGTCGCGCGCCGACGCCGACGCCGACGCTCGCGCGCCCCCGACTCGCGTCCGCGTCCGCGGACCGCCCGCGCGTGGGCTCCGCCGCGAGCTGGGGCGCCGGTCCGTCGACGACGCCGCCCGCGGCGACGTCGAGCCGCCGCGGCGACGTCAAGCCCGGCGTCGGGCTGTCGAAGCGCGCGCCCGTTCGCGTCGCGTCGCTCGCGCCGCCGTCGGCGTCGTCGCGGCGTCGCCAGCCGCCGCCGCCCTCCGCGGGCGACGACGGCCTCCGTCGCGCGCGCTTCAACCGCAAGCCCGGCATCCCGAGCACGAGTACCCGGGGCGGGATGGGCACGAGCGTGAGCGCGACGGGCGGGGGGTTCGAGTACGCGTCCGCGAAGACGTACGGCGCGTCGCCGGGGGCGCAGGTGAAATCCGTCTACGGATCCGGATCCGCGGCGGGGCCGCGCCGGGCCGACCTCGCGCGCTTCGACGCGCTCGAGCTCGACGGCGACACCCCGCCGCGCGCGCCCGCGGAGAAGAACATCGTCCCGAACATCCGCCCGCCGCCTGAGGTGGATCCCGGGCCCGGGGGGGGGGACCCGGGGATGCGACGACTGGACGCGAGTCTGAGGGGCGAGTTCGACGCGTTGCGCGCGGAGTACGGCGACTTGCTGAGAAAGGCGACGAGCGGCGGGGCGGGCGTCGGGGACCTCGCGCGGAGTTTAGAGGACGTCATCGCGCGGCTCGAGGAGAAGTCCGCGCAGATCGCGGGGTTGCAGCGCATACGATGAGAGGAGCGTTCTAGTCTAGTTTCTATAAGATATCGAGTCCACCCATCTTCTCGAAGTCCACTCGTCTTCGAGTCCACCCATCTCCGTCGTCGTCGTCACTGCGTCGTCATCGGCAGTCGAAAATCGCCGGCGGGAGCTTCTTCGCGTCCCTCGGGTCCACGCACTCACTCGGAACCGCCGCCGCGGCGCACCACACGCACGGGGGCTTGCACGACCGCTGCGTCGTCTTCGCCGCGCACTCCCCCCCCGGAGCCGGCGCGGTGATCGACGTGGACGCGTCGCGGCCTCGAGGCGCGAGCGCGGCGGCCGGCGTCGCCGCGAGGAGGAGGCAGACCATCGCGGCGAGGAGCGCCGCGAGGAACGCGGACGGCGAACGTCGCGACATCGATCGGTGTGTCGCTTGGCACGGCAGGTGTGTCGCTTGGCACGGCAGGTTGGCACGGCATCCTGTCGTGAAAACCAAATACGCTTCGTACGAGGTAAAGTGTTGCGAGCGCGCTCATCGTTCAGTTTCATCGGCACGTCGGCACGTTCATCGGCACTTCGAGAGTGAACCGTCGCCGGTTTCATCGGCGCTCAGGGAAAAATATCGGCGTCGAGTCTGCGTTCATCGAGCGACGCTCCCGCACGGCGAGTGCCACGCGGCGCATCGCGATTTGGGCGGGAAATTAAAAAGCGCCCGGACACCTTCGACCGTCGCGCGCGCACACCACGCCGCGCACACCACGCCGCGCACGCACGCATCCGCTCATCAATGAGCACCGCCGCCGCCGCCTCTCGACTCTCCTGCGCCCGCGCGCTCACGCCCTCGCGCGTCGCCCTCGACGCGTCGTCGCCGCCGCCGAATCGCGGCGTCCTCGCGCCGGCGCGGCGCCGAGGCCGCGCCCTCCTCGCGGGATCCCCGACGCGCGCGCTCGCGTCCACGCCGCGCTGGAACGTCTCGTCCACCGCGATAAGTAAGATGAGCAGCTCGAGGACGATCGTGAACGATCACTACAGCTTCGGCCCGCTGGACATCCCGCGATCGCAGGTGTTCGCGGAGACGCCGCTTTCGTACGGCATCGTCAACCTCAAGCCGGTCGTGCCGGGGCACGTCCTCGTCGTGACGCGACGGATCATCAAGCGGTTCGAGAGCCTCACCGAGGACGAGCTCGTGGACGTGTGGACGCTCGCGAAGAAGGTGGGGTCCGCGCTGGAGAAGCACCACGGCGCGACGTCGCTGACGTACGCGATCCAGGACGGCCCGAGCGCGGGGCAGACGATCCCGCACGTGCACATACACGTCCTGCCGAGGAGAGACGGCGATTTCGAAAACAACGACGAGGTGCGTTCTACACACTGGTCCCCATACGACCGCGTTGGCGAGGTGGACGCCGATCCTTAAGGACTTTGCCCGTCGTCTCTCTCCTCCCATCCCTTGCGTTCAATCCCCGTCCTCGACGCCTTTCAACGCCATCTGACGCCTTTCAACTCCACCCCGCCTTCCAACTCCACCCCGAAAACAACGACGAGGTGTACGACGCGGTCGACGCGAGCGAGAGGGCGATCGGGGGGGGCGGGGAGCGGCTGAACTTGGACGCGGAGCGGGTGATCCGGACGCCGGAGGAGATGGCGGCGGAGGCGGCGACGATCCGGAAGCTGCTGTTCAACAACGGGGTCAACCCGAACGCGCGCTGACGCTGATGTGAGGATGACCGACGGAGTCGTCGCGGGCGAGCGGCTGGGAGCGACGACTGGACGAGAGAATAATAAGACAGGAAGCGACTTCGAAGAAGTCAGGGGGGACGGAGGCGAGGAGGACGGACGGACGGACGGACGCCGACCGCGGTGCGAACGATATTACGCACCGCGCGAGCGGCCCGGTCGATCGCGATGGCGCCGCGGCGCCTCCTTGTATAAGACGAAAGCACGTTATCAACACCGCTGTCTGTACTACCCGAGCATGGACTCCAAGTCGATGTCCGCGGCGGTGATCTTTTTCGCGCCGAGCTTCATCGGCTTCGGCTTGGCGGACGACGACCCCCGGAGATCCCCGCGCGTTGCCCCCCCTCGTCCTCCGATGGTCACGTGCCCAGTCGCGTCCGTCCGTCGCGCGGGCGGCGGGCGCCGCGCGACCGGCGCAGCCTGCGCGGGCGCTGGGGCGAACAGGTCGTCGTCGTCGCCGTCGCCCCAACCGCCGCCGTCGCCGCCGCCGTCGCCGCCCGCGTCGCCCCAGCCGTCGTCGTCGTCCGCCGCCGCCGCGAACCGGTTCGGCTTCGAAACCGCCGCGCTCGGCGCGTTACTCCTCCCGACCCCGCCCAGACCGGACAACCGCTGCCGCGCGGCGAGCTCCTCCGCGTCCTCGCCGAAGTCGTCGTCGTCCATGTCGCCCCACCCGTCGTCGTCGTCGTCGTTCGCCGTCGCGCCGCCCCCCGCCGCCTTCGGCGACGGCGGCGGCGAATCCCACTTGGACGCCGCCGCGGACGCCGCGGACGCGGACGCGCCGCCGTATCCTCCGCGCGACTTCGCCGGCGTCGTCTCGCGGCTCGCCGTCGGCGTGTACGACTCGCCGTACAACCGCGGCGGCGGCGCCGCGGACGAGAACGCCTTCGCGGACATGTCCACCCCGCGCGCGGCGGCTTCCTCCTCCGCGCTCTTCTCCCGCGACTTGTAACTCTTGGAGTCGCTTTCGCCGCCGCCGACGCCGCCGGATATGCGCTTCGCCGCGGCGTCCACGGCCCACTTCAACAGCCCGCCCTTGGGTTTCGGCGCGCCCGCGCGCTCCGCCTCCGCGGCGAGCAGCGCCGCCGCCGCCTCCGGCCCGCGCTCCAACCGCGCGCTGTGCTTCTTTAACACGTCGACGAACGCCTCGAGGCACTCGAACGCGTTCTTTCGAACGTCGTTATCCGGATCCGCGCACAGCGGCGCGACGGACGGGACGACGCGGCCGGCGCACTCGCCAGGGTCGTAATACGCGATCGTCGCCACGAGCGCCATGACACCCGCGACGCGCGCGGGAGGGAACGGGTCACGCAGCGCTCTGGTGAAGGCGTTGAGGAGGACCCTCTTCGCGGTCGTCTCGGAGAGGTACCCGGCGACGTTGCCGAGGAGGATCGTCGTGTTGGCGCGAATCGCCGGCTCGACGTCCGTCTGCAGCTTGCTCAGATGCTTCAGCATTCCCTGGTGCGATCGCTGCGAGAGCTTCGAGGCGAACAGGAGCGTGGACTTGAGCGTGAGCTCGCGGAGGTACGGCTCCTCGTCCGCGAACCCGGTCTGCGTCGCCGGCCACACCGTCTCGTCCACCACCTTCTCCGGGAGGTGCTCCGCGAACGCGTGCAAGTTTTCCAACAGCGCCATCCGCACCGTCTTGTCCGCGCTCGAGGTGAACAGCTTGACGATGGTGGGCGTGACGCGCGCCGCGAACGTCTCCGCGTCGAGCCCCTTCGCCGCGTGCAGCATCGGATGGACCGCGAGCGCGGGCGCGCTGCCGAACACGAGCGCCTCGGCGACTTGCGGAAGAATTTTTCGCTCCACGCACGGCTTGGCGAGAGACTCCAGCACGCGCGGGAGGTGCCGGAAGAACTGTTCCTTCTCGATCGCGTCCTTGAGCGAGAGGTTATCCAGAAACGTCGTCGTCTCCACGAGCTTGTTCGCGAACAGCGCGGAGTTATCGACGAGTTTCTTCGGGTTATACCGCCGCGCCGGCTGAGACCCGAGGAGCTTTTGGTAATCCTTGAGCAGCGCCGGCGGGATGCGACTCGTCTCTCGCAGCTGATCCGTGCGCTGCAGCGGCTCGCCCCTGTACACCTCCTGTATCAGGCACCCCAACCCCCACGCGTCGATCGCCCACGGCGGGCCCTCCGGCACGCTCGCCCAGTCCCCCCTGCGGTACTCCTCCGGCTTGTACTGATCCGGCACCGCGAAGCTCGAGTGCACGATGCGCGCGTCGCCGTTCGTCCCACGTCCGACGGACGCGAGCTCGCTCACGAGGTCGAACCCGGAGAGCTTCCAATCGAGCCTGTCGGTCACGACGACCGCCGCCGCGCTCACGCCGCCGTGCACGAGCGCGCAGTCGTTGGAGAGGAACGACACCGCGGTCGCGATCTGACGCAGCCCGAGCGCGAAGTAATCGTCTCGCATCTGATGAGGGTCGTTCCGTACGAAGCGATGATATCGGGGTGGAGTTGAAAGGCGTCAGAAGCGGAGTTGAAAGGCGTCGAGGTGTGTCGGGATTGAAAGCGATGGACCCTGGGCGGAGAGAAGCGCCGGGCGAAGTCCTTAAGGATCGGCGTTCACCACGCCGACGCGGTCGTATGGAGACCAGTGTGAGATAGAACGCGCCTGATCCGTGGACGTCGGGAGGTCGCGCAGGTGCTCCGTCAGCGGCGTCACCGCCTCCGTGACGACGTAGATGGTGAGCTCCGGCCCGTTCTCGACCTCGAGCGAGTCCTTCACGAGCAGCACGCACGGGTGCCGGATGAGCTTAAGGCGTTTCGCGCCGTTCCGCGCGGTCGCGATCCGCACTCGGTCTTGATCCACGTTGCCCACGAACTTGAACACGGACACCGCGGATCCGTCCTCCTTGCTGACGCCGCGGTAGTGCGTCCACGGCCCGAACGCGCCGGCGCGGTACGGCTCGCCGAGGTCGTAGTTCAGCTTCGGGCCGCTCTGCCCGAAGAGGTTGCCGATGCTCCCGAAGGAGACGTTGTTGAACATGGCGCGTGGGTCAGCGACAAGATCGCTTCCCGCTGCTCTCCGCTCGTTCTCGCGCTGGCGAGCGGGCGCCGACTCTGAGTCTCTCGATCGATCGCGGCGCGGGCGCGGGCGCGGACGCGCGGCGTCGAGGGGCCGCGGCGAGGGACGCGCGCGAGGGGCCGCGGCGCGCTTCGGCGGACGCGAGGGAGACGCGCGGGAGCGCCGAGGACGCGCGCGTCGGCGGTGAGCCGCGCGGCCGTGCGATGTGCCGCGCGGAGGCGCCTTCGAGCGCGCGGCGGAGTCGAACGTTCGGCGCGGCGTCCGCGGCTGGGTCGGTCGTCGTCCGAACTCATCGCGAGGCCGTTCAAAAGTCGGCGAAGCAACCGCCAACTCTCCACGCTCGGCGCCGACAGTTCCGACCGCGCGCGACGGCGACGACGCGTGCGCGCGAACCACCGGCGACGGCATCCGCGGCCGCGCGGCGCTCGACGACGGCGACGGACGCGAGACGCGGGCGGGCGTTCGAAGGACGGACGGACGAACGAACGACGACGACGACGACAAACGTTCGTTCGCGACGACGATGAGCCCGCCGAAGGGCACTACTAAGATCCCGTCCTCGTACATCCGCGAGAGCCTCCTCAACGACGGGACGACGAAGTATCACGTCCGCGCGTACGACGCGGTCGAGCGCAAGGCTGTCGCGATCGGGACGTACGCGACGATGACGGAGGCGGAGCGCGCGTTCGCGGCCGCGACGGAGCCGGGAGGACGGCTCGCGAGAGACGACGCGATGCCGGGCTGGGGCGCTTCACCGATCGCCGCGGCGAAGGAGGAGCCGAGCGTCCCCGCGGCGCCGAGGGCGGCGATCGTCGCGCCCGCGGCGCCGCCCGAGCGATGGATCCCGGCGTTCGCTCCCGCGCCCGCGCCGGTTCAAGTCGCGCCGGCGAAGACCGAGGCGCCGTCAGCCTCCGCGCTCGCCGCCGCCGAGCTCGCCGCCCCGCCCGCGGTCGCGCCGCTGCGCTTCGTGATGAAGCCGCCGCCGCCGGTGGAGCAGCCCCCCGCGGCGCCGGCGCCGACGCTCAAGTTCGTGATCAAACCGCCGCGGTCGCCGCCGCCGGAGGAGGACGGCGAGAAGAAAGCGGCGGCGGCGACGACGGCGGCGGCGGCGGAGGGAGAAACCGAAAACGCCGCCGCCGCCGCGGACGCGAAACCGGACGCCGCGATGGACGCCGCGCGCGAAAACCCGGAGAGGTACCAGGGCACGGCGACGACGAACGAGTGGAAGCGCCCGCCGCTGAGCGAGTGTTCCCCGGAAGACTTCATGCTCGATTTTTTCCGCTTCCACGAGTCGCGCGGCGACGACTGGGAGATCGTCTGGGACATCCTCGACAACGCGCTGCGACGCAGCGGGCGCCCGCACGACACGTTGGGCCTGTACAGACAGGTGTGCGCGCGAGGCGGGTTCATCAGCCGCGAGAGCGCCAAGGCGCGCATAAAAATGCCAGAAGTCTTCGGCCACCTCTTCAACTACTGGATCGGACACACGTACACGGACATCGGAAACAACCTCCTGAACGTGTACGAAAGGTATTTCCTCCCGTACGAGGTCGCGCACCCGGAGGACACCCCCGAGCAGACGACACCGTGCGTCGCGTGCGCGCGCGTCGTCCACGCCGGGGGCGACGCCGTCCCGATGTACGCGCAGTCGACGTGGATCGAGTGCGACGCGTGCGGCGAGCGCAGGCACGAGTGCTGCGCGTCGCGGGACGATCACGTCAGGAGCGCGGAGCGCGACGGCGGGAGAGCGACGTCGTACGTGTGCGAGAAGTGCGCGCCCGATCCGGGTCCGGGGACGAGCTCGACCGTCGGCGTGGAGCTCTCGATCGCGGGCGAACGCGTCGTCGTGCGCGCGGTGGAGTCTCCCGGCGGCGGCGGCGGCGGCGGCGGCGGCGGCGACGTCGCGGCGGCGGCGAAACGGAAACGCGACGCCGCGGACAAGGCGGCGAGGGCGAAGATGGACGAGCACTTCGAGCGGTACCTCGCGATGCAGCGTCGGCGCGGGCGCGCGTACGACGCGAACCACGTGCGGCCGGTGCGAGCGGAGCTGCCCGGATTGCCGATATCGAAAAAGTTCGACAAGGGACCCGGCGCGGGCGGAGGATCGGGCGCGGGGGGCGGAGACGCGGGGGGCGCCGCGCCCGGTCGTTTGCCCGGGCTCGGGCTGCTTCACCACGCCCAGGGCGTCGGCGGGTATTCGGGCGTGCTCAGCATGTTGAAGCCCGCGCAGTGACGACGACGACGGACGGACGGACGGACGGACGAGCGAAACGATGTAGGATTCCGCTGATGATGTTACAACCGGTGAGACGAATCGAATCGAAATCGAAATCGATCACAGCACGAACCGACTGAGGTCCGTCTTCTTCAGGAGCTCGCCGATGGCGTCGTCCACGTCCTTGACGTCGATGACCACCTTCAACCGCGCGTCCTCGCCCTCCGCCTCCCTCGTCTTCCTCACCCTCTCCGGCGCCGCGAACGAGACGTCCTCCACGATCTTCTCGAGCACCGTGTGCAGCCGCCTCGCGCCGATGTTGTCCACGGTGCGGTTCACCTCCGCGCTGATGTCCGCGATGTGCGCGATCGCGGCGTCCGTGAACGACAGGTCCACGCCCTCGGTCTCGAGCAGCGCCTTCTGCTGCTTGATCACGTTCGTCTCCGGCTCGGTGAGGATGCGGAGGAGGTCCTCTTTCGTGAGGCCCTTGAGTTCCACCTTGATCGGCAGGCGGCCTTGGAGCTCCGCGAGCATGTCCGAGGGCTTGCACTGATGAAACGCGCCGCTCGCGATGAATAAGATCTGATCCGTGTTGACGTTCCCGTGCTTCGTCTGCACGACGCTGCCCTCGATGATCGGGAGTAAATCCCTCTGGACGCCCTCCGAGGACGCGTCCGCGCCGTGCCGGTAATCGTTCGACGAGACGATCTTAGGGTCGAGGGTCCATACGAGCGAACGTCGGGGTGGAGTTGAAAGGCGTCAGGGGTGGAGTTGAAAGGCGCCGAGGTGTGTCGGGATCGAAAGCAGCGAGGGGTGGGCGGAGAGATGCGCCCGCCGGGAGAGAAAGTCCTTAAGGATCGGCGTTAACCGCGCCGACGCGGTCGTACGGGGACCGGTGTGGGAATAGAACGCGCCTTGTCGATCTCGTCCAGAAAGACGATCCCGTCGTTCTCCGTCGCGCTGAGCGCCTCCTTCACCACGGTGTCGCTGTTGATGAGACGCTCGTACTCCATCTCTTCGATGACCGGGCGGCACTCCGCGACGGTCATCCTCTTCTTCGTCGTGCTCCCCTTCCCGCTCTTGCCTCTCACCCCTTCGTTGAGGAACTTATTCAGCGAGATGACAACCTCCCTCGGCGGGACCATCCCCGAGAGCACGTCCCCGGGGCCGCCGCCCGCGTTGTCCGGGAGCTCGAGCTCGATCGTCCGTCCGTCCAGCCTCCCTTCGCGGTACATCGACAGGAACGCCTCGCGCGTGGCGTCGCCGCTGGTCTCGCCGCACATGAACTCCACGACCTTGTTCTCCACGATGGCGTCCACCTCGGATTGAAACTTCGTCCGCAGCTTCGCGCGCGTGATGTGCACGGCGTTGTCGACCAGGTCCTTGATGATCTGATCCACGTCGCGGCCGTGGAAGCCCACCTCCGTGAACTTCGTCGCTTCCACCTTGACGAACGGCGCGTCCGTGATCTTCGCGAGGCGCCGCGCGATCTCGGTCTTGCCGCACCCCGTGGGACCGATCATGAGGATGTTTTTGGGGACGATCTCGTCGCGAAGCGACGGGTCGACGCGGTGGCGACGCCAGCGGTTCCTGAGCGCGACCGCGCACGCGCGCTTCGCGTCCGCCTGGCCGACGATGAACTTATCAAGGAGTTCCACGGTCTTCGCCGGGGTGAGGCCGTCCGTGCCGCTGAGCGCGGCGCGGAATTGCTCCGCGAGCGGCACCGCTTTGTTTTTCCTCCCTTCGGGCGGCGACGCGCGGCCGGATCCGCCTCCGGGCGTCGCGGTGGGCGGCGGCGGCGGCGGCGGCGGAGGCGTCTTCGTCGGCTCCACCCCCGCGGCGGCGTCGACGACGGACGGCGCCGGCGCCGCGGCGGCGCGCGCGGCGAACCCGCGCGCGAGCGACGGCGCGCGGCGCACCGGCGCGGCGGCGGCGACGGGTCGTCGCGTCGGGTTCGAGAATGTTAGCAGCAGCGCGAGGGTCGACGAGGACGACGACGTCGACGCGCTCGCGCGGACGCGAGATCCGCCGCCGCTCGCGGCGGCCCGCGCCGCTCGGCGAGCGACCGAGATCGCCATGGTTCGTGCGAAGCCGCGGGCGGTGTGTCGCGGCGGACGCGCGGCGTGGGAGTGACGCGTCGTGGGCGCGCGAGATCGACGTCACCGCGGAGTCGCCGGCGGTCAGCGACGCCAAACGGACTCGCACTCGTCCGTGCCAGCAGCGAGACAACCGTTACGCGGTGGCGTCACAACGCGCCCGCCATGCGCAGCCGCCCCACGTACGGCGACGGCGTCCTCGCGGAGCCCCCGCACGCGTCGCGCCTCCTCTCCGCGGACGCGCATCGAAAACCCTCGCGCGTGACGTGGCGAATCGTCCGCCGCTTCCTCACGTTCGCCGCCGCGCTCGTCCTCCTCTGGGTCGCGAAGGTCCATCGAGAGCGAGCGGTGAAAGCGACGCGGCGCGGCGCCGGCGCCGCGAAGATGTTCCCGACCCGGCCGCGGCGGCCCAAGCCGACGCTGACGGAGGCGTCGAAGGCGGCGCGGGAGGCGGACACCGAGCTGAACCGCGCGTTGGCGCACACGGAGGCGCTGCGGAGGGCGCGGAGCGAGGGAACCGCGGCGCGCGTGAATCGCTTGCCCGCTGAGGACGAGGGGACTTGATGCGTGAAGAGGCAAGAGGCGTCTCTGGCGCGATCGCACGTTCACTGTCGCGCGCGCGCGGCCCAGCCGCGACGATGACGTCGACGTCCCGATCGACGACGCGCGCCGTCTTCGCCGCGCGACGCCTCCCGCTCCTCGCCGCGACCGCGGCGGCGGCGGCGATCGTCCTCCTCCTCGCGGCGACGCCCGCGCGCGCGTCCGAAGGGGACGCGGGAGGATCATCGCGGCCGCCCGTCAACCTCCTCGGCGTGCACCCGTCGCTCCTCGCGTCGTATCGCGCGTCCGATCGCTTCTCGTGCGACGACGGACGCGTCGTCTTGGACCCGTCGAAGATCAACGACGAGTACTGCGACTGCGCGGACGGCATGGACGAGCCCGGGACGTCCGCGTGCGCTAACGGGCGCTTCCACTGCCGCAACCGCGGCGGCGAGCCGAAAGATCTGCCGTCGTCGCGCGTCAACGACGGCGTGTGCGACTGCTGCGACGGCAGCGACGAGGTCGGGCGCGTTGGCGGCGTCCGGTGCGAGAAGACGTGCGCGGCCGCGGGGAGGAAGCGCCGCGCGGAGCTCCTCGAGCGTCTGAAGCTCGCCAAGGGCGGCGTCGCGAAGAGGCGCGCGGCGATCGCGGCAGCGCCCGCGGCGAGGGCGAAGTGGTCCGCAGAGGTGGCGAGGCTCCAGAATGAGCGCGACGCGAAGAAGATCGCCGCGGACGCGAGCGAGAAGCTCAAGGACGACGCGGACGAGAGAGCGAAAGCGCTCGAGAAGGTGGAGGAGGAGGAGAAGGCGGCGGCGGCGGCGGATGAGGAGGAGGAGAAGAAGAGGGCGGAGGAGGCGGAGGCGTCCGCCGCGAAGGAGGGCGCGGAGGACGACACAGCTGGCGCCGCCGCCGCGGAGCGATCGGAGCGATCGGAGCAATCGGAGGATCTCGCGAAGCTCTCGAGGGACCTCGACGAGCTCGAGGCGATGATCGACGACATCGGCGACGGCGCCGCCGCGCCCGCGCCCGCGCCGGAGCATGAGGAGACGGACGAGGAACGCGGCGAGCGGATGATGCGTCAGTGGGTCAAAGACGACGCGCCCGAGAAAAAAGACGACGACGTCGTCGAAGACGACGCGGCGCGGGATCTGGAAGATCCGACGCCGTACCTCCCCGAAGACGTGGACGCGGACGCGTACGACGACGTGAACGAGTCCGAGCCCGAGCCCGAGCCCGAGAGCGGCGGCCTCCTCGGCAAGGCGAGCAAGATGTTCAAAGGTTGGGGCGCGCGGCGGCGGCGATCCGCGAAGAAGACGCGGGGAGGAAACGCCTCCTCCGACGCGGACGCGAGCCCGTCCGCCGCGACCGAAGCGCGCGCGGAGGCGAACCGCCTCCGCGACGCGTGGTCCGCCGACGCGACCGCGTTGCGCGAGACCGAGGACGCGCTGCGCGAGAACGAAGCGCGTCTGACGCGCTTCATGGGCGAAGACGACGAGTACGCGTACATGGTGGGCGAGTGCTACGAGGCTAAAGTGGACAAGTACGTCTACGAGGCGTGCCCGTTCGGCAAGGCGTCGCAGGACTCGACGTCGCTCGGGACGATGCAGGATATCGACCGCGCTTCCCCGAGGACGTTCAAATTCACCGGCGGCGAGGGGTGCTGGAACGGCCCCGCGCGGTCGCTGACGGCGACGGCGCGGTGCGGCGCGGAGAACAAACTCGCGGAGGTGATCGAGACGTCGAGGTGCGAGTACGTCGCGACGCTCGTCACGCCCGCGGCGTGCGCGGAGGACGAGGAGCGGGCGGCGAGGGAGGAGCTGGACGCGTTGGAGCGCGAGATGCGCGCGGCGGAGGAGGGGGGGCACGACGAGTTGTGATGCGATGGATGCGTTGTCGTCACGCCTCGTCATCTTAGTCACTACCTACTGCGTGTAGACTACCCGTCGTCGTCGGCTGCGCGAACGGATCTCATCTCTCGTCGTCGCGTCGCTCGTCGTCTCCTTCGCGCGGCCGTCGTCGTCCGTCCGTCGCGTCTCCCACGTCTCACACGTTGAACCCCTCGTCCCGCAAGCACTTCAAGTGCGCTTCGATCAGGTACCGGCACTTCTCCTCGTCGTGCTCCGGGATGCACGCGTCGCGCGCGTTCTTCGTGATCGGGCACGCGCAGCAGATCTTCTTCGGTTTCGTCTCCGGCGCCGCTGCGGTCTTGCTCGCGCCCGCGCCCATGGCTGGCGAGGCGACGCGGCGTCGCGCGACGGCGACGACTCGGCGGCGGCGGCGGCGGCGGCGCGCTGAGACGCGCGACGACGCGAGGGAGCGGCGCGGTGGGTTGGGACGCGCGCGCAATGGAGTGGCGACGTCACGTCGTCGCTTCGCCTCGAACCGTCATCGACCGGCCGGCGCGGCGGAGCGAGACGAGCGCGAGATGAAGGATCTCAGCACCCGACGAGAGAAAAAGAGGGTTTTTGCGGCGCACGCGCGCGCACTCGCGACGACGCGCAGGGGAACGGACTCGCGTGCGGCGGCCGCGTTCACCCCGCGCGAAGATGCCCCCGAGCAAGAAGAAGGGCGACGAGAGCCCCGCGGACAGGCTCGATCGCATCGCGATCGTCTCCGCGGATCGATGCCGTCCGAAGAAGTGCCGGCAGGAGTGCAAAAAGGCGTGCCCGGTGGTGAAGATCGGTGCGCGCCCGCCCCATATGCGCGTCCCGCTCGCTGGCCGTCGCGTTTCGTCCATCCCGTCCCTCTCGTCCCTCGTCCGTCGTCCGTCGCGAACGACATCGTTCGCGCGGACGACGACGTCGACGTCCTCCGCGCGGCGGCGGGGGGGGGGGGCGGCGCGCGTCGCCTTCGCCCCCGACTCGACCCAACCCTGATTCTGATTCTTCCCACAGCGATCGATTCCTCCGTCCATCAGTCCGCCCTCCGTTCTTCTCCTCGACGCTCGCACCCCCCCCATCCTCATCCTCCGCTTCCTCCTCCTCCTCCCGCGAAAACCCTAAATTAACGCAGGCAAGATGTGCATCGAAGTCAGCGGCTCGAGCTCTAAGATCGCGTACATCTCCGAGGAGCTGTGCATCGGATGCGGCATCTGCGTCAAGAAGTGCCCGTTCGACGCGGTGCAGATCATAAACCTGCCGAAAAACCTCGAGAAGGAGACGACGCATCGATACGGCCCGAACAGCTTCAAGCTTCATCGGCTGCCGATGCCGAGGCCCGGTCAGGTGTTGGGGTTAGTCGGCACGAACGGGATCGGGAAGTCCACCGCGCTGAAGATTTTGAGCGGGAAGCTCAAGCCGAACCTAGGGAAGTTCACCGCGCCGCCGGATTGGCAAGAGATCTTGAACTACTTTCGCGGTTCCGAGATCCAAAACTACCTCACGCGCATCTTAGAAGACGACATCAAGGCGCTCATCAAACCGCAGTACGTGGACCACATCCCGAAAGCGGTGAAAGGGCAGGTCATGGAGTGCCTCGAGAAGCGAGACGAACGAGGGACGATCGACTACCTCGTCCGCGAGCTCGACCTCGAAAACGTCTTGGACCGCGAGGTCAAGGCGTTGTCGGGCGGGGAGCTGCAGCGCTTCGCGATCGCGATCGTCGCCGTGCAAGACGCGGACTGTTACATGTTCGACGAGCCGTCGTCGTACCTGGACGTGAAGCAGCGTCTGAAGGCGTCCCGGGTGATTCGGTCGCTGATCGCGATCGAAAAGTACATCATCGTCGTCGAGCACGATCTCTCCGTGTTGGATTATCTCAGCGACTTCATCTGCTGTCTGTACGGCAAACCCGGCGCGTACGGCGTCGTGACGATGCCGTTCGGCGTCAGAGAGGGGATCAACATCTTCCTCGCGGGGTTCGTCCCCACGGAAAACTTACGGTTTCGAGAGGAGGCGTTGACGTTCAAGGTGGCGGAGACGGCGGACGAGCGCGAGGGCGGACAGGACACGAAATTTTTGCGGTTCAAGTACCCCGCGATGAAGAAGACGCAAGGGAACTTCTCGCTCACGGTGCACGAGGGCGAGTTCACGGACACGGAGATCATCGTGCTGCTCGGCGAGAACGGCACGGGGAAGACGACGTTCATTCGCCTCATCGCGGGACTCGTCAAGCCCGACGAGGAGATGGACGACCTCCCGGAGTTCAACGTGTCGTACAAGCCGCAGAAGATTTCGCCCAAGTTTGAGTCCACCGTGCGCGACTTGCTTCACAAGAAGATCAGGGACTCGTACTTGCACCCGCAGTTCATCTCGGACGTCATCAAACCTCTGAACATCGAACAGCTCATGGACAACCAGGTCGTGACGCTGTCCGGCGGCGAGCTGCAGCGCGTCGCGCTGACGCTGTGCATGGGGCAGCCCGCGGATCTCTACCTCATCGACGAGCCGTCCGCGTACTTGGACTCGGAGCAACGCATCTGGGCGTCGAAGGTGATCAAGCGGTTCATCATCCACAGTAAGAAGACCGCGTTCATCGTCGAGCACGACTTTATCATGGCGACGTACCTCGCGGACAGGGTCGTGGTGTACACTGGGACGCCGGCGTTGGAATGCGAAGCCGCGACGCCGTGCGGGCTCTTGCAAGGGATGAACGCGTTTTTGAAACACCTGGAGATCACGTTCCGCAGAGACCCGACGAACTACCGCCCGCGCATCAACAAGTTCGCGTCGACGAAGGATCAGGAGCAGAAGGAGCTCGGGAACTACTACTACATCGACGACACCTGATCGTCGACGTGCGCGTAGTTAGGTGGGGGCGTAGAGAGGTGGGGGGGGGCGACACGGTTGTCAATACGAAGAAACAAATTCATCGAACATCGTTCGTCGCTATCGATACTGAATCCCCACCCGACCCCCGCGATGATACTACAGTATCGTCACCGCCCTTTATTATCCACGCCGCCCGCGTCCGAGAGCATCATGAACAGCTCCTCGTCCCGGATGTGCCCTCTCTCCATCGCCGCGTCCAACGGCGTCCGCCCCCTCTTATCCCTCGTCGACACCGCCGCGCCTCTCCGTATCAACAACTTCGCGACGTCGTCCCTATCCCCGCGACCGACGCACGCGTGCAAACACGTCACGCCGTCGTCGTCCCTCGCCGAGTTGATGTCCGCGCCGTGCTGAAGCAGAAGCTCGACCATGGCCTCGTGCCCGCGCTCGCTCGCGACTCTCAGCGCGCCGGCGCCGGCGGACGCGCCGCGCGTCAACGCGACGAATCCCGCGCCGACGTCGTCCGTCACGACCGCCACCGCGAGCTCGTCCTTCCATCGGCCGCTGGACGACCCGGCGCCGTCTTTCGGCGGCGCCATGAACGCGCGGTCGACGTACTTGGCTCGGACGTACGCGGCTTTCGTCTCGAACGGATCGCTCGGCGTCGGTTTTTTCATCTTCGTCCCAGTAGTCCCCGTCGACGACGCCTCGCCCTCGCCCTCGCCCTCGCCCTCGCCCTCGCCGCCGCCGCCGCCGCCGCCGCCGCCGCACTCCCACGTCTCGTTCGCGACGTCGTTCCCTCGCCGCGTGAACAGCGCCATCACGCTCGGCTCCCACACGCGCACGTCCAGCGTGCACGACCGCACCTTGGACACGTGCACGCCGAGCTGCCTGTGCGCGCCGGAGCACGTGATGCACAGCAACACGCCCAGGTTGAGCGACGCCCAATCCGGATCCCTCGCGCCGCAGTCCGCGCAGTGGTCGTTCCCGGGCGCGGCTCGGAGCTCTCTCAGCGTCGCGCGCGTGTCGATCGGCGCCGCGGATGATGGGGGGTACCGCCCGAGAGCGCCGTTGGGGCCCTCCTCGACCTCCGTGATCGCGAGCTCGTCGCCGCTAAAGTCGGAGGAGAGCGCGCTGCCGCCTGAGGGCCATTCCATACAAAGCGAAGTCGGGGTGGAGTGGAAAGGCGTCAGGTGGAGTTGAAAGGCGTCGAAGGCGGGGATTGAAAGCGAGGGGTGGGCGGAGAGACACGCCGGGAAAAGTCCTTAAGGAACGGCGTTCACCACGCCAACGCGGTCGTATGGGGACCAGTGTATAGAACGCGCCGGAGAGCGCGCGGCGGTGGCGGCCGGCGCCGAAGCCTCCGAACGACGCGGACCGACCGTGCGCGCCGCCGCCGCCGCCGCCGCCCCCCGACGTCTTCATCCGCGGGCCTTTCGACGGCGAGTTGGGCCCGGGGCTCCTCGTCCTCGACGGCGACCCTAACCCGATCTGCGCGACCGAGTCCTGAGGGTCGAGGGTCCGTACGAGCGAACGTCGGGGTGGAGTTCAAAGGCGTCAGTCGATGGAGTTATGAGGCATCGAGGACGGGGATTGAAAGCGGGGGACCCTGGGCGGAGAGAGACGACGGGAAAAGTCCTTAAGGATCGGCGTTCACCACGCCGACGCGGTCGTATGGAGACCGGTGTGAGATAGAACGCACCTGGATCGCTCGCGTGGAATTGAGCAGCCCCGCGATGGCGGTGGTGATCGCCTCCATCCACCGCGCTCGGTCCGCCTCGCTCTCCGCCTGCAACGCGTACGTCTTGTTGATGGACACGACGCGGAAACAGAACCGCATGTTCGAGTCGTCCAGGTCCGGTTTGATCGTCGCCGTGAGAAGCGACACGGTCTCCTTCGCGCTGCCGTGCCGCACGTCCTTGTCTGGGTCGTTCCATACAAAGCGACGAACGTCGGGGTGGAGTTCAAAGGCGTCAGAAGCGGAGTTGAAAGGCGTCGAGGGCGGGGATTGAAACCGAGGGACCCTGGGCGGAGAGAATCGCCGGGAGAGAAAGTCTTTAAGAAACGGCGTTCACCACGCCGACGGGGTCGTATGGGGACCAGTGTAAGGAAATCGCACCTCTGTAGTACGTGAGGTGCCCGAGCGCGTCGAGGACGAAGAACCGCCGCTTCCAATCCGCGCGCATGTTGCCGCTCCGCTTGAGGAGGTACCCCTGCGTCAGCACCGCGACGTTGCCGCCGAGGCTGTCGCTCCGCGAGTGCGTCCGCCGCGAGTGCGGCGGGCGCGCCGCGGAAGCGCCGTCGTCGTCGCGCTCGCCGCCGTCGTCGTCGTCGTCGCCGCCGAGGAGTTCGAACCCGCCCTCTCTCGAGTCCCCCCTCCTGTGGCGCGCGTTTATTATTACGTTTCTCGTCCCGTCGAGACTCGAACCTCGTCTGCCGACCGGCCCCGCGATCATCTGGCCCTCGACCGCCGCGGCTTCGCTCGCGCACGCGTTCGCGTTCGCGTCCACGGCGTCGCGCATCACCGCGGCCATGACGCGCGAGCGGTCGCTCGTCATCGAAAACGCATCCGCGTGCGACGGCGCCTCCGCGCCCGTCTCTCTCGTCACCCGCGCGTGGTACTCCGCCATCGCGGTCGCGAGCTGCGTCGCCTCCGACGCCGCCTCGCGCTCGTCCTCGTCGCAGCGCCGCAGCACCTCCTCGCTGAACGGCTCGAGCTCGCGTAGCGTGTCGTGCCCGACGTCGAAGAAGCGCAGGTGCGCGTGCATGGCGCCCGCGAGCCGCCGTTTGAACTCCACTTTTTTCCTCGACGTCGCCTTGTGCAGCTGCGCCATGAGATGAAACCGATCCGTCTCGAACGCGCGCCGCGTCGCCTTCACGTCCTCCTCCGCCGCCTTCAGCGACTCCGGCTTCGCGTCTCGCGTCAGCGACATGAACCGCGCCCTGGAGCGCTCGTAGTTATTAAGCGCCTTGTCGAATCGTTTCCTCGCGTCCCTCGCGTCGTCGAGCTCCGTCGTCGCCAAGCGATGCAGCGCCCCGCAGAGGTCCCTCTCCACGTGCGTCAACAGCGCCGCGCGCGCGTCCGCGATCTCCTGCACCGCGGTCGTGAACCGCTCGATGACGGCGCCGCCGACCTCGCACGCGAACGCGTCCTCCAGAGATCCGTAGAAGCCCTTGAGGGATTCGCTGAAGTTGAGTTCGCGCGCGTATGCATCCTCCAGTCCGTCGCGGTACTTCCCGCAGTCCTTCGCGAGCTTGAGCGTCTTATCGCGCAGTTCGTCCACCTCTTTCTCCATCGCGTTGATCTGCGCGCGGAGGAACGGGGAGTCCTCGACGGACTCGAACGGGCCCGCGCGCGCGTTCGGGACCGCCATCTTCTATCAAACGTGGATTGAATATTTTCGATGGTTCTCGCGGGCGCGTCCCCTCCGCGTCCGTCCTCCTCGCGGCGCGCGCGCTCGCGTCCGCGCGCCGCGCACGCCGCGGACGGGGACGACGGCGTCCACGGGAAGCCCAAGCGGCGCCAAACCCGGCGGTCGACGTCCGCGCGCGGCCGGCCTGTGTGCGCGGGCCAGCGGACCGTCGGGCGAACGACATCGATCGTCCCAGTCAGCAGCAGTCGATCGAGCCGCCGGCCGAAACAACAGAAACACACGAAACTAAATCGCGTCGGTCGCCGCCGCCATCGCGCACTCCGCGCCCGCCGCACGTCGCGGCTCGCCACCGCACAACATGGCGTCCTCAAGCGGAGGGATGACCCACGCGCAGCCGAGGGGCTCGAAACGCGCGTCGAGACCTCTCCCCCTCCCCGGCGCGACGCTCGCGAACCTCCCGGAGATCCTACGCGCGCTCCTCGCCTCCGACAACGACGCTCGCGGCGTCGCGGAGGCGACGCTCCGACAACTCTCCAGAGATCCACACGTCGTCCCGTCGCTGCTCGCGATCGCGCGCTCCGACGCGGACGCGAACGCGCGTCAGATGGCGGCGGTCATCCTGAAGCGACGCGTCATCGCGCACTGGCAGAGGCTCGGCGAGTCCACGCGCGATGCCGTGAAGCAGTCGCTTCTGGAGGGCGTCGTGCGCGAGCCGATGCATCTCGTCAAGCGCGCCATCGCGGACGTCCTGGGTAAAGTCGCCAAGGCGACGTTCGCGACGGGGTCGTGGAGCGAGCTCCCGGAGTTTCTCGCGCAGTGCACGCAGTCGCCTGAGGAGTCGCATCGCGACGTCGCGTACGTCGTCTTCGCGTCGCTCACGGAGTCGATCGTGTCGCAGGCGCGTTCATCATCATCATTTCTCATCGCTCATCATCATCGCGCCGTCTCACTTATTCACTCATCATCGCTCATCGGGTTCGTATCAACACTCGATCGCGTCCCCTTTCAACTGACTGATGACCCACGCCGCCGCCCCCCACGCCGCGCAGATGACCGCGGGACCCAACGCCGCGCACTTCGCGACGCTCGGCGGGCTCTTCAACAACGGCCTCGGCGACGCGTCCGCGAAGGTGCGCCTCTCCGCGCTGCGCGCGACGCTCGCGCTGGTGAGCAACGCGAGCGGCGACGCGTCCGGCCCGGAAATGGCGATCGTGAGGGGGCTCGTGCCCGGCGTGCTCGCGGCGGCGCGGCGCGCCGTCGCCGCGGGGGAGGAAGACCACGCGGGCGTCGCGTACGAGGTTTTGGACGAGCTCATCGAGTCCACGCCCGCGGCGTTGGCGGGGAAGGTCCCGGAGCTCGTGGCGTTCTGCGTCGAGGTGGCGTCGTCGCCGAGCCTCGGCACGACGACGCGGCGCCGCGCCCTCGACGTGGTTGCGTTTTTAGGTGCGATTTCCTTACACTGGTCCCCATACGACCCCGTCGGCGTGGTGAACGCCGTTCCTTAAGGACTTTTCCCGAAAGGCGTTTCTCCCCGCCCAGGGTCCCTCGCTCACAATCCCGACACACCTCGACGCCTTTCAACTCCCGCCTGACGCCTTTGAACTCCACCCCGACGTCGATTTGAACGATGGAACGATCCTCAGCGCGGCATAAACCCAAGGCGCTGCTGCGCGCGAAGCTCGTCCAGCCGTTGCTTCGCGCGCTGCTTCCGCTGTGCGGCGAGCCGAGGGACGACGATTTGGGCGGCGAGGACGACGACGAGTGCGATCCGAACAACGAGGACGAGGCGCAGGTGCAGACGGTCGCCGCGCAGCTCGTGGACCTGCTCGCGCTGAACGTCCCGGCGAAACACGTGTTACCGGAGGCGCTTCAGTTCGCGTCCGACGCCGTGCGATCGGGGGATCCGAAGCGTCGGCACGCCGCCGTCGCCGCGCTCGGGATCGTCGCGGAGGGCTGCGCGGACGGCCTCGCGCGCGTTGCGCCGACGATCGTCCCGAACGTCGTCGCCGCGCTGTCTGACCCATCGTCGCGCGAGGTGCGAGGCGCGGCGGCGTTCGCGCTCGGGCAGTTCGCGGAGCACTTGCGCGACGTCGAGGCGCACCACGCGACGGTGTTGCCCGCGCTGTTAAGCGCGTTGCCGGCGGAGCCGCACAAGACGACGCAGGAGAAGATGATGTACGCGATGGACGCGTGGCTGGAACAGCTGGACGACTCCAACGTCGCGCCGTACGTCCAGCCGCTCCTGGAGATTGTTTTCACCGCGCTCGACCGCGCGGCGACGACGCGGCCGCAAGTGCGGGAGATGCTTCTCGGCGCGTGCGCGTCCGCGGCGGCGGCGGCGGGCGCGGCGATGCACGCGCACCTCCCCGCGTTGCTCCCGCGGCTCGAGCGGTGCCTTCAGGCGAGCGACGACGCGGAGTTGAAGTGCCGCGCGCGCGCGCTCGAGGTGCTGGGCATGCTCGTGAGCGCGTCGGGGGGGAAGGAGGCGATGGCGCCGTACGTCGCGGTGCGTTCTCTTTTCACACTGGTTCCCGTACGACCGCGTTCGCGTGGTGAACGCCGATCCTTAAGGACTTCGCCCGAAAGGCGCATCTCTCCGCCCAGGGTCCCTCGGTTTCAATCCCCGCCCGCGTTGCCTTTCAACTCCGACTGACGCCTTTCAACTCCACCCCGACTGACGCCTTTCAACTCCACCCAGAGCGCGATGCACGCGGCGATGGCCGGGTTCGAGCTCGACTACGGCGAGCTTCGCGAGTACGCGCACGGGATGTTCGCGGAGGTGGTCGAGGCTTACGGCGAGGAGTTCGAGGCGTATCTCCCCGCGTGCCTCGCGAAAGCCGCGGAGAGTTTGGATCTCGACGACGGCGTGCTGTACGACTCGGACGAGGACGCGGCGGACCGAGGGAGGGGGTACAACGACGGTTTTGAGAGCGATTCCGACGATTCCGACGGCGGCGGCGGCGGCGGACGAGGGGAGAGGTACAGCGTCTTCTCCGGGATCTGCGAAGAGAAAGCCGCGGCGTGTAAGGCGATCGCCAACTACGCGCACCACGCCCCGCGCGCGTTCACGCCGCGGCTGAACGAGTTCGTGGACCGCGTCGGGCGGATGTGCGACTACATGCACGAGATGGTTCGCGCGCAAGCGCACCTCGCGATGGCGCGATTGGCGCGGTGCGCGCTTGAGGCGGCGCCGCCGCCCGCGACGGAATCGCTCGCCGTCGTCGACGCCGCGCTGTGCGCGACGCAGCGCGCGTGTCTCGAGGACGACGACCGCGAGGCTGTCGCGACCGCGATGGAGGCGGCGGCGGAGGTTCTGAAGTCCGTCGGCGCCGCCGCCGGCGGCGGCGTCGCGTTCGTGATCGAGAAGGGCCACGTCGCCGAACTCGCCGCGCACTGCCTCGCGGTGTTGGAAGGACGCGCGGCGTGCCAAGAGGGCGAACACGACGAGCTCGAGCACGCGACGCGAAACGGCGGCGGGGGCGACGACGAGGAGGAGGAGGACGAGGACGAAGAGGCGGAGCTCGGGCTGATCGTGTTGGAGGGCGTCGCGGAGCTTCTCCCCGCGCTCGTGACGTTTGCGGGCGCGGCGTCGCACGCGTCGTTTCAGCCGCACGTCGCCGCGTTGCTGCGACGCACGAGCGTCAACCGCCCGGAAGGTCAGCGGAGCGTCGCGTACGCGACGTTCGTGGAGGTGGTGCGCGCGATCGGCGCGCCCGCCGCGGTGATCGTCCCGATGGCGTTGCCCGGGTGCGCGCGGGAACTGTCGAGCGCGGAGAGCGGCGGGTTGCGTAGGAACTGCGCGTATTGCGCGGGCGTGCTCGCGGAGCTCTGCGGGAGCGCCGCGGAGGCGTCCAAGTACCTCCCCACGCTCGCGCCCGCGCTCGCGGCGTTACTCGATGACGAGGACGAGGAGCAAGGGGTGAAAGATAACGCCGCGAGCGCGTGCGTTAGGATCCTGACGATGCACCAGTGCGCCGCGGCGAAGGATCCGGCGACGGGCCCGGCGTTGCTCGACCGGACGTTGCGCGCGCTGCCGTTGCGGGAGGACTTCGAGGAAGCGGCCGCCGCGTACGGCGGGCTGTGCGCGCTGCTGCGGGTCGACGACCCGGAGGTGAACGTCTTCGCGCCGAGGATCGTGCAGACGTTCGCGCTCGTCGCGACGGAGGAGGCGGGGAAAGCGGCGAAGCGCCTTTCGGCGGCGGCGGCGACGGCGCGGGGCGCGGCGCGTTTCGTCGACTTCGTCCCCGCGGACGCGTTGCGCGCGATGGGCGCGTGCGTGACCGAGATGTCGTCCGCGCGGGCGGACGTCCACGCCGTGCTCGCGCGGCTGCCGCACGAGCAGCAGGCGGCGCTGATGGGGCTTAGCAACGTGCAATAGAGAGGGCACTACGTGTACTGACAGCGCGTGAACGAACGTTGGCGAAAAACGATGAAAGCGATCTACGACGCGTCTAGACTCTACAACTACCGTCGCGCGCGTCACCGCTTCCCTCTCTTCCCCCCCCGCGAGCTCGAGCTTCCCCCCTTGCTCTTCTTCCCGCCCTTGCCGCCTCCGCGCGGCCGGTCGCCCCCCGCGAGCTTCCCGCCGCCGAGCATGATCTTCGTGTTCAACCGCTCGCTCTCCTTTTGCACGTCGGATTTCTTCAACGTCAGCACGCCGCCTCTGAAGCTCCCCGCGCCCCACGCGAGGCCGCGGTCCCGCCCTTCCTTCGCCTTGGCCTCCGCGCTGTCCGCCTTCCTCAAGCCGCGCTTCTTCTTCATCAGCCGCCCGCCCGCCTCGAAATCCTCCTGGCGCTTCGCCTCCTCGCGCTCCTCGTTCTATACGAGCGAACGTCGGGGTGGAGTTGAAAGGCGTCAGAAGCGGAGTTGAAAGACGTCGAGGGCGGGTATTGAAAGCGAGGGACCCTGGGCGGAGAGAGACGCCGGGCAAAGTCCTTAAGAAACGGCGTTCACCACGCCGACGCGGTCGTATGGGAACCAGTGTAGAGAACGCACCTTCTTCCACATCCCGACGCCGATGTGCATCGGGATCCGAACGCCTCGCTCCGCCTTTTGGTTGTTCTCCGTCTTCTGTCGCGCGTCGAGCGCCCTGCGGTCCCACTTGTTCAGCCCCTGCGCGCCGAAGTTTTGCACCTTGCGTCGCATGTCGTTCAGCGACGCGCCGGTGAGGCCCTCGACTCGGCCCATCTCCGAGTTCTCCATCTCCGAGTTTTTCCCCGACTTGGTCGTCGCCGACGCCGCCGCCGCCGCCGCCTCCGGTCTGCCGCCGCGATTAGGATTGGACGCCACCTCGTGCACGAGGCCAACCTTGTCGGACATGAAGAGCTTCTTCGCGCGGCTCACGCCGACGACGTGGCCGGACGCGGACGCTTGCGAGCGCGACGCGTGCGCGTTCGGGCGGTCGCCGCCGAAGACGACGGTCTCGACGGCGGCGGCGGCGGCGGCGTCTTTCGCTCTCGTCGACGACGACGACGACGCGCGCGCGGCGGTCCGCACGCGCGCGGCGTCGTCGTCGTCGCCGTCGCCGTCGCCGTCGCCCTTCGTCGTCTTCGTCTTCGTCTTCGTCTTCGTCTTCGCGCCCCCATCGTCGCCGCCGTCGAGCGCGTCGTCGTCGTCGTCGTCGTCGTCGCCCGCGTCGTCGTCGCCCGCCGACATCGCGCGCTTCCGCTTCTTCTCATTCCTCGGACGCGCCGCCGCGTCGTCGTCCGCGTCGTCGAACATCGACATGAACTTCGCGCCGTGCATCGCGAGCATCGACGCGGCGTCGCCCGCATCGCGCGCGCTCTTCTTATTCTTCTTCTTCTTCTTCGTCGGGACCGTCGCCATGCTCGCCCCGGCGGCGCCGCCGCTACTGACGACCGCATCGGACGATGCGTGCTGTCATCGTCAGCGTCAGGTCAGTCGACGTGTTCGTTGGCTCGTCGTCACCTCGCGTCGCAGTCTCCGCGCGCGCGACGAGCACGATGTCCGCGAGCGCGCAATACGAGCGCCTGAACGACCCACACGACGCGAACGACGCGGCGGCGGCGCCGTCGACGCCCGTCGCGTCGCCCTCGCCCGCGCTCGGCGGCATGCCCGCGGGCACCCCCGGCGCGCGCGTCGCGTCGACGCCCTCGATCTACCCCTCCCACGAGAGTCACGCCGCGGGAGGGGGCGCGTCCTCGAGCGCGGCAGCGAACGTCGACGGCGTCCCGATCGCGACCGCGATTCCGATGCACCCCGGGACGCCGGTGACCGCGCCGGCGTACTACGCGCACCTGATGTCCAGCGCCGCGATGGAGTCCATCCCGGACGTCCCGGACGCGGTGGACGCTTGGAACGCGCAGAGGACGCTCATGGCTGCGTACTTTGCGTTTTCCGTGCTCATGATCATAAACTTCCCGTTCCTGCTCTTCATCGGCATCGTCAACGGCATCTTGGGCACGGTCGCGTCGAGCATGCACCTATTCGACTGCTGCCGCGGACGCGGGGGGATCACCGGGGCGGTCGTCACGATCAAAGTCCTCGCCGCCATCGTCGCGTCCGTCGGATTCGTCATCGCCTTTTTCCTCCTCCTCGCGCTCTTCGGCGCGGAGAAGGCGGCGGCGGGGTACATATTCTTCGTGACGTTCGTGTACGTCGCGCACAGCACGATGAGCCTGGTGGTGATGCGGAAGATGCAGATGGTGTACGACGTGCTGCATCCCGTCAGGAGCGGCATGGTCGTGTTGTGACGCGCCGCGCGTCGCGACGCGTCCACGTCGGGTAGAGGACGACGAGACGAAGTCGACGCGCGGGCGGCGCAGCCGGCGGCGGCGGCGGCGGCGGGGGGGGCGGGCGCGGGCGCGCGCGAGCGAAGACGAGGCGAGACGAGGCGGCGTGCGGGGCCCCCGGCCGGCCGCGGTCGTCGAGAGGATGCGATAGCGGCGCTCGAAGAGCGCCTTGTAACTGATGCGTGACCGACCTGCGCCCCGGTGCCACCTGGCACGTTTACGCGTTTTCGCGACGAATGCTGATGCTGTGGCGAGGCGCGTCCTTCGCGACGACGCTTCGGCAGAGCGAAGAAAAACGAACGAAGATCGCTTCGGAGGGTCACTCCACATCGCGCGACGTGCACGCGTCACCCGATCCACGCGGGCGATCGTCTAAACCGGCGCCATGGGGAACTGTTGCTCCGCGATCAAGGCGCGTCTCGCGCGCGTTCGCGTCCGCGCGGCGTGTCTACAACGCGCGAAAGAAATTCGAAAAGTCGGCCGACGCGATCCTTCGCCTCCCGCGAGAAACGAACGTCGTTCATCGCGCGTCCGCCCTCCTCTCCGCGGACGCCGACCTGACGCTCCCCCCCCCGCGCCCCACCCCCACGGCCGCAGGAATTCGGCGCGCCCGAGCTCCCGCCCGACGTCAAAGACGCGATCCAACGCGGCAAAGAGATCGAGCTCGAGGTGAACAAGATCCGCAAGCAGATGGAAAAATACGGGAAACAAAACACGACGGTCAAGATTCGCCTGAACCGCTACAGCGAGCGCCTCGCTAAGCGTCAGAAGGCGACGCCCACGGTCGCGCAGGTCAAGCTCGACGCCGTCGCGAACCGATGCAACGCGATCACGCTCTTCGCGGGGGAGTATCTCCTCGCCGTGGACGGCGACTTCACGCGTCAACTCGAGGACGCCGAGCGCGTCTGCAAAGACTACGCCAAACGCCGAGACGTCGTCCGCGTCGCGCAGGCCAAGCTCGCGGACGAGCTGAAGAAGCGCGGGCAGTACGAGAAGATGCTCGACAAGGCGAATCGCGCGGAGACGGAGATCGAGCTCAAGGCGAAGTCCGCGCCCGTGGATCAGACGGAGGAGGAGCGACAAAAGATGACGGCGCGAAAGGCGGAGCTGATGCAGACGACGGAGGAGTACCGCGTCAAGGTGGAGAACGCGGAGAAGGACGTGGCGCTCGCGGAGGAGGAGTTGAGCGTCGTCTCCACCGAGTGCGTGGACGCGCTCGGGCCGATGAAGGACGCGGTGAACGCGTGCTTGAAGGCGGCGGTGAAACGCATCAACGCGGACGTCGCGCGGCTGACGAGGAAGACGACCAAGGCGTGCCGCGAGGGCATCTTCGAGGCGTTGGATACGCTCTCGTTCGACGACGACGACGACGACGACGACGACGGTTCAGACGACGAAACGTCGCCCTCGGATGTCAACGCCGACGGCGACGGCGGCGAGGACGCGGACGTCGTCAAGCGAGACCCGCCGACGCCGTCGTCCGTCGCGCCGACGGAGACGGCGACGGAGACGGATTCCCCGGCGGCGCGCATCGCGCCCGCGGAGAAGAAGAAGAAGGCTGCGCTCGCGCGTCTCTCCTCGCGCAAGACGGGCGTCAAGGCGAAGAACTGGATGTCGTCCACGTTCAGCGGGTTCAACGTGAAGGTGAAGACGCGGGCGACGCTGCACAACAGCAAGGTGAAGATGGCGAAGTTGCGCGGCGTCGACCTCGCCGGTTTCTTCGACGCGTTGGAGCCTCTCTCGCGCGGCCACCGCGAGGACGTGAAGACGATCCAGAAGGTGGTCTTCCGTCTGAAGGACTACGCGTGCAAGGACTCGCCGTCTGGACCGGTTCCCGCGACGAAGCGCATCTCGAAGATGCGCGACGCGCTGAACGCTTTGAAAGAGATGGGCGCCGCGGGCGACGACGTGTGCGAAGACTTTTCCTCCATGGCGACCATCGCCGCGGCGCGGGATAAGACCCTGGAGACGCTCGGCGCGGAGTGCGTTCCCGCGCTCGAGGCGCTCGCGGACCGCGCGGAGAAGATCGTGCTGGATTTCTACGACGTTCGCGCGCTCGCGCTCGACCTCGCGGTCGTGGAGCACGACCTTCACAAGGCGAAGACGGCGGAGGTGAAGCCCGAGAAGGCGAACCAAGAAGACGGGCTCAAGCGCGAGAAGAAGATCCAGGATCTCACGGCCGCCGCGGAGAAGATCCGCGCCGAGCTCGGGACCGCGATGACCGCGCTCGCGCCCATCATGAAGGGCGACGACGACGAGATCTTCCCCGAGGACGCGTGCGAGCCGCACAACTTGGACGCCGGCGGCGTCGCCGACGCCTTTGGCTTTTTGAACAACACCGGCGTCGTCGCGACGCTCGCGAACGTCCTCGACGACAAGTTCTTGCAGGTGTTTCCCTCCGTCTTCGGGGACGCGTACACGACCGACGCCGCGGCGGCGGAGACCGCGAAGGCGAAGCGCGCCGCGCACGTCGAGGCTGTCGCGGCGAACGTCCAGGCGATTCGCGCGGACGCCGTCGCGGTGCGAAAGGCGTCGACGCTGAAGCGTCAAAAGTCAAACGCGGACGCGGACGCGGACGCGGGCGCGGGCGCGGAGGAGAACGACGCGAACGCGAACGCGACGGATCCTTCCCCGCCCGTTACCCCGCCCGCGACATCCCCCGCCGCGAAAGAGGCTGCCGCGAAGCTGAAAGCCGCGGAGGAGGAGGCGCTCGCCGCGGAGGCGGAGGCTGCGGCGATCGCGAAAAAGGAGGAGGAGGAGGCGGAGCGAAAAGAAGCGGAGGAGACGTGGGCCGCCGCGGAAGCCGCCGCCGCCGCGGAGCTCGAGGCGAAGAACAAGGCCGAGGCCGAGGCCGCCGCGGCGATGAAAGCCGCGGAGGAGAAGAAGCAGAAGGCTGAGGAAGAAGCCGCCGCCGCGAAAGCGGCGAAAGCCGAGGCGGAAGCTCAGGCTGCGAAAATCGCGGAAGCGGACGCGGCGAAGGAAGCGGAAGCGGAGACCGCGCGCGTGACCAGGGCGCAAGCGAAGGCGAAGGCGGAAGAGGAGGCGAAGGCGGAGGCGAAGGCGGAGGCGGCGTCCGAGGCGGCGCCGGAGTCGCCGCCCGCGCCCGCGCCGGTGACGAAGTCGACGTCGAAGACGATCCCGAAACCGCGCACGTCGGAGGAGGCGTCGTGATCGATCACTCCGCGGACGTCGCGCGTCGCGCGTCGACGACGAAAGTACATTTATTTCGTTTGTAAAGGAATCGAAAGATATCGTGTACTGTAGGTTTGATTACTATAAGACTGATCGAAGGATATCACACAGTATCATACGGCTCGCGCGCCTACTGTATCTATCCCGTCGTGAGTCGTATCTGACTGTCGTTCAATTGATCTTCGGCTTGAGCTTCTCCGACCGCAAGCCGTGCACGATGACGACCGCCACCACCGCCAGCACGATCACGCCCGCGGCGCCGCCGCCCACGCCGTCGACGCGGCGGCGTCGCGTGCACCGCCCCGGACGCATCGCCGCCGCGATCTCCTCGCACGCGTCGCGAAACGCCCTCGCGTCGCGCTCCGCTCGCGCGCTCGCCGCCGCGACGGCGTCGAAATCGAGCCGCTCCATCGCCTCCGCGAGCGTCTGAAATCCCTCCGCGACGCGAGCGTGCGCGCGCAACGCGTCCGTCGCGTGACGCCCCGCGGATCGCAGCGCTTTAAGCCCGTCCTCGCCGCGCCCGCGAACGCCGCCCGCGCCCGCGCCCGCGCCCGTCGTCTTCAGCGCGCGCAACGTCTTCACGCCCGCGTTGACCGCCGCCGCCGCGGCGTCCACGGCGGTGAGCGCGTACGCGCGATGGACGACGTCCTTCTGCGTCCGCGTCAGCGACCCCCCGCCGAACGCGCACGTGCTCGACAGCGGGTGCGATCCGACGCTCCAGAGCCACTCCTCTTCGACGCCGATGACGCCGCGATCGCTTCGGCTTCGATCCGCGCCGAGATGCGTGGGCAACGCGCCGCCGAGGTGCTCCGCGAGCGCGAGCACCGCGGCTTTCGTCGGGTCGCGAAGGTTCACGCGCGTCGCGGCGCCGTCGCACGCGAACGACGACGCGTATCTCGCGTCGTGCGACTGCGTCGCGATGATCATGTCCGGCATGGACACCGCCTGGTGAGCGCCGTCCACGAGCAGAGGCGCGCGGTCGTCCACCTCGGGTTCGACGACGAACACGGGTATCTCGAGCACGGAGGCGGCTGGGTGGGTGAAGCGATCGGTCAGTCGAACGTCTTACCGGTCAAACGTTGAAAGGGAAGCGCGGGTGAAGAGTGACGACGGGAAAAGTCCTCAAGGAACGGCGTGCACCACGCGAACGGGGTCGTACGGGAAGCAGTCTCACCGCCGCGAGGGCCCGCCGCGGAGGTCCCGCCGCCGCCGCCGACGGCGACGAGCTGCCTCCTGAGCTCTCTCGCGTCGATCCACCGCGTCTTTCGCGTCGCGACGTCGCCGCCCTCGGTCAAGACCGCGTCCGCGCCGGTTCGAAGCGAGCTCGCGAGCGCGGCGGCGACGGCGGCGTCGTCGGACGCGCTGAGGGTCGTTCCATACGAAGCGACGTCGGGGTGGAGTTGAAAGGCGTCAGAAGCGGAGTTGAAAGGCGTCGAGGTGTGTCGGGATTGAAAGCGAGGGACCCTGGGCGGAGAGAATCGCCGGGAGAGAAAGTCTTTAAGGATCGGCGTTCACCACGCGGACGGGGTCGTACGGGGACTGGCGTAAGGAAAACGCACCTCAGACGCTGCGCGGAAAACTCGAGCTTCTGGTCGCGAAGCATCAACCCTCTCGCCTCCGACTCGAACTTCTCCACGTCGAAGCCCCCGAACGCGTCCGTCCCGTACGGCGACCGCGACGGATCGCTCGCGCCCATGGCGACGAAGTACACGGTCACGTGCACGCGCTCGTGATACCGCCGCGGGCCCGGCGCATTCGCCGGCGCGACGACGCGCGTCAGATGCGACGACAGGACCCGCCCGAGCTCGGACGCGAACACGTCGCGCGCGATGGTCACGTTCGGCGGAAGGTCGTCCCGCCCGAAGAGCGAAAAGTCCGCGTCCTCGGGCTGGACGTCGCCGTCCTTCGCCTCCGCGATCGCGACGGAGAGCTCGCGCGTTTTTCGTTTAAGGTCGTCGCAGAGTTTGATTCGCGTCGCGCGCGACTCGCAGTGCTTCTTCGCGAACGACGTGTACACGTCCATCTGCGCTCGAAACACCTGGAGCTCGTCGCGCGGATCGATCGACGCCTCGCTCTTGGCGGCGGCCGCCTCCAGCTCCTCTCGAAGCCGCGCGTCCGGGGTGGGCCTGTGCGCCGCTTTCTCCGCGTCGGAGAGGCCGCGGTTAAATCGCAAGTCCACGTCCGGGAGGTCCGTCGCCCCGCGAAGGCCGCTCCCGCCGACCAGCGGCCCCCACGCGAACGGTCCGGCGCCGAGGTCGATCCACGACGCGCGCTCGCGGCCGACGTACAGGTCGGAGACGCAATCTGTCTCGTCCGACACTGAATCGGACGCGGACGCGTCGCCGTCGTCCTCCTCATCCGTCGCGTCGTCGTCGACTGCGTGGGTGAAGCGATCGGTCAGTCGAACGTCTTACCGGTCAAACGTTGAAAGGGAAGCGCGGGTGAAGAGTGACGACGGGAAAAGTCCTTAAGGAACGGCGTTCACCACGCGAACGGGGTCGTATGGGAAGCAGTCTCACCGGCGCCCGCGAGCGCGGCGGACAAGCGCTTCGCCGCGTGCGCGTCGTCGCCGGTGAGCACGCGCAGCGCCGCCGCGTCCAGAGGGTGCGACGCGCCATCCCGCTCCGCCGCGGCATCCGCCACCGCGCGCGCCGCCTTCTTCGCCCACCTCGCGCCCGCTTTCGACGCGTCGTACGCGACGACGCCGCCGCCCGCCGCGGCTCCCTCTCGCGGCGCGAGGACGTTCTCGATCCACCACGACGGCTTCGAAGCCTCCGGCGCGGGCGACGGCGCGCGGCGTCGCGGGCCGCCGCGGCGTCTCGCTTCCTTCCTCAGCGCGTCCGCGCGCGGTCGCAACGCCGCCATCTCGCTCGGGGAGAACCCGGCTCTGTACCCGTACCGCCCGTCGCCGAACGCTTTGAATTTCTTCGGGTTTAACACGACGACGGCGTAGCCTTCGCCGAGCCCGAGGCCGTCGACGAGCGAGTCCACGAGCGAGGACATCGAATGCGCGTCGACGTGGTGCGTCACCGGCGCGTCAGGGTCGGGCGCGCGGCCGTCGTCGTCGTCGTCGTCCGCGGAAGTCGACGATCTCGATTTCGATCTCGACGTCGATCTCGTCGCCGACGCCTTCTCCGCTCCGTCTCCGTCCCTCCTCGGCGGGTCCACCGGCCGCGCGAACGTCTCGATCGCGCGCTCGAACACCTCCAACACCCCCGGGCCGGGGTTCACGACGTGGGCTCTGAAGTCGTACGTCGCGAACGAGCTCGCGGGCATCCCGCCGTCGTCGGCGGCGGCGGCGTCGGCGGCGTCGTCTTCGGCGGCGTCATCCGTCGCGCGCCGGTGCCGCGTCGTCGTCTCTTCCTCTCCTCCCTCCCCTCCTCCGCGCCTCCGCCCGCGACGGCGAAAGCGATCCAGCGCCGCGCGCGGCACCCTCGCGTGCGACACCGCGCGATCGATCCGCTGGAACCACCGAACCTGGTCGTCCTCGCTCAGATGCAGCCCGAGGTGTCCGTCGCCGTCGAAGCCGACCATCACGAACGCGACCGGGATCGGCACGCGGACGGACCGCACCGGGCGGACGCGCAGGAACGACGCGACGTCGCCGGACGCGGCGAACGCCTCCGAAACGCGCGAGGCGTCTATCGGCGCCGCCGCCGCGTCGTCGTTCGTCAGCGACGTCAGGAAGTCGTCGTCGTGAGCGAGCGCGTTCGCGCCTCCGTCGAAGAAGGCGCGCGAGGAGGTGCCGAAGCGCGGGCCGGCTTTGCCCTTCGCGTGCGCGCGATCGACGGACGCGCGCGCGACGCGGAGCGGGGCGAGCGCGAGGAGGAGCGCGAGGAGGAGGACGCGCGCGGGGGGGCGCGGGGGGCTGGACGTCATCGCCGGCGGCGAGCCGCGCGCGCCCCGCGATCTCACGGGCAGCAGTGGGCACCAGACGCTGCCCTCGCCCAGTTCGACGCGCGACCGGATTTTTTTTTTCGGCGGCGGCGCGGCGTTCCATTCCGGAAGCAATCCTTTCCGCGCGGCCGGTCTTCAAATCGCCAGCTCGGGCGCGTCGCGGGATGGGGAAGAACACCGAGGGCGAGAAGGTCGTCGAGGCCGGCGCGCGCTCGGTCGCGCGCAGGCCGCTCCCGCCGCCGACGACGACCGAGGGCATCTCGCAGATTTTGTTCTATCAGTACGTCGAGCCCGTGTGGAGCGCGCGGCGACAGAAGCAAGCGCTCGCGGAGTTCCACAGGCTCGCGAAGCTGCACGACGTCACCGGCCGCGGGAGGATCGCGCTCGAGGGCGTGAACTGCACGCTCACCGCGTCCGCGGAGGGCGCGCGCGCGTTCTGCGAGGGGCTTCGCGCGTGGGATCCGGAGCTCTTCAACGACACGGACTTCAAGCTCACGGACGGCGTCCCGAGAGAGACGAAGTTCAAGGCGCTGACGCTCAAGTCCACGCAAGAGCTCGTGGCGTACGGCCTCGGCGGCGAGCGCGCGCCGTTGCTGAGACAAAACACCGCGAAGCACGTGGAGGCGGACGAGTATCACGCGATGCTGGCGCGAAAAGACACCGTGGTGATTGACGTGCGGAACTATTACGAGACGAACATCGGACGCATCGAGCCCCCGCCGGGGGGCGCGGAGTTCCTAGACCCGATGATGCGAAACTCGCGCGAGTTCCCCAAGTGGCTGAACGCCCCGGAGACGAAGGAGAAGCTGCGGGGGAAGAAGGTGATGATGTACTGCACCGGGGGCATTCGATGCGAACGCGCGACGGCGTTGTTGTCGCAGATGGAACGCGCGGAGGGCGACGTCGAGACGCAAGGCATCTATCACGTCCGCGGCGGGATCGATCGGTACCTGAAGACGTTCCCGGAGGGCGGGTACTGGAGAGGGCGGAACTACCTGTTCGACCTGCGCGGGGAGCAAAAGCCGGAGGACAAGTCGGAGACGCAGGTGTCTCGAGAGACCAAGTCGGCGTGCTGCGTCTGCAAGTCGCCGTTCGACTTGTACAAGGGCAAGCACGCGTGCTCGAACAAGGAGTGCAAGGTCCCGGTGATCGTGTGCGACGGGTGCAGGAAACGCGCGGAAGGGGAGCTGAAGGCGTCGCTCCTCTGCCCGCTGTGCGAGAGAGGCCACGAGCTGAGGGATCTGCCGCTGCCGGATTTGGTCGGGCAGAAGAGAAAGCTCGCGTTGGCTGGCAACGCGTTCGGCGTCGACGCGGGGTCAAAAAAACCGAAAAAAACGCACGAGCCGTCCAAGTTTGTCCACGTGGCGCGTTTACCGTTGATCGTCACCGCGACGGACGTCCGCCTCGCGCTCGCGGGCGTAGACACGACCGCGAGAGGCCACTCGCGGCTCGTGAGCGCGACCGAGGGCGGGTCGCGAGTCGAGTGGATCGCGGACCGAGACACCGGGTTTTTTTACGGCGCCGCGTTCGTCGAGTTTCCGACGACGGCGGACGCGGAGAGGGCGGTGGAGCGCGCGACGACGGCGCCGCCGAAGGTTGGCGGGGGGAAGCGACGCGCGAGGGTGAACTTCGCGCCTGCGCGGGGGAAGGACGCCGCGAGGGCGGGGCACGAGGGCGAGCGACCGCCCGTGCCGGCGACGCCGGGTAGGTAGTCTGACTGATGAGTAGGCGATAGAACGCGAGGTCGTGCGCCGGGTAGTGTACTTCCGGAAGTCCTTTCTTCCTTCACGAGCCGCGCGTATGCACACGTCGTCGGGGTTCGAGCCCCCAAACCCTACAACCCTCAACCCAAACCCTAAACCCCCCTCACGCGAACCGCGCGTACGCCGGCCGGAGCCAGCCGTACGCGCCCAAGACGAACGCCTCCTTCGCGTCGCAGCGCTTCACGTCCACGTACATCCGGTCGCGCTCCAGCGTCCGCTTCGCCCACGCGTCGATGTGCGCCGTGGACGGGCCCCACAGCGTGAACGACACGTGCGGTTTAGGGGCGGCAGGAGGAGGAGGCACGGCGTCCTCCGCGTCGTCGTCGTCCATCTCGAGGTTGAAGGGTTCGGGCGTCGTCGTCGTCGTCGTCGCGCGCTCGACGCCGCCCGCCGTGCCGCCGCCGCCGCCGTCGTGCACGCGGTTCACGATCGCGTCGCGCGGCCCCCGCGCGGACGCGAACAGATGCGCCGCGGACGCCGCCAGCGTCACCTTACTCCCCTCGACGCGCGCGAGCAGCGACAGCATCTCGTCGATCATGCCCCTCGTGTACCCCAGCCACGGCGTCCCGGTGTGCGTCCACCTGCGCGGGAGGGCAATTGCCCATACGGAGCGACGACGGAGCGGAGTGGAATGAATTCAGGGGCGTCGGTAAGAGTCGAAAGGCGTCGAGGGCGGGCGTCGAAACCGAGGGGTGATGGGCGGAGAGAAACGCCGGGAAGAAAAGTCCTTAAGGAACGGCGTTCACCACGCGAACGCGGTCGTATGGGGACCAGTGAGATGACAGGACGCACCCGAGCGACAGCGTCGCCGTCGGACACGCCGCCGCGCACAAATCCACGAAGCGCTCGCCGTCGATCGGGTCCCTCCCGCCCGGTCCTCGCACGACGTCCGCGTTGAGCCACAGCGGCGTCGCCGCGAGCGCGGCGGCGCGCTTCGGCGAGCCGATCCCGGTGCCCAAGAACCCGCGACGCTCGGGCGCGCCGACGCCCGCGTCTTTCAGTCGCGCGACGCACGGCTCGACGCACGAGAGCTCTTTGAAGTCGAGCTTGACGCCGATCCGTCGCGCGCCTTCCGCGCGAACGTGCGCCACGATCGCGCGAACGAACGTCTCGAAGTCGAGGTCGCTCGCCCTGGATAAGTCCGGCTCCGTCGCGTGCGTGGGGAGCGGGTGCGCGAGGAGCACGTCGGACGCGCGCACGACGCGGCCGTCGCGATGCGCCTCGACGCCTTCCCTGCTGAGCATGAGGTCGACCTCGAGCATGTGCACGCCGCTGTCGTCCGCGAGCGCAGCCTCGAGGAGCGCGATGGAGTTGACCGCGTGCGCCCAGACGAGGTCGCGCGCGGACGCGAGGCCGAAGTGCGACACCGCGTCCGAGGGAGGCGACGTCATCCCGTGACGTAATTAATTAATCTGTCCAAATCAAATCAAATTCCGAGGTGACGTCCGTCCGCGCCGCGCCCGTCGACCGTCGGCGCCGGGCGGGGGTCGCTCGCTCGAGTTCGCGCGGCGCGGCGCGAGCGAGGAGATACGCGTCTCCGCGCGGTGGGGGGCGTCGTTCGAGCGCGACGACGACGCGGCGAGGCGCGCCTCCTGGTGTGTCTGAGAGAATTCTCGGACGCTCGCGCGAAGCGTGTGGCGCTTGGCGCGAATCGGAAAAAGAATCTCACGAAGGGGCGGTCTCGAAACGACGCGCGCGGCCGACCCAGGATTCGCCGTCGTATGAGCAAACAGTCAGCACGCCCGATGGACTACTGTCTGACTGTACGCGCCACGCAAGATCCGTCAATGCTGACAGTGCACTTTTTCGAGGCTGCCTAGCGCGACGACATCACCGCGCCGCGCGCGCCGCACGCACGCGCGCGCGCGATTCGCATCCCCGACCGCGACGCGCGCGATACGCATCATAGTAGCGCCGCGATGGCGGAGCTGTTGGCGCCGCGTCGACGCGTCGGCGACCGCGGCGCGGAACTGCTGACGCGGACCGCCGCTGGGGATCACGACAAGCATCCTCCGCCACCACGCGCGTCGTCGTCGCCGTCCGCGGACGCGACGCCGTCGCCCGAGCGCGTCTCGAAGCGACTGAAGAAGCGCGCGGCCGACGAGAAAGGGTCGTTCTCGGACGACACCGCGGAGAAGCGCGACGACGGCGCGGGCGACGCGACGCGCGCGGAGCTCTTCCCCGCGGACGCGACGACGACGACGACGACGACGCGAGAGAGAGGAAAAAGTAGAGGCGACGACGCCGTTTCTGCTGACTGTGCGCCGTGGGTCGCGCGATGGCTCGATAACGTCCGCGCGTCCGGCGGCCCGACGAACGCGCGCGATTCCATGAAAACGCTCGGCACGAAGGCGATCACGGACCCGCCGGACGGGAGCGAGTTCACCACGAACTGGTTCTCGCACGTCACGCCGACGCTGACGCGCGTGTTCGACCACCTCGGGTGGATCCCTGATCTGGCGGACGCGGACGCGAGCGATGATGAAAAAAACGCGCCCGACGCGTCGTCGTTACGAAACCGCCGTCGTCGTTCGAGCGCGGCGTCGGCGCCTCGACACGTGCTCGAGATCGGCGCGTGGGAGGGCCGAGGCACGCAGTGGCTTCTCATGACGTTGTGCCGCAACCGCGGGAGCACGCTGACCGCGGTGGACACGTGGGAGGGCGGCGAGCAGTACGCGGGCGTGGGGCTGGACCTCGACGACGCCGCGCACGCGGGGGAAGTCGTCGAGGTGCGTTCTATCTTACACCGGTCCCCATACGACCGCGTTCGCGTGGTGAACGCCGATCCTTGAGGACTTCGCCCGAAAGGCGCATCTCTCCTCCCATCACCCCTCGCTTTCAATCCCGACACACCGCGACGCCTTTCAAACTGACGCCTTTCAACTCCGCCCCGACGTCGCTTCGTATGGAACGACCCTGATGAGGCGCGGTTCGACAAAAACGTGTCCAAGGTGACGGGCGTGTCGCCGAACGTGGAGTGTAACCTGAACCCGGTGCGGAAGAGGAAAGGTCGGAGCGTCGCCGCGCTGGCGAAGCTGCGCGTGGATGTGTTTGATAAAACGCACGGCGGTGGACCGTTTTTGGGGTACGACGTCGCGTACGTGGACGGGTCGCACTACGCCAGGGACGTCATGTCGGACGCTTGCGCCGCGTGGAATATGCTCAAACGCGGCGGCGTGATGATCTTCAAAGACTACGGCTGGGACCTGGTCATGAGACACCTGCCCGCGACGTCGTGTCCGAGGATCGCCGTGGACGCGTTCGTGGATCTGTTCGAGGACGAGCTGCTCGTTTTAGAGCGCGGGTACACGTGCGTAGTGCAGAAGATCGCGAATCGAAAGTGATCGAATTTTTGGTTTCTGTTGGCAGTTGGTTGTTTTTTTCAATTCGGGTACAAGTCAAGTGCTGAATACTCGTCGCGAGAGGCGGGCGGACGTCGCGTCGGTCAGTTTGTCGTAGTTTCGAGGATAGCGTAAAAGCAGTTTTATTTTAAAAGTTTTCGTCGTTTCCAAACAGAACGGAGAGCGCGTCCAACGACCTCGTCACGAGGAGTACAGAAGATCCACCTTGCACGCGAACGACGCGCACCACTTCCCCGTGACCCCATCCCTCCGCGCGACGACCCCGGGGGTCACCCGTCGACTCTCTCCTCCCAACCTCGCGAACGCCTCGCACCGCAGATCCGACTTCGCGCGATCCGAGCCCTCGTCCGCAACGCCGAACGCGACGCCCCACCCGGGCGAGCCGCCGTCCTCCCCGGGCGGTCTCGTCGCGGCGACGCCCCAATCGCCGCCGCCGCTCGACGCCCACGCGGCGACTAACGTCTCGTCCCCGACCGCGAACAGGCCGTTCACCCCGAGCTCGAACGACGACGACGACGGCGAAGGCGAAGGCGAGGACGCGGCGGCGGCGAGCGAGACGGCGGCGCGCGTCCCCGGTCGCGCCGTCGCCTGGAGCAACGCCCGCCGCGTCCGCGTCTTCGTCTTCGTCTTCCCGCCGCCGCTCTCGCCGTTCTCGCTGCCGCTGTCGCCGTCGTCGCCTTCGACGCCGTCGCGATCGAACACGCCGCCGCTGACGCCGAAGAGCCCGTCGCCGAAGTCGTACGAAGCGCACGCGGCGGCGCCCTCGCATCGCGACAGCGTCGACGGCCCCCTCGCGCCGAACGAGGTCAGCGCGCCGCCCTTGGACAGCGGGTTCAGCGTCGCCGCCGCGTCTTGGCCTTCGCCTCCGATCGGGGAGATCCGCAGCCACCCGCGCGAGCCGATCCTGTGGCGGTACATCACCTTCTCGAGCGCGACCGTCGTCGGGTCGGCGTCCGACGACGACGACGACGACGACGACGACGCGAGACGGACGACGAGCGAATCCCCTCCCGGGAGCGGCGCGTCGATCGTCGTCACCGCGCGCGGCGCGACGTCGACGTCGGCGGCGGCGGCGGCGCGGTGGTCCCCGAGAGCGACGCCGCCCATCGTGACCCGCGCGTCCACGCGCGCCGCGTCCGTCACCCTGGACGCTCGGTCCGTCGCGACGGATCTCTCCAGATCCCCGAGACGGTCTCTCAGCGACGTGATCTCCCCGAACGCCTCGCGCGTGAGCCGCCGGAGCGTCTGCACGTCGTCCGTGGTGGACGTCGCGGGGGCGTGGGCGTTCTTCGCGGGAGGCGCCATCGTCGACGCGACGGACGAGGACGCGCCGTGCCCGCGCGGCGAACAGTGCGAGCGATTATTTTCGTCGCCGCCGTTGCCACTCCCGCAGTCGATATCTCGAGTTCGTTGATGAGTCGACGCCACGCTGGCCGAGCGCGCACTCTTCGCGCGCGCGACGTCACCGCCGAACGTCCACGATGGCGTCGAGCGTCGCCGCCGCGAGCGTCGTATCCATCGCCGCGCGCGCGACCGAGACGCGTCGCCGCGTCGCCGCCGCCGCATATCGTCGCGCGGGGACGACGACGACGACGACGCGTCTCCGATCGCGCGGACGAGCGCGGGGGCCCGGGGTCCGCGCCGATCGCGTCGCCATCGCCGTCGCCGTCCGCGCGTCCTCGAGCGACCCCACGTCATCGCCGCCGCCGCCGCCGCCGCCGCGTCGCCCCACGCGGCGCGAAGCGATGACGCGCGCGGCCGCAGTCGCGCTGACCGTCGCGCTGACGACGACGACGACGACGCCCCCGCCCGCGCGCGCGAACCCGATCGACGACTTCAACGTCGCCGCGCTGCTGCGAAAGGCGAAGTACTTCCTCGGGCCGCTCCAGCTGATGCTCGATCGGCTCGTCGCGCTCGAGCGCGTCGAGGCGTCGCTGGCCGCGGAGGACCTCGTGTCCGAGCTCGGGAAGGCGACGCTCGACTGCGTCAACCCGCGCGGGCCGCTCGCGTCGTACGCCAACGTGCGCGACGTGTGCACGCTCAACATTCTCGTCAAGTCGGGTGCGTTCTGTGTCGCACTGGTTCCCATACGACCGCGTCGGCGTGGTGAACGCCGATCCTTAAGGACTTTTGTCGTCGTCTCTCTCCGCCCACCCCTCGCTTTCAACACACACCGACGCGCCTCGACGCCTCGCGTCCCCGTCTTCTGACGCCTTTCGACTCCGCCCCGCCGTCGCATCGTATGGGAAAATACCCTCGACCCCCGTCAGCGACGAGAGGGCCGGCGGTGGTGAACCCTCCGGGGACGATCGAAAACGCCAACGTCGTCGCCGCGCAGGAGGCGCTCATCAAGGGCTACGACGCCCTCGCGCTCGAGCTCGGGCGCGCGCCGGTGGGGGACTCGAGGGCGGCCGCGTTCGCGGAGTGCCGCGGGCTCGTGAAGGAGATGGCGTTCGCGCTGTTGGGATGCTTTCGGTTGGAGGCGGGGGACGCCGCGGGGATCGAGCGCGCGTTTCCCGAGTTGTTCGCGGGCGCCGAGCCGGGGACCGCGGAGGCGAACGGCGCGATTCGCGGCGTGCGGTTCAGCTGAGGGTCGTTCGTCGGACGCGCGCGTTATTGTTAGGGGGGATGTTTTTTAATAATAAGCGAGCGCGTTACCCGCGTCGCGGCGGCGGCGGCGGCTGCGCGCGCGGCGACAGTGACGTTTTGAGGTGTTTTGGCCCTGGGCTGCGGCTGTTTCGAGGTTTCGCGCGCGTGTCGTGTCGTTTCGTCCCGCCACGGACCTCGCCACGCGTGACGTCGCCGCAGTTCGTCCCCGCGCCGCGGCCGGCCGCGCGCGCGATGTCGAAGATGCTGACGATATACGAGGAGGACGGCGTGCGAGAGTGGAAGATCGCGGAGTACGACTGCGAGCCGCTGTACTCGCACGTCGTCGAGATCGCGAAGAGCGGCCGCGCGCGATGTCGCAGGTGCGTCGCCGTCGCGTCTTTCGCTTTCGTCGTCGCGTCCCAGACGAATAAGATGATGATGCGGCGAGACGCCTCCTCCTCCTCCTCCTCCTCCTGACCCCCCCCGCCGCGCGCGTCTTCCCGCCTCCCCGCCCACGACAGGTGCAGCGAGCTCATCGCGAAGGACACCGTCCGCGTCGGCGTCCCGATCAAGTGGCGCGGCGGCATGTTCGGATGGATCTCGAGCTGGCAGCATCCCGCGTGCCTGCGCGTCCCCGGCTACACGCGCGACGAGCTGAGCGAGTCCATCCACGGCGCGAAGACGCTCTTGACCGAGGCGCAGCTCGAGTCCCTCCTCGACGAGCTCACGAATCCGGAGGCGGCGGAGCTGGACGAGATCGACCCGAACGCGAGCGACTTCCTCGTCCGCGCGGACGCGCCGTCGCTCGACGCGCCGACGACGCTGACGCGAGAGCTCCTGTCGTTTCAGAGGGAGGGCCTCGGGTGGATGGTCGCGAACGAGGCGTCGGACGTGAGAGGCGGGATCCTCGCGGACGAGATGGGGATGGGGAAGACGATCCAGTGCATCTCGCTGCTGCTGCATCAGAAAGCGAAGAGGGCGGCGGAGCGCGTGAAAAAGGCGAAAGACGGCGTCGCGGCGAGCGTCGCGGACCTCGCGCCTCGGCCGACGCTCGTCGTCGTCCCGACGTCGGCGCTCGCGCAGTGGGAGGAAGAGATACGCGCGTGCACGTCGCCGAACGCGCTGTCCGTGCTCGTGTACTACGCGGACCGCAAGTCGCTCACTCCGGAGGTGGTAGCGAGGCACGACGTCGTGCTGACGACGTACCCGGTCGTGGAGGGCGAGTGGAGGAAGGTGGTGAACCGCGACCTCGTGCGGTGCGAGTACTGCGGCAAAAAACTTCTCCCGCGATCGATGATCTCGCACAAGAAGTACTTCTGCGGCCCGGAAGCGGTGCGCACCGCGAAGCTGGCGAAGAGGGAAGTCAAGCGCGACGTCGCGAACGAGAAGGCGATGCGAACGCTGAAGATCAAGAGCGGGAAAGCGAGCGACGTCGTCGACGCGAACGCGGACGTCGTCGACGCGAAGAAGAAGAAGAAGAAGAAACCGAAGAGGCTCGACGCGGACGCAAACATCGCGAGAGAGGTCGCAGACGCGATGCCGACCATCAGCAACGTGTACAAGGAGCTCATGGCGAAAGCGGGGCGCCCGGCGCGGAGCATGTACGAGGCCGCGCACGACGCGAGGGCGAATCCGTTCGGAGGGGGAGGGGACGACGACGACGGTTCGGATTCCGATGACGGTTCGGATTCCGGCTCGGATTCCGGCTCGGTGATGATCGTCGGCGAGACGCCCGGGGACGACGCGGACGACGACGTCCTGCGCGTCGTCATGGAGGTGTCGCGCCTCGAGGAGGAGGAGCGGCGACGGAAGCGCGACCACGACGGGCTCATGGGCGTCGGGGGAGCGGCGAAGGGTAAAGCGAAGGCGTCGGAGAAGCAGAAGCAGAAGTCGTCGGACGATACGAGTATAAAGAAGAAGCCGAAGCGAACGCCCGGTCCGTACGTGAACTTTTGCAAGGAGACGCGGCCGAAGATCGTCGAGGAAAACCCGGGAATCACGTTCGGCGAGGTCGGGAAGAAACTCGGCGAGGCGTGGAAGAAGCTGAGCGACGACGAGAAGGAGCGATACCGCTCGAAGGTTATACCGCCCGAGGAGGAGCCCAAGGTGGAGCTCAAGGTGGAGCCCGCCGTCGTCGTCGAGGCGCGGGGGAAGCGAACCACGCGCGGCGCGAGCGCGAGCGCCGTCGTCGTCAAGGAAGAGGAGAACACCGATGACGACGACGCCGCGAAGAAGGCGTCGAAGAAGGCGTCGAAGAAGCGCAAGTCCAGACGCGCCGGGAGCGACTCCGACTCCGACTCCGACTGGTCCCCGACCGAGGACGACGCGAAGCGGTCCCAGGAAGACGCGGACTCGCAGATCGCGCGCGCGCTCGCGATGGTAACAGAGTCCTCCGACGCGTCCCCGGACGGCGGCGGCTCCGGCCTCGGCGCCGGCGAAGACGACGTCGACCTCTCCGACTCGCTCTTGCACGCGGTGACGTGGGAACGGATCGTCCTGGACGAGGCGCACAAGATCAAAGCGCGAACGACGAACACCGCGAAGTGCATATACGCCCTGCGCAGCGCGTACAAGTGGTGCCTGACCGGGACGCCGCTGCAGAACCGCGTCGGGGAGTTGTACTCGCTCGTGCGTTTCCTTCGCATGGACCCGCACGCGTATTACTTTTGCAAAGTCAAAGGCTGCGAGTGCAAGTCTCTGTGTTGGAACTTCGGCCCGAACCAGCGCGCGTGCGCGGAGTGCGGGCACGCCGGGCCGAGGCATTACTCGCACTTCAACCAGACGGTGATCAACCCGATCACGCGGTACGGATACGTCGGCGACGGCAAGAAGGGTTTCCTCACGCTCCGCAACGACGTCCTCCTCCCCGCGCAACTCCGTCGGACGAAGGCGGAGAGAGCCGCGGACGTGAAGCTGCCGCCGCTGAAGATTGAGATTCGCGAGACTGAGTTCGACGAGGTCGAGCGCGACTTCTACGACTCGCTGTACATGCTCACGAGGGCCAAGTTCGACGGGTACGTCAAGAAGGGCAGCGTCTTGCACAACTACGCGCACATCTTCGAACTGCTCTCGCGGCTGCGTCAGGCGTGCGACCACCCGTACCTCGTGATTCACTCCAAGACCGCGGGCGCGACCGGGCAGGGCGCGGCGCTCGGGGAAAAGAAGAAGAAGAACGCGAACCCGACCGACGCGCTTCCGGACGACGACGACGTCTGCCGCGCCATCTCCATCGCCGGCGCGGAGGAGCCGAAGCATTACTGCGGCTTGTGCCAGGACGAGACCGAGGCGGACGACGCCGCGCTCGCGGGATGCAAGCACGTGTTCCACCGCGAGTGCATACTGCAGTACGGCTGCGTCGCGGCGTCGCCGGAGAGTGGGAAGAAGGTGACGTGCCCGGTGTGCCGCGTCCCGCTGACGATCGATTTGCAACCGACCGACCTCTCCGGGGTGCCGACGCGCGTCGCGACGTCCATCGCGGCGAAGAAAAAAGACGAGCTCCCCGCGAAGAGCATCTTGTCGCGCATCGACCTCACGAAGTACACGAGCAGCACCAAGGTGGAGACGCTCCTGAGGGCGCTTCGCGAGATGCGCTCGGGCGCGGACGGGCACCTGAACAAGGCGATCGTGTTCTCGCAGTACACGTCCATGATCGACATCGCGGAGTGGCGTCTGAAAAAGGAAAAGTTTGTCGTCGCGAAGCTGTTGGGGTCCATGCCGGTGACGCAACGCGCGGCGAATTTGAAAGCGTTCAGGGACGACCCGAACGTCAGCGTGATCCTGATGTCGCTCAAGTCCGGCGGCGAGGGGTTGAACTTGCAGGCCGCCAACTACGTCTTCGTGCTCGAGCCGTGGTGGAACCCCGCGGTGGAGATGCAGGCGCGCGACGCGCCCGCCGGTCCGCGCGGTTTCATTTTGTATTTCACCCACCCCTCGGTGTCAACGTTTGACCGCGTCCCCTTTCAACTGACCGATGCATACCGTAATCCGTTTTTCTCTTTTCGTTTCGGCAGGCGGTGATGCGCGCGCATCGCATCGGACAGAGACGCGCGGTGACCGCGGTGCGATTTTCAACGAAGAACACCATAGAGGAGCGCATGATGCAGCTGCAGGAGAAGAAACGGCTCGTGTTCGAGGGGTGCATGGACGGGAACCAGGCGAGCTTGTCGCAGCTCACCGAGGAAGATTTGCAGTTTTTGTTCAAGCGGTGAGAAGGACGGGAAGGCGGCGACGGCGAACGACGGGACGGGCGAGGGGGCGGGGACGGCACGGCGCGACGCGCGCGAGGGATGATAGATAGAACGATAGAATCGACGACGACGACGACGACGACGACGACCGACGACGCGACGAGAGAACGACCGGCGAGACGTCGCCGGTGAAACGAAACGCCAGTCTGTTTTTCAGGGTCAACGCGGTTTCACTTTTTTACGATGAAATTCCAAATTTCACCCCATGTAGCTTTCAAAGTTTTCCGATGAAAGAGGCCGCGTGGTTGTTCCTCCTGCTTGCTCATACGGCGGTGATCATGTTTGTCACGTCCTCCTCCAGCGTCAACGCCGTTTGAGCCGCGGCGACGCGCAATCGACGACGCGCGCGACCCTCGCGGACGCACGTTCAGGACACGCGCGCGCGGGCGTTCATCCCGCACGCGTCGTTCTCGAACGTTCTTCCGCTCGGAAGCGCACGCGATCGCGAACAGGAACCAGCGCGCGCGTCGAAGCGACGCGAGGAGCTTCGAGCTCGAGAAGCGTCGTCGCGTCCGCCCGCCTGGCGGCATTCCGCGCCCCTCCGCGAGAGAGGGGGAGGGGGAGCATCTGACGCGCGAACGTTCACGCGCGTGATTTGCGAACCGCGCGAGGCGCGCGAGGAGCGACGCGCGAGCGCGCGTCATGGCGGCCAGATCGTGCGTCCCCCGCCCGTTCGCCGTCGACGTCGCGCGCGCCGCGAACGATCTTCTCTCCCACAGCACGCACGCGTCTCTCCAATCAATCGCGGGCGCGCCTCCGCCCGTCTCTACTCGTTTTTTCCCCGCCCGTCGAGCCGCCTCCCGCCCGCGGGTTCCTGACGCGCGCGCCGCTCTCTCCACCCCCCACCGCCGCCACACCCCCGTCTCGTCCTCCACAGCGGCGCCGCGCGCACCGGGCACCACCACGTCATCACCGGCGGACGCTCGACCCATAACATCTCGAAGAGGAAAAAGGCCTCGAAAAAATCATCATTCGGAGGATGGACGGGCGAGCAAGGCCGCGGCGGCGACTTGTTCGACATGGAGACCTGGGACGACCCGGATCTGAACGCGGAGGACCGCACGCGGATCGACGGCGACGTCGTGACGATCACCGCGGACTTGAGACAAGCGCTTCGAGATCGAAATAAGCGAGCCACGGGGTACTGGCACCTTTTTTGTTACCTCTTCTTCGTGGTCTTCTACATGGCCGTCGTGTGGATACAAGCGGACGTGGAGAACGCGTACCGGGTCACGTCCAGCGTCCAGAGAGTCCTCTTGCCGAGGGACGACGACGGCGAGGTCGTGACGCGGATGACGTCCCCGACGCAGATTCTAGACTGGCTCGTGGGCTCCGCGTTTCCGGTGTGGACCAACGAAGTCTGCGGCGACGGCACGTGCGCCCCGCCCTTCGAGTACCCCGCGTACGGACGCTTCGGGTGCCAGGCCGACTGCGGCGTCGCGCACAACTTGGTCACCGTGCTGTTGCAAGTCCGCGCGGACTTCCGCGACGATTTATATTCCCCCCGAGCGTTGATGACGGCGGCGAAATGGAATCTCTGCAGACGCGACCAGGAGGCGTACCGAGCCGGGTACCCGGACGTGTGCTGGTGGGAGAAGGACCGGACGTTCACGAAGTTCAAGGAGAATCACCTCGAGACGGTGAACGTCCCGAAAGGAAGCCAGTGGATCGTGAAGATCACGGGGGATTACATGGGAAGGGTCGCGGGAAACGTCTTTTTGTCTGAAAACGGCGCGTTGCCGTGGGTCGGCACCGTCCCGGACTGGAAGTCGTGCGACCGGAACATCATGAGCACGCGCCGCGCGGTGGACATCGCGAGCGGGCGCCGAAGGAGCCTCCTCGAGGAAGTCACCGAGGAGCTCGAGGCGCACGAGGCCATCTTGAGGAAGCACCATCCGACGGGCGCGGCGGAGCTCACGGAGGGGTCGCTCGAGGAGCTGACCGCGAGGCTGCTGAGCAGACGCGACGTCGAAGTCCTCGCGGCCGCGGAGGAGGACGCGCGTCTCAACGCGACGCGCGGGAACCCGAATCGCATCGACGGACGGCTGCTCGGGCAACGGTCCGCGGCGGCGCCCAAGCATCGCGTCGAGCATTACTTGCGCGTCGCGTCGAAGCGCGCCGCCGTGTCGGGGGAGGGTATCGAATCGCCGGGGGAAGAAGCGCGCGCGGCGGCGGCGGCGCCGGCGCCGGCGGTCGCGCCCGACGTTCACGCGACGCTGCACACGTCCTCGGCGGCGCGAGAACGAGGCCTTGGACCCAGGCGACGGCTCCTGCGAGCGCACAGGCTCCGAGAGGCTGAGGCGGCGCGCGGCGACGCGTCCGCGTCGGGACGCGCGCGCGGCGGTCGCCGCCGACTCGCGTCGCACAACGCCGCCCCGGGGCCGGTGACGCCCGCGCCGTACGTCTCCCAGTGGAGCGCGTTCCCCCCCGAGGTGGATCCAAAACTCGAGCCGCGGCCGTCCTCCGCGGTTTTCCGCGCCGTGGGCGGAGGAAACGTCAGCGTCGACGCGGCGGACGACGAAGCGCGCGCGCCGACGGCGGCGTCGAGTCTGCACGCGACGTTCGCGGGCGACGAGGTGTGGTCGTTCTCCACCGCGCTGACGTTCGAGGCGTGGGTGATGCCGGCAGATTTGACCGACGACACGCGTCCGGAGACGCTCGCGTGGTTTGGCGACGTGGATTCGTACGGGTGGGGGATTCAGCTGTGGCCCGGAGGATTTTGCCCGACGGAGACGACGGAGACGACGGAGCCGACGCGTCGCCGGAAACTTTTGGACCACGTGGAATGCTTGCCGCACGAGGTGAACGCGTCGTACCCCGGCGGGTGTGATTACGGCGCGCCGCTGCCGGAGCCGCCGCCGACGCCGGAGCACTTGCAAGACGCGGTCGTGTTCGTCATGAACGGTCACGTCGCGTGCGCGGACCTCCCGTCGTCGAACGTGTCTCTGGAACGCGGCGATTGGAACCACGTCCGCGTCACCGCGGGGCCGTCGGACGAAACTCTCGGCGTCGGCGAGGGGAACCCGATGATCGTGAAGTTTTACGTCATGGGCGAAGAAGCCGGGAGGTTCTCCTCCGCGGACGAGTTCTGGATCGACGTCGGCATCGGCGTGGCGACGAACCTCACGCTCGGAAGCAGAGCCGGAGCGATGCCGTTCACCGGATGGATAGACAACGTCCGGCTCTTGGACGTCGTCCCGCCGGCGTGGTACGTCGACAACGCGAGAAACGCGCTGTACGATTTCGACGTGTTCCCGGTCGAGCTCGAGCACAACATCATCGCGAGGTACGACTTCGACGGCTTGGAAGCGACGGATAAGGGGCCGGGGTATTTCGAATACGGACACAACATGACCGCGACGACGTACGTGGACGAGGACCACGTCGGTCCGTTCTCAGAGGAATACTATTTCGAGGCGCCGATGGTGTACTTCGACGGCGACACGCAATACCTCGTCACCGCGCGCGACCCGAAGCTCGAGCCGTCGGATTACCTCTCGTTCGAGGCGTGGATCAATCCGTGGGGCTATTCGCAGATGGACAGACCGATCATCGCCATGGGCGACTTGGGGTGGTCCGTGTGGCTGATGTGCGCGGGTCATTCGGGAGCCGGTGAAATGTGCTGCGGACGCGGCAGACACGGATCGCACGCGCTCGCGTTTATGTCCAAGCACGGCGCGGACGCGGACGTGTGCGACGACGCGCCGTCGCGCGGTAACGTTCACCCGGGCGTCTGGAACCACGTCGCGGTGACCGTGGACAACGTCCTAAAGAACGTGACGTTTTACGTCAACGGCACGAGCGTCGGGAGCGTCGTGTCGCACGCGGTGGGTCTGAACCCCGGGTTCGGCGACCTCACGATCGGATCGTGGCTCCCCGCGTCGGATCTGCCGTTTAATTTTTCCATGTTCGAAGGGTTCATCGACGAGGTTCGCGTCTACAACGCGGTTCTCCAGCCGGAGACGATCGCGACGTTCATGCGAATGACCGACGTCGCGGGAATGCACCCGAACCGAGACGACATGATCTTATACTACACGTTCGCGAGCGGCGGCGGCGAAGGCGGTTTGCTGCGCGACCGCGGCGTCGTCGCGCCGCACATCTCCGCGGCGGCGCAGTCGAACAGTGACGGGTATTACGTCACCTCCTGGGTACCTCCTCACCTCCTGGGGATCGACCGCGTCGTCCTCTCGAAGGGTTTCCCGAGGCACTGGGACGTCCTCGGCGGCGGCGCGCGCGGCCTCAACCTCACGGACGCGTTCGCGTCGTCCAACGACGGCCGCCGAGTCGCGGTCGCGGCGACGAACGGAAGCGTCCTCGTGTTTGAGACGACGGGCGACGGCGCGTTCGCGCGGCTCGGCGGCGCCATCGACGTCGGGGGCGACGTCGCGGACATCGCGCTCTTGTTCTCCGGCGACGGGACCCGCGTCGGCGTCACCGGGACGCGACCGGCGCGGCCTTCGCCGGCGTGCTGCGCGTACTTCTACGGCGCGAGCCCCGAGGACGCGATGTACGAGTACAATTTGACCGAGCCGCCCGCGCCCGCGGACTTGTGCGGCTACTGCGAACCGGGGTTCGTCTGCCGCGAATCCGTCACAGCAATCGGCGACGAATCGACGCAAACCATCACCGGAACGGAAGTGGACGCGACGAGGCGCGACTGCGTCTCGTACAATCATACCAGGGAATCGTGCATGTATGACTGGTATTCCTTTGAGACGAACGGGTTTCCGTGCGCGAGCAACGACACCGCGGTCGAGTACCCCGCGGGATACGAGAACGGTCACAGGTACATCGGGTACGCGATGATGTATGCGTACGACGCGAACGCGTCCGATTGGGTCGAGTTCGGGTCGGCGTACGAACCCGAGGGACCGGACGAGGGCCCCGTGATCGTCGGCGCGACATCGCACGACGGCTATCACACCGCCCTCGGCATGCCGTTCTGGAACACCCCCGGGAGGAATTCCACGTGCGCGACGTACGAAATCGATTTCGTGAACTTGACGGGTACACTTGACGTGAACTTGACGTACATTCTCCCCGGCGGACGCGGGCGGTACATCGTCGTCTCGCACCTCGATCACATCAACCTCGCGGAGGTGGAGGCGTACCACGCCAACGGCACGAACGTCGCGCGTAACAAGACGGCGACCGCCTCGGGGGTGTGGGCAAATAAAACGTACGCGGAGCCTTCGAAACTCGTGGACGGGAACGTGCATCCGTTCTGGGTCATGGACGACACGAACGGGATCGCGCACACGGGCGGCGGGCGAGACGCGAACGGATACGCGTGGTTTCTCATCGACTTGGGCGAGGTCGTAGACATCGACCGCGTCGTCGTGTACAACAGAGACGACGAGTGCACCGGCGCGCCCGTGTGCCGCTACATGATCGTCGGCGCGCACGTCGTCGTCACGGAGTCGATTCAACCGGACGCGTTGAACGAAAACTACACGTGCACCGCGCGCGCGGCGAACGCGACGAAGCACCACCTCTCCGGCGGGGTGAAGGCTTTCGATGCCGTGTTCAACGAAACCTCGGAGGCGTTCGATTGGATACAAGTCGGCGAGCCGATCGGGGTCGGCGGCGGCGGGAACGCGTGGTGCAAAGCCGCGGACGTGATCGACGTCAAAGACGCGATTCAATCGTTCAGTTTCCTCGACGAGGAGAGCGGCGACCCTTCTTACGGGAGGTACGTGTTCCTCACGAAAGGGTCGGCGGACGGCTCGGGCGGGGCTTTCGGCAGAGGCATCCATTCAATGTACTGGGTGCTGAACATCGCGGAAATTGAGGTGTACGACGTCAACGGCGTGAACGTCGCCCTCGGGAAGAACGTCACCGCGAGCAGCGAAAAAAGCAGCGAACACGGGACGTACTCGCCGGGCATGCTCGTGGACGGCGTCTTGGGAAATTTCGCGCACACCGATCGCTTGCAGGAGGACCCGATGCCGTGGTTCAGGATCGACTTGGGAGAAGTGATGGAGATTTCGCGCGTCGTCGTGCACAACCGCGACCAAGACTGCAGTTCGGACACGTGCGACGACTGCTGCCGCGCGCGCATCCTCGGCTCTCGCGTCGTCGTGACGGTGGATCTGTCCGAGGTGCACGTCGACGCGGACAACGCGTGCGTGGACGTCGCGGGGGCGGCGGTCGGGGCGGCGACGGCGATGTCGCGCGACGGCGACGTCCTCGCGATCGGCGCGCCCGGGTTCCCGATGTATTGGAACCCCGCCGCCGGCATGGTCGCGGTGTTCCAACGCCAAGGCCACGGTCTCGCGAACGCGAGTTGGACGTGGAAGTTGACGATTTCATCCACGCACGCGACGTACGATCACGTCGTCGCCGACGACGTCGTGTATCCAGACGTGAGCTTCGGAGCGAAACTCGCGATGTCCCCGGACGCGAAGACCGTCGCCGTCGCCGCGCGTCGCCTCGCGCATTTCGACGCGTACCACGGCGACGAGCCGCGCCTCGACGCGACGGTGGTGACCGTGTACGACGTCGACGTCGCGGCGGGGTCGCACGAGCGACGCGGCGGCGACATCGTCCTCGACGGCGCGGAGGACGCGTCGGTGTCCGTCTCCGACGCCGGCGACGTCGTCGCGATCGCGTTCAGAGACGCGCGCGCGGGCGCGCGGGCGCGCCAGACCCGGGTGTTCGAACACCTCCCCTCGCGCGGGTGGTCGCCCGTCGGGGACGCGATCTACAATCTCGACGCCGCGGCGATATCCGGCGACGGCGCGCGGCTCGTCGGCGCGGGGCCGCGGCCGCCGACGGGGCCGCCGCCGCCGCCGCCGCCGACGTGCGTCGACGCGCGAATCACGACGACGCAACGCGTGTACGACGACCTGCCTCTCTCGGGACTCGCGCGGTACGTGTTCCTCACCGCGGGCGCCGCGGGGGGGGAACCGTTGACGGCACCGTTGAACGTCGCGGAGTTGATGGTGTTTAACGAACACGGCGTCAACGTCGCGCTCGGTAAACCGTGCTACACGAACGGCGCGTACGAACATTTTTGGTTGAATGTCGACGGGGGATACAAACTCACGGACGGAAACATCGCGGGGGGTCCACCGGAGATCGTGCACTCGTCCTCGGCCGAGTCCGCATATCGTGACGCCGGCTTCGCCGCGGACCCCGGCTTCATTTGGTTCATGGTCGACCTCGGCGACGTCGTGAACGTGTCCCGCGTCGAGCTGTGGAACCGCGTCGACTGTTGCGACGAGCGTCTTTCGAAGATCGACGCGAGAATCGTCCTCGTCGAAGACACGAGCCCCGAATTCTTCGACGCGTCCGATAACACGTGCGTCCCCGCGCCGGAGCCGTTCGGCGTCGACGTCTACGCGCTGCCGTGCGACGCCTCCGCGCGCCCGCTCCACGGCGACGTCGGGAACTGCACGAACGCGCTGCCGATCGGCGCGTCGTGTCGGATCGAATGCGACGCGAACTTCACGGCGACGCGCGACGGGCGGACGACTTGCGCGGCGAACGGCGAGCTCGTCGCCGCGACGTGCGAGGGTCCGCACGCGCCGCCGAACGCGACGCGAGGGCCGGCGTCGCTGTACTTCAACGGCGTCGACACGCTTCTGTACACCCCGCGCTCGGCGACGTTTAACGACGCGACTTTGAACGAGCTGACGTTCGAGGCGTGGCTGAAGCCGACGGAGGGCGCGTCGTCGCAAGTCGTCGCGATGATGGGCAACCTCGGATGGGGCGTCCTCCTCATGTGCAACGAACGCGACGGCCGCGGGCTCGGGTGCTGCGGCGATCACGTCACGAACTCGATCGGGTTCTGGACGAACGAGGACCGCGCGAACGTAAACGCGTGCGCGTCGACGCCGTCGTCCACGGTGGGCGTCGTCCGCGGGGCGTGGAACCACGTCGCCGTCGCCGTCTCGGACGGGCTCGTTCGATTTTACGTCAACGGCACCGCCGCGGGGAACGTGAGCTCGCCGGACGTGCGGTTGAACCGCGGCGCGGCCGCGTCGGTGCATCGACACGACGACGGGCTCTACTTTGGCGCGCTCGGGTCGCTGTGCCCGACGTGTCTTCGGTATCGCGGCGGCATGGACGAGATGCGCGTCTTCGCCGCGGCGCTGACGGCGCGACAGATCGCGTACTTTCACGACATGGACATCCCGATGTGGCATCCGATGTACGATCGCCTCGTCGTGCACTACAAGTTCGACACCGCGCACGGGAACACCGTGTACGACGGGTTCAAGAGCCAAGAGTGGGTCATGTTCGGCGAGCGCGGACAAGTGGACGGGTACCAAGACGCGATCATCACCACGTCCTCCAGCGACGAACTCACCTGGGACGCCGACGACAACGTGGAGGTCCGCAGCGTCCCGGCGCCGCCGCCGCCGCCGCCGAGCCCGCCGCCGCAGCAAGGTCCGGCGTCGATGTACTTCAACGGCTTAGACACGAAGCTCACGGTGAACGCGTTCGATCGACGGTTACAGCCTGCGGACTACCTCACGTTCGACGCGTGGATCAAGCCGGACGCGGACGCGGACGGCCTGCAGACGATCGCGCGGCTCGGCACGGGGGGCTGGGCCATCATGCTCATGTGCCCGTACGGCGCGGGCGCCGGGTGCTGCGGGAACCACGTCCAAAACGCGATCGGGTTTTGGTCCGCAAAACGGCCGCACACGCAGGCGTGCCAAGAGACGCTCTCGTCCACGCGCGGCGTCCCTCCGGGCGAGTGGTCGCACGTCGTCGTCGTCGTGTCCTCCTCGCCGGAGAAGAACAACGTGACGTTTTACATCGACGGCGAGCAAGCGGGGTCGCACGTCAGCGACACGCTCGGGACGATCAACCGCGGCCTCACGTTCGACGAAAATGGCAAGTTGATATTGAAAACCAACGGCGAGCCAGCGCGCGACAGAAGCGACGCGACCGGGTCGCTCGTCGTCGGCGCGGGGCCCGATCTCGGCCTCGGCGCGCGCTCGTGCCTCAACTACAAAGGCTTCGTCGACGAGATGTGGCTGTATCGCTACGCGATGACCGCTCACGACGTCAAGACGTGGCACAAGAAGATCCTCGAGGCGTACGCGCCGATGTACCCGCACGCTATTCTCGGGTACACGTTCGACACCGCGAACGGGTGGACCGTCCTCAACCGCGTCGCGGCGACCGGCGACGTCTTCGACGCGGAGCTGTGGACCGCGGACAGAGGGAACGTGACGTGGCGAAATAGCAGCAACGTCGCCAAGACGTTGCAGCCGTCTCCGCCGCCGCCTCTGGACGTCGCGGCGCCGGAAGGGCCGTCGTCGCTTCGGTTTGGGGCGAACGACACGATGACGTCCGGTTTCATTCGCGACTCGACCGACGGCGCGCTCGCGGTGGACGAGACGCTGACGTTTGAGGCGTGGATCAAACCGAACCGCCTCGACCGAATGCAAGTCGTCGCGTCCTACGGCGTCGGCGACAACGCGACTTCGGGGTGGTCGTTGGCGATCATGTGCCCCGAAGGCGGCGGCCGAGGGTGCTGCGGCGATCACCTCCGCGGCTCGATCGGATTCATCGCGCCGACGCGCGACGACGTGGACGTCGCGACGACGCATGCGCGCCGCCGCGGCCGGAGGCTGACGGAACACGGTGCTCCGGCGAAAACCATTTTGTTTCCCGTGCTCGCCGGAGGTTGGAGCGCGACCCAGGGGGGTAGTGGCCGCGGCGATGCTGCCGACGAAGTCTGGAACACCATGGCTATCCTTCAAACCGGCATCGACGACGGCACCATCCCGAGCACGTACGGGTTAACTATAGACCATACGTCTCTGTCTCATCAGGACGACATGTGTGACTCGGCTAAGGTCGAAGCGGCTCTTCATTCTGCGTTGTTTCTCTTTCTGCCGGACCAAGAAAAATTTGATCTTTTCGTCTGCGGCGAAGCGACGGAGTCGAAAGCCGTCATCAAATCTTGGGTTCAAGGCGGCGGAAATATCTTCGTTGGTGCAACTGGGGGCATTTCCAGTGACGGCCGTTCGAATGACGTCGCATTGCTCAACGCCATTTTTGATTGGGATCTCACAAAGTCTACTGGCACTTACGGCACGTTTGGGAGGAATGAAATCAACGCCGCCGGCACCGTGTTTGAAAATATGGCGGCGTCTACTTTCAATCTCCCAGCTACTCAAACCATGTATGCGAATTGTGGAACTTCGCCTTGCCTCCCAATTTTCACCGCGGGCGCCTCTGGCACGGATAAGACGCAATATATCCTCGCCAGGTGGCAGGTCGGCGGAGGGAATGTTTTTCACCACGCCAACAACGACCCGTATCAAGTGTGCCCCATCGCTCAAGTCACGTTTCCGTGGGGCGAAACGCACTCTGCCACGTGCACGCAGTCCCTCGACAAGGATTGGGTCATGAACTTGTTCGTGCAGGTGGTCGTCGAGCTCGCGCGCTTGTCGACCGAACCCCTAAGGCCGCCCGACGCGTGCGCGGACGCGTTTTCTTCGAACGCCACGCTCACGGAGAACGAGTGGCATCACGTCGCCGTGAGCGTGGATGCGTCGCAGAACGAGTTGAACGCGCGCGATCCCACGCGGACGATGAACTTGTACATCGACGGCGTGAACGTCGGCAGTAGGGTCACGAAGGACGTGAGCGAGAAATCTCCCGTGAGAATCCCGATCCCCCCGCACGACGACGAGACGTCCGGGCTGTACCTCGGGCACGGGTTCTGCGACGAGTTCGAAGAGGAAGAGGTCGTCGCCGCCGAGGGATCCCTCATCAAGTGTCACTTCGCGAACCCGTTCGGGGAAGACGGACCGCTGAGCACTTCCGTGTTCCGCGCGATGACGCCTATCATTCGCAACCACGTGAACGGGTACCTCATCGGCGACATTCGATACGTCCCGAGCCCCGGGATCGCCGCGACCTGGTGGGGCGGGGACGACTGGAGCTCGAACGTCACCTCGCACAACTGCCTCGGGTTGACGTTTTTAGAAGAGTTTCTCACCGGAGACGTCGACGCGTACTACGCGCAGTACCCGCCGCCGCCGCCGATGCGCGTGCCGTGCCGACACTACGACGGTTACGTCGACGAGTTCAAGTACTGGGACGCCGCGCTCGTGGACGCCGCGATCAAGACGCACTTCGACAAGCGCATCATCTCGTGGCACCGAAACCGGTTCTCGTTGCTGTCGTACTACAAGTTCGACCAAGGCGGCGGCGCCGAGGTTGAGCCCGAGATGCTCGACGCGTTCGGCGTCGAGAACTTGCAGCTGCGTCCCGGGAACGGCACCCTGGCGCAGATGTGGAGCGTTGACGAGAATCTCGTCGTCGCGAGCGATCCGGAGGCGCCGCCGACGCCGCCGACGCCGCCGCCGAGCCCGCCGCCGCAACAAGGCCCGGCGGCGTTGTACTTCAACGGCTGGGACACGGACGTGTACGGACCGTACGACGCGAGCCTCGCGCCGAGCGACGCGCTGACGTTTCAGGCGTGGATCAAACCGCAGGTGGACGCGCGCGGGCAAGTGCTCGCGATGTTTGGCGAGAACGGCTGGTCGTTGATGCTCGCGTGCCCGCTCGGCGCCGGACGCGGGTGCTGCGCCGGGCAGTATACGCCGCCCGGCGCTCTCATGTTCTGGACGTGGGGCAACGAGAACCCGGGGATCATCGAAGCGGACGAGGACTACTATTACACGAAGAAGCGGCGGAGAAGCCGAAGCCTCCTCGAGCACGACGACCTCGTGACTAAGTGCCAGTCCGCGCCGACATCCGACGTGGCGGTGCGGATGAACGTCTGGCAACACGTCGCCGTCGTCGTCGACGCCGCCGCGGGATCCGTCGCGTTTTACATCGACGGCCAGTTCGCGGGAGAGCGAGGGAGCTCGACGATCCTCGACAGCGGTCAACCCACGGGCGAGGAGTGCGTGTTTGAAGTCGCGCCCGAGCCCGAGCCCGAGCCCGAGCCCGAGCCCGAAGAGGGGGCGCCCGCCTCCGAGGAGGAGCCCGCGGCGGCGGAGACGCCGGCGACGAGACGACGACGACTGCGACGCAAGCTCCTCGAGCACGACACTCCGATTCAATACTCTCCAGCGCTGATCAACACCGGCGGCGCCAGCGCGGCGACCGGCGGCTTACGACTCGGCCGCGCGGGCGCGTGCGAGTACCCGGTCCAGTGCTTGCAGTACGAGGGGTACCTCGACGAGGTGTCCGTGTGGCACGCGGCGATTGCGCCGTGCGAGATTCGCAAGCTGTACGAATTCGGCATGCAGACGTGGCTCCGGGATTTCCCGAACCTCCTCGCGTACTGGAAGTTCGACGAAGCGTACTTGCAGGAGTTCAGGACGCTCCCGTCCGCGTTCGGCCTCGCGCCGTACCTCTCGAAGGTTTCGTCCGAAGAGGACGCGCCGTACGTCACGTGGAACGCCAGCGAAGCGCTCAACGCGAACACGTCCGTCTGGAGAGAGTTGTCGCCGCCGCCGGCGCCGCCGAGCCCGCCGCCGCCGCAGAACGGTCCGTCCGTGATTTACTTCGACGGCAACGGCACGTACGCGAAGGTGACGATCGCGCCAGAGCGATCGTTCGAGTTTCAGCCCCTCAGCGGGCTCACGTTCGAGGCGTGGGTCAAGCCGGTGGCCTTCTCGGGCGTCCAATTCCTCGCGTCGACGCAAAACAAAGGCTGGGGCGTCGCCCTCGGATGCGGCGGGTCCGCGTGCTGCGACGCGCCCGCGGGGGCGCTCATGTACTGGACCGACGTCGATAGCTGCGCGACGAGCTCGGTCGCGATCGCGACCGGGTCTCCGCTCGTCGCGGGGGCGTGGTCGCACGTCGCCGTCGTCGTCGACGCGTCGTCGAACCAGGTGAAATTTTACGTCGACGGCGCCTCCGCGGGGGCGAGGTCGGGGATACCGACGTCCTCGCCCATCACGAACGCGCTGTTCATCGGTCGGTACGGCAACTCCGAGGTCGGGTACTACAAGGGCATCATGGACCAGGTCACGCTCTTCCGAACCGCGCTGTCGCCGACGACGATTAACGAGTTTAAACGAGTCGACGCGCGAGGCTGGCACCCGAACGTCGCGCAGTGCGTGTTGCAGTATAAATTCGACACCGGGAACGGCGTGCGAATCGTGGACAGAAAAGAAGACCCCGCGGGCGGGCGCGTGATGTACAACGCGACGCTGTACTTCCCGAACACGCACGAGCTCTCGACGTGGTTGATCACGGATAACATCGCGGTGAACAACCCCCCCGCGCCGCCGCCGCCTGCGATGTTTGGCGAGGACTACGTGTGTCCCTTCGTGTGCGACTCGGAGCACGTCTCCGCGACGTGCCCGTGCTACGCCCCCGGATGCGACGGCGGCGACGGTTTGGATTTCGATGACATCACCGTGGACTGCATGGAGGATATCATGGACTACTGCGTGAACGATCACGGGTGGTACTACGACCCGGAGGGGTGCTGGCCGTTCGCGTCCAGAGGCGTGGACATTCAAACCGTCCAAGCCGGCGGCGCCGCGACGAATTTTTACGAAAACACGCCCATCTTCGCGGACCGACCGGTGATTCTCGTCGTCCCCGCGAAGGCGTTCAAGAACACCACGGACGTCTTGATCACCGAGGTGAGCGAAGACGAGATGATCGAGAACTTTGGCGGCGACGAGCTGCTGCCCGAGGCGTACGCCGCGCGTCGAAGCAAATTTATCCTCGTTCGCCCGACGGACGCGACGATCGTCTCCGGCTCGCCCGGGAAGCTCCGCATTCCGTTCGACGCGCTGTCGCTGTTCAACGGGCAGTTCCTCGTCGGATACCTCTCGGACGCGACCGGGGACACCTCGTGGGAGACGCTTCCAGGGAAGATCGTCCCGAGAGGCTCCGAGAGGACGGCGTTTCCGGACGACTACGCGCTCATCGACAAGGGGATGGCGAACCGCGAGGAGCTCTACTCGACGAAGACACCGGAGGGCGTGGACGACCTCGAGTTGCTGGCGCACTACGACGGCAGGTCGTGGGAGGATATTTTCAACGCCGAGTACGACGACTTCAGCGATATCACCGGCGACGTGTACTACTACGAAGTGAACGTTCGCTCGTTTGGCGTGTTCGCGGTGTTCGAGTCGGACCCGGGGAACCAGCCGCCGCCGCCGCCGCCGAGCCCGCCGCCGCCGAGCCCGCCGCCGTGGCCCGCCGTCGCGGATTTCTCCTCGGATTTGCGATTCTCGTTCGAGTTCATTGGCGTCTCGAAAGAGCAGCTCGATCTGCAGTTCGACGCGCGCGCGAGGGCGGAGGGCATCGCGGGCGGACCCGTGGCGATGGCGACCGTGTTTCTCGAAGCGTGCAGAGACGGCGTCATCGCGACGACCGGTCTCGCCGAGAAGTACGTCCGCATGGAGCAACTCATCGACTGCACGGAGGAAGAAATTCTCGAGGAGAAAGATATGTATTGCGAGGAAGACGAGGGCGTCTTGGTGCCGTTCTCGCTCGTGTTCACCGGCGAAAGCATGTTCAGCCCCGGCGTGGTCCCCAACTGGATGTTCGATCTGCTCGAAAACGACCCGGGGAAAATCGTCGTGGACTCGCTCGCGACGTACTTGTTCACCGAGGACGTGCGAGACCCCGCGAATATCTTCACGACGTCGATCACGGTGACGGAGACGAAACCGGACCCGCCGCCGCCGAGCCCGCCGCCCCCCGTGGACGAGTCGCAGATCGTCTACGTCGCGCCTCCGCCGCCTTCGCCGCCGCCGATTAAGGTGGTCACCGTCGCCGCGGCGCCGCCGCCGCCGTCGCCGCCGCCGCCGGATCCGTTCGCGGTGTGGACCGCGCCGCCGCCGCCGCCGCCGCCGGATCTCGATAAGCCCACGATCGAGCTCTACCTGAACGAGCCTGACTGCGAGAGCACGGGGACGAACGAGGTGACGTGCAAACTCCTGCAGACGGTCGTCTCTGAGATGTACTCGGATCCGGGGTTCAAGGCGAGCGATAAGCAAGAGGGCATATACGACGCGTGCGCCTGGTCCGGCCGCGACAAGAGCCGGCCGTGCGTCGACGTGAAGGGCTGGCCCGCCGGGTTCAACGAGTTTGGCGACGGCCAGGTCGATCTCACCGTCGAGAGGATCGACAAGCCGTGGACGATCACGTACGACGTGTCGGACAGGTCGACGGCGACGACGGGCGGGAACGCCGCGGCGCGTCAGACGCGTTTAGTCTACGTCTTACCCGATTGCGACGTGGACCCGGTTTGTCCGGACACGCAGCTCAAGATTTGCAAGTCGCTGTCTTCCGAGACGAAGACCGTGTGCGAAACCTGCGACGCGTCCGGGAACACGATCTGCCTCGACCCGGGGTTGGCGGAGGAGAAGGCGGACACGCGGCCGCCGAAAATCACGACCGCGTTTGACATCAAGATGCCACTCGGCGAGGACGGCGACGGGCAGTTCGCGGGCGTGTACGCCGCGGACGCGCTCGGGAACGTTCAGGCGTTGTCGTACGTCGAGCAAGGCGTCGAGTTCAAAGATCCGGGCGCGACCGCGACGGTGACGATCACCTCGGAAGACGCCAAGACGGGGGTGAAGGAGACGGAGACGATCGACATCACGGACGAAATCGTGACGTACACCGAGGGCGAGACGGACACGGAGATTCTAAAGGCGGGGTCGACGTTTTATATTCGGTACAAAATCGCGACCGGGGACACGACGAGCCTGATCGCGACGCGAATCGTCATCGTGATCAACCCGTGCGCGACGATGGTGGACTCGAACCTCGGGCTCACGCTCGTCGGGTCCAAGGCGCTTCCGAAGTTTACCAACTCGGAGGGCGCGTTGGTCGACGAGATTTTGTGCAGGGACGAGGACGAATACAAAGCGACGGGAGAGGAAGTCTTCTACTCGGACGCCGCGTGCAGCGACGGCGCGAATTTCCCGAACCGAGAGAAAAACTACGGCTGCGGCATGCGCATGGCCGCGCCCGCGGAGGAGGAAGTCGTCAAGATCAACGTCGCGCCCGAGCTCGTGCTCCTCGGCAAGCCGGTCGTGGAGATCATTCAAGGCCAAATCTGGAAGCCGTGCTCAGACACCGCGGGACCGACGGACGTGTGCGATAAGGGCATCGACGGCGCGCTGAGTTACGATCTCGACCAAGCTGAGGCTGACGGCGGCGTCCGATCCCCGATATCGAACTCGCTCATCATGGTGTGCAAGGACGATCCGACCGACCCGGACAGGGACCCGGACGCGCGGCTCAACCCGGGGGCGAAGTGGGACGCGCTCAAGACGGGCGCGCAGACGGACATGGCGCGCGTGTGCGGGTTCGACACGAACACCCCCGGCGCGTTTAAGGTGTCGTACTCGTTCACGGACCCGAAAGGGCTCGAGGGGAGGCTCACGAGAGACGTCATCGTCGCTCCGGATTGCTCGCTCACATTGAACCCGAATAACAACCTGCCGGAGAAGCAGTGCGAGTCCAAGGTTTCGAACGAAGAGACGGGCATCGAAGAGGTCGTGTGCTCGAAGAAGGGCTGGTGCGAGTTCGACAAGGTCGTCGAAGAGGATGACCTGCCGGACACGCCGCCGGTGATCACGATGAAATTGGTCCCGGGCGTCATCGACAAGACGGTGAACGTGCGTCAGTATCAATCGTACGACGCGTGTAAACCGGGCCAAGTCCCGACGGAAGAAGTTTTCGGCGACGGCTTGTGCGACCCGGGGTTCGACGCGTACGACAACAAGCAGTACTATGATCTCGGCGTCATCAAGACGACGCTCAGGAACCTCACGTCCGAGGTCTTAGCGTGCCCGCCGAAGGAGTGCGAGACGAGGGCGTCGTGCGACGACCACAAGTTTACGACGAAGGGCTTAAAAGGCTGCCTCGACACGAGCGTGCAAGGACCGATTCGCATCGCCTTCACCGCGCGCGACGACAGCGGCCAGATCACGACCGCGTACAGATCCATTCAGGTCGTCGACCCGTGCCCGCCGTCGTACGCTTACTGCCCGGGCGTGGGCGATCGAGGGTGCCAGCCCGAGGACGTGTGCAAGAACGCGGAGGCGCTCGCGGCCATCGCCGGCGCCGCCGAGGTGGCAGACACGACCCCGCCGTCGTTCGAGCGGTTCATCCCGAACGGCCCCGTCTTTCTGGTGTACGATGACGACCGCATCAGCGACGGCAGAACGCCGTTCAAGGTGTGCGGCGACGCGGCGGCGATCGCGGCGGCGAGGGCGCAAAAGACAGCCGGCCAAACGACCCCGACGGAGTACCCGTGCGCGTTGGCCATCACCGACGACAAGGACGACGCCGAGCTGTATCTCACCGCGGCCGGCAGCAGGGCGCAACAATTCAGACGCCAACGAGACGATAAGGGGAGCAAGACGCTACATCAACTTGACCTCATCGGCGCCGGGAGGGCGGCGCCGGGGCAGTACCATTACGAATACGTGGCGTGGGACTCGAGCGATAACGAGGCGACGCACCCGCTCGTGATCAACGTCGGGCTTCGGTCCGCGAACCTCTCCATACCGATCACGATCGCTTCCGCGACGTATAACGGCGCGAATTACGTTAGCAATCTGAAGACCGAGCAGGCGGGGTTCATGACGGCGGCGTTGCCGACGTGGCAAATCTTTTTCGGCGCGCAGGACATCGACGTTGTCAACGTGCAAACCTCGGGCGCGAACACGATTTTCCAGCTCAACACGACGTTTTACCAGCTGTGGAATCCCGCGGACCCGACCACGTTCGATAACACCCGGAACTGGAACACGTCGGACGCATGGGCGCCGGAGCCCGCGGCCGCGGCCGCCGCCGCCGCGTCCGGTCGCCGACGGCTGATGAACGACGCGTCGCCGTCGCCGTCACCGCTCGCGAAGAAGCCGCGCCGCGTCTCCAACCGCGGCCGAGGAAGAAACTTGCTCCAAGCCTATGGCACCGCGTCGTCGTCGGCGACGCCGGTGGATGAAGCCCAAATAAAGAGGGACCAGATCGAAGCGAGGATCACCCAGCTCTCAACAGACGTCGACGCCGCGAACACGAAGCTCATCAACGTCATCAAGCCGCTGATGGACAACGCCGGCGGCAACGCGGGCGCGTTCGTCACGAGACTCACCACGCTGTGGAGTAACCAGCTCGCGGTGGCGACAAACGCGCAGACGCAGCTCGCCGGCACGGCGCTGACGATCCTTCAGAAGCTCGACGCCACGGTGACGTACCAGCAGCAAGTCTTGGAAGCGGCGACGCAGGCGGAGATTTTGTTGAAGAAACAAAACGACGAACTCCGGTACGTTTTATCCCGGAGCGGAGTCGAAGGGGACGGCCTCGGCGCGCAGTGCGAGTACAGAAGCAAGCTCGGCGCGGCGGAGATCGCGTTCAACGCGACGAAATTTTCGCTGTGGATTCCGCATCCGCCGCCGAGCCCGCCGCCGCCGCCGAGCCCGCCGCCGCCGCCGAGCCCGCCGCCGGCGGCGGCGGCGGCCGGACGAAGGCGGCGAAGGCTCCTCCGCGCGGAGGAACCCGACGACGAGGACGAAAACGACGAGGGGTTCATGCCGCTCGTCCGTCGTCTGCTTCGCTTCGGCGGCGGCGGCGGCGGCGGCGGCGACGACGACGACGAAGCGTTCGAACGCGCCGAGGCGTCGCCCACGTCGTCGCCCACGTCGCGAAGGCGTCTGCTTCAGTCGGGCAACGCGAACTGGGACGTCAGCGACTGGCACGGATACGAGATCTTGCGCGAAGGCGTGACGGAGCAGTACGCCAGGGAGCCCTCGTACGTGCAGCACAGGACGGTTCAAAACGCGAACCGACTCGTCGGCGGGATTCTGCTGCATCAAGTCCGAAACGAGTTTGAAAAGTGCGACACGAAGCGCTTCGAGAAACTCGCGGGGCGGTGCCGCTCGGAGATGCCGTCGGTCAAACCCTTCGGCGTGGACCCGATCTTCCGTCGACCCCCGGTCGGCAGCGAGGACCCGAAGAACTTGTTCAACGCCGCGCTCGAGTCTGAGATTAACGCGTATTACGACACTTCGGATCCGCAAAAGAACGTCACGATGATGGACGTCGCGCAGCCGACGCCGTACGGGTTCATCCAGCGCGATATCCCTGGGTATCCGAAAGGGTTCCCAGTGTACTTCGACATCGCGGCGTCGCGCGATCACGTCGCGAACGTGATTCAGTACATCAAGGAGGGTTTATATTTCGACCCGCTCACGCGCGCCGTCACCGCGCAGGTGGTGACGTACAACGCGAATTTGAAACAGATGGCGAACACGCTGTTGACGTTCGAGTTCATGGAAGCCGGGTTCATAGAAGTCACGTCGAAGATCACGAACATGAACGTGAAGTGGTACACCGACAAGAGCGACGATAACGACGATGACATCGACGACGGGTACGTCCAGGGCGTCATGGAGGGTCTCCTCGTCGCCATGATAGTCTACGGAGCGCTTCGAGAGATGCTGGATTTCGCGCAAAACTGCGTGAAAGAAGGCGGTCTCCTGAGCGGCATTCGCGTGCACTTCTCGCAGTTTTGGAACGTCATGGATTTTATAAACATCGCGTTGCAAATTCTCGCGGTGTTGCTGTGGTTCAACTACCAGGTCAAGCGAAGAAAGGAGCTGAGCCCGAGTCTGCGATACAACGTGTACGATAACCCGACGAGCCCGATTGCGAATTATTTCATGCCGTACAAAGGGCCTTCGAGCGCGAAGCCGATCGACCCTAATTACGTGTTGAACCCGATCGCCGCGGGCGCGAACGCGACGAACACGATGCATCGGTGGGAGCTGCCCATGGACGATTCCGGGATGCAAAAACTCGGGGAGCAAATGCAAGTCGCGCAAGAGCTCTCGAACCTTAGCACGACGTACTTTTGCGTTACCGGGGTGTCGTTCTTGTTCATGATCGCGCGCGCGCTGAAGTTTGTGAAGTTCCAGAGACACTTGGACCTGACCGTGCGCACGCTCTCGAGGGCGTCGCTCGACCTCGCGCATTTCCTCGTGGTCATGTTCATCTCCCTGACGTGCATGATGATGATCGGTCACGTCATCGTCGGCGCCAGGGTGGAGTATCTGTCGACGTTGTCGGAAGCGTTCAACTTTCACTTCGAGATGTTGTCCGTCGGCGAGGGCGTGGAAAAGCTCGGCGCGCTGTTCGTGGACGAGAACGAGGTGCGGACGTGGGTGGACAACCTGTCGATATCGCTCTACGCGTTCTTCATCCCCACGTACTTGCTGTTCGTGCTCCTGAACATCCTCCTCGGCATCTTGTGCGACGCCTTCGGCGAAGAGAAGGAACTCATCGAAGGCTCGGACGAGCCGACGATGTACGACGACTTCAGCGCGCTCGTGTCGTACAAGTACGGTCTCTTCCGGAAACAGCACCCGAAGTACACGAAAATGATCGAGATACTGAGGGTTATGAGGGAGAGCAAGACGAGCGCGGCGGCGAAGACGCTGTCCGACGGCATGAAACAAGCCGGCGGCGGCGGCTTGCTGGCGCGTCTGAAACAAGCCGGCCTCGCGGAGCAGTCCGAAAAGTCGCTCGCGAGGGGCGCCACCGCGGACGACAAGAAGACGACCATGCTCGACTACAGAGCCGCGGCGCAGAGCATGAAGATGCGCCACGAAAACCTCGAGCAGAAGATTGGCGAGCACGCGCAGCAGGGGAAGCAAACCCTCGCGGCGAGGCTCGCGGCGAGGAAGAACCCGCGCGGCCCGGAAGCCGCGGCGCTCGCCGCGCGACCGCCGCCGGAGTCGTCCTCGTCCGCCGCCTTCGCCGCCGCGGCCGCGTCGTCGTCGGACGACGACTCCGACGGCTTCCTCCCCGGGTCGCCGTCCGCGGCGCCGACGACGGACCGCGTCGCGCCGAGCCTCACGCGCTCGCGCGGCTCGATGATTGCGCGTCGCGACGCGCAGACGCGACAAATCGAAGACGACGCGGAGGCGTCGCGGCTACGCTTAAACGCGCGACGACGCGGCGGGATGTCGAAGAAGCAGAACTTCTTCGACAGCGCGGGCGCGGTCATGGAGAGCGTGTCCCCAATCCCCGACCGCGTCGTGCCGTCGACCTCGACGTCGATCCGAAGCCGAAGCGGCGCGCGCGAGGGGACGACGACGACGACGACACCGACGCGCGCGCCGTCGCAGAGCGCGCGACGGGCGACGTACGACTATCAAGAGGCGTCGCGCCGGGACGTCATGGAACAGATCGAAGCGCAGATCGACACGATGGCGGAGGGGAGCCGGGACCGGCTCATGCGCCGCCTGAGCTCGCGCGGCGGGAACAAAGTCTCGCCGATGCGCGGCGCGGGTCCCGGGCCGGTGATGGAGAGCCGCGAGCGCGCCCCGGGCTCGGGAGCCGGGCCGGTCACGGAGGACGTCTCCGGCGCCGACGACGACTTCGTCCCGGTCAAGTCGAGAGCGATGCGGAAGCTCGCCGTCGCCGCGAGGCTCGCGGCGAAGAAGAAGAGAGGAAAAGGAGGCGACGACGTCGACGTCGAGCGCGGCGAGGCGAAAAGCTTCGACGAAAACGGCGTGGACGTCGCGTCGTTGACCAAGACGGACCCGATGACGCAGGCGGATCTCGCCGCCGAGGGCGGCGGCGCCGCGCTTCTCGTGGACCTCTTCAAAGTCGCCGAAGACGTGGACACCGACAGCGACTCGGAGATCGACGAGAGCGAAAAGGCGAGACGAGACGCGTCGAAGCTCGTGAAGCCGACAGGGCGTAGCGCGTGGAGCGCGGTGAGCAAGTACGCCGCCCTGCCGCGACGCGCGACGGTGGACGTGAGCGACGACTGGAAAGACCTGATGGACGACTCGTGGCGCGAGTTCATGCACGAGATCAAACGCAAAGAAGCGATGAAACGCGAGGCGAGGATGTTCCGCCTGAACGGCACGCTCTACACCGAGGTGGAGATTGAAAAGTTCCTCGCGAACGCGGAGCGCGGCGTCCGCGCGTCGGGATACTTTGGCTACGAGCCGCCGCCGCCGTCGGAGATCGACGCCATCCTCCGCTCGATCAAGTCGGGCAAAATTCAGCAGCACTGGACGTTGACGTACGACAGCGACGACGAGAGCGAAGACGAGGACGAGGTGGTCAACGCGTGCAAGGACATTCAAAAGATCCTCGTCGATAAGCTCGAGCGGTACGTGCAGAGAGAGCTTGACTCGCAAGAGCGGACGATCAGGTGGCAGGCGGACGTCGAGGAGGCGATGCGCGTCATCGAGGAGGAGCTCGTGACGACGCATCAGGTGATGTCCGCGATGGCGAAGAAGAGACAATCGGGCGCCGAAACCGACGCGGTCATGGACGGCGTCGCGAGGGAGCGGCTGTGGGCGACGCTCGAGGCGAAGCGCGCGCTGAGAGGCGCGCTGCAGGGCGCGCCCGGCATCTCGCTCGACGAGGACGACGACGGCGGCGGCGGCGGCGGCGGCGCGGACGCGCTGTCGCCGTCGGCGGCGAACTTTGATTTCGACACGTCGTCGGATGAAGAGCGCGACGGCGGCCTCAAGCAGAGGTTCTTCAAGAAGGACGAGGACGGCGGCGAGGGGGGCGAGGACGTCGGCGGAGAGAAGAAGGTCGCGATGATGCGAAGGCACCGCGCGGCGAAGCAGATGGTCAAGGCGAGGAAGCTGGGCATGAGCGCCTACTGACGCCTCGACGCGACGACCGAATGCAAAAAAAAAAACACGAGACGTCGCGCCGGCGGAGGAGGATCGAGCGAATGAACGCGTTCGTCTCCATCCACGCCGGCGTTGATTCGCGTACATAGTGAATGATGCGGCGGACGTTTAGATTAGATAGCACGTCGCGTCGAATTATTTAATTCATCATCACGATTTATTTCAGCGACGCCTGATCTCCCTCAGCGGCGACGCAACTAACCAGCCGCGAGTGGACTAAGTTGTTAACCTTACTGACAGGATGCAGCAATAAAAACCTTCTTGTTCAGCCGCTGCCCTGCGTGACGAAAGAGCAGCGCTCATTCGCACTCCGCGCGTCTCGCACGCGCGGCCGACGCGATGGTGTTCCGCAGAGCCCTGGAGTTCGTGCGCGCGTGGCGAGCGCAGACGCAGGCGCGCACTCGCGTCGCGCGTTCCTTCTCGCGTCGCGCGCCTCCCCGACGTGCCGACGACGCCCTCGTTCGCGTCCACGATTCGTTCTCACGTTCGCCCTTCGTCGCCCTCCCTCCCTCGCCCCGCGCGTCGCGCGTCGCAGGAGCTCAACGCCATCAGGGCCGCGAACGAGAAGGCTCGCCAGGATATCGCGGAGGCGATGCGAATCCAAGACGAGGGTGCCGCGGCGAGGGTCAAGGAAGCGATAGGCGAGCTGAAGGTGAGCGAGGATGAGGTGCGAGAGGCCGCGAAACGCGTCGCCGCGGAAGTCGCGGCCGGCTCCGCGGGAACGAAAAACAAACGGAGCGCGGCGGAGGATGTCATGGAGAAGTACGCGCGCGCGATAGAGAACATGCCGATGGTGAAGCGCAAGCGCGACACGGACACGGACGAATAAAAGGTAACTAATCTAGCATCGTTAGAGTCGCGATATATCGTCGTATCATATTCGTGATGATGAGAGGCTTCGCGCGTCTATGTAGTTCCCCCCCAGCCCGTTCGTTCGTTCCCCCGCGCGTCGGTCGACGCGTCGACGCGGTCACACCTTCGCGGCGGCTCGCGCGCGCGTCGCGCGCGTGCGCCTCCCCGGCGCCAGCGCGGGCGCCGCCGCCGCCGCCGTCGTCGGCGACGCGCCCGAGGCATCCTCCGCCGTCGTCGGCGACGCGCCCGAGGCGACCTCCGCCGCCCCCCGCGGCGATTTCCGCGCGCGTTTCCCCGCGCTGCCGCCGCCCTCCACCGGCGTCGTCGCGTTCGCGGAGACGGAGCTCAGCGGCTTCCGTTTCCCCGTCGTCCCCGGCGTCTTCGCCGCCGCGCTCCGCCCCTTCTTCGACGCCGTCCTCGGCGCTTCCTCCGCCGCCGCCGCCGCCGCGTCCTCGCGGTCCTTCTTCGCCCTCGCCGCCTTCTCCGCCGCCGCCGCCGCCGCCGCGGCGGCGTCCGCCCTCGCGCTCGCAAGCTCCGCCTCCTGCGCGGCGAGCTCCTTCTCCATCGCGCCGCGCTGCGACGCGGCGACGGACGCGCGCTTCGCCATCACCGCCTCCGCCTTTTTTTTCGCGAGCAAAGCCTCCTCTGCCTCCGCCGACGTCATGTTCGCCGCCTCGGTCGCCGCCTTCAAGCGCGTCTCCAAGCTCGCTACGACGCCGACGAGCTCGTCAGCTCTCGCGGTCGCGTCCGCCGCGGCGCGGTGCGCGAGCGAAGCCTCCTCTTCGAGCGACGCGCGCAAGCTCTCGAGCTCCGTCGCGTGCGCGGCGGCGAGCGCCGCCTCCGCGGCCTCCGCGGCTTTTGCCGCCGACGCCGCCGACGCCGCCGCCTTCGCTTCGAGCATCGCCGCGGCTGTCTTCGCGCCCGCGGCGCGCTCCGTCGCCCCCAGCATCTCGCGCTCTAACCCCGCCGCCTTCTCTTCCGCGGCGGCCAGGAGCTTCTCCTGCGCGCGCACGCACGCCTTGGCGGCGGCTTCGAGCGTCTCCTTTTGCTTCGCGAGGTCGCTCGTTCGCCTCGCCTCCGCCGCCTCCAGCGCGTCGGCGCTGGACGCCGCGATCGCGCGCGCGTCGCGCAACTCCGCCGCGTGCGTCGCCCGCGTCTCCGCGAGTCTCTTCGCGTGGACGTCCTCGAGCGCGGCTAACGCTCGCGCGCGTTCAAACTCGGCGCGTTTCATCGAGTCCGCCTTGCCGCTCCTCGACTCGGCGCGCGCCTCCTCCAGCGCTTTCTTCACAGCCTCTTCGACCGCGGCGCGCTTCTCCGCCTCCGAGTTCGCCTTGTACTCCTCGAGCGCGCGCTCCGTGAACGCCGTCGCAGCCGCGATGTTCGCCTCCGTGGACGCGAACGCGGTCTCGTTCTCCTCGAGCGTCGCCGCGAGTTTTGCGGATTCCGCCCTGAGCGACTCGATTTCGGCGCGCAACGCCGACGTCTCCTCCTCCGACGCCGCCTTCGTCGCTTCCACGGCTCTCTCTCTGTCCTTCTCGAGCGCCTCTATCGCCGCCGCGGCCGCGGTCGTCGCCGCCGCGGTCGCAGCCTCCACCGCCGCGGCCATGTCCGCCGCCGCCTTCGCGGCGGCGGTCGCCGCGGCGGTCGCCGCCGCCGCCGAAAACGCCGCCGTCTCCGCCGCGCGTCGCTCTTCGAGCTCGGCGAGCTCGGCGTCGTGCGACTCTCGAAGAGACTTCAACGCCGCCGCGGCTTCCATCTTCGCCTGCTCGATCGCGACGTTTCTCCTCCCCTCCTCCGCGGACGCGTCCTCGAGCGTCGCCTCCAGGTTCTTCATCGACGCTTCGTGCTCCGCCTCTCGCGCGGCGAGATTTTCTGAATGCGACGCGCGCAGCGCGTCCGTCGACGCCGAGTGCGACGCCTTCAGCTCAGCCACCTCCGTCTCTCGCGCGCGCTCGAGGTCCGCGAGCTCTCGCCTCAGCGCGGCGACCGTCTCCTCCGCGGCGTCCGCGTTCGCGCGCGCTTCTTCGAGCGCGAACGCGTGCTTCTCTTCGAGCGCGGCGACGGCGGCGGCGCGCTCGTCTTCCATCGCCGCCGCCGCCGCCGCAGCCGCCGCTTCGTGCGTCTTCGTCAGCGCCTTCTTCTCTTCCTCGTGCGCGCGCGACGCTTCCGCGAACGCGGCGGCGTGCGCGGTCTCGATCTCGGCGACGGTCGCCGTGCGCTTGGACTTGAGCTCTTCGAGTTCGGCCGCGTGCGAAGCCTCGAGCGCGGCGCGTGCCGTCTCGAGAGCTTTGATTTCGACGTCGCGCGCCGTCGCCGCCGCCGCGAGCGCGGCTTCGTGCGCCTCCGCCGCCGCCGCGAGCGCGGCTTCGCGCGCCTCCACCGCCGCCGCGGCGGTCTCCTCCGCCGCGGCCGCGCGCGCCGCGTCGGCTTCGGCCATCGCGGCCGCGTGTTTCTCCTCGAGCGCGAAGAGCGCGGCCGCGTGGGACGACTCCAGCGCCGCAGTCGCGTCCGCCGCCGCCGCCGCCGCCGCCGTCGCCGCCGCTTCGTGCGACGCCGTCGTCGCCGCGATCGCATCCTCCTTCGCCTTCGCCGCGTCCGCGAGTCGCGCGTCGAGCTCGCTCGCGTGCGCCTCGAGCGCGGCTGCGAGTTTCGCGTCGTGCGCCTCCATCAGCGACGCGCGCTCGGCGGCGCGCGCCGCCTCCGCGGTCGCCGCGGCTTTCTCCGCGCTCCGTCGCGCCGCCTCCGTCGCGCGCGCGTGCTCGCTCTCCATCGTCTCCATCGCCGCCGTCGTCTCCGCCGTCTTCGCCGCGATCGCCTCCGCGTGCGACGCCGCCGCCGCGGCCGCGTGCGCCTCCACCCTCTCCTTCGCGCGCGTCGCCTTCGCCAGAGCCGCCCGCGTCTCGTCCAGCTCCCTCTTCGCAAAAGCGTGCCTCTCGCGCGCCTCCGACAGCTGCGCTTCCAGAGACGCGCGCGTCCCGTCCAAGGACTCGAGCCGCACGAACATCTCCTCCATGACGGATTTCTGCTCCTCGAACGTCGCCTGCACGCGCGCCATGTTCGCCGTCGCCTCCGCCGCGGCTTTCTCCGCGCTCGGGACGGCGGCTTCGGCGACGGCGCGCGCCGCCTCCGCGTTCGCCGCCGCGTCCTCCGCGTCCGCGGCGGCGCGCTCGGACGCTTCGCGCTTCGCCTCTAGCACCTTGCACAGGGCTTCCGTCTCCGCGCGCGCGGTCTCCGCGGCGTCGCGCGCCTCGATCGCGTTCGCGGCGATGACGCCCTCCTCGAGTCGCACCGCGCGAAGCTCCGCGAGTTCCGTCTCGAGCTTGGGGTCGTTCCGTACAAGCGAACGTCGGGGTGGAGTTGAAAGGCGTCAGTTGGAGTTGAAAGGCGTCGAGGGCGGGTATTGAAAGCGAGGGGTGGGCGGAGAGATGCGCCGGGAAAAGTCCTTAAGGATCGGCGTTCACCCCGCCAACGCGGTCGTATGGGGACCAGTGTATAGAACACACCTTGGTCATCTTCCCCTTCGCCGGGTGCTTCCCGTTCTCCGCTTCGAGCTGCTCCATGCGCGCGCGGAGGTCCGTCATCTCCATGCGCATGCGAATCACCTCCGGAGGGCACTCCGCGAGCTTGCGGAGCTCGGCGAGCTCCGCGTTCGCGTCGTCGTCGTCGCCGGCGTCGCCCTTCTTTCCCTTCTTTGACAGGCTTTTCTTCAGCGCGTCCTCGCGCAGTCTGAGAACCATCTTCGTGGATTGGAGGTTCTTGTCGAGCCGCGACGACAGCTCCTCCACGCCCGCGAGCTTTGTAGCGAGGTCGCGGACGTTCTCTTCCGCGGCGGCGGCGGCCGCCGCCGCCGCGCGGTTCGCGCGCGCGACGTGCAGCTCGAGCTCTCTCGCGCGCGCGCCGCCGCCGCCGCCGCCGCCCGACCCGCCGCCGCCCTCGAGCGCGCCGAGCTGCGCGCGCAGGCGCACAACCTCCGCGGCGAGCATCCGCGGCGCTTCCGACGGCTTCCTCATTCGCGGTCGCCTTCACCTTGACCATCTTCGCGCGCTGCGCAAACTTGAGCGTGGAGAGCGTCTCCTCCGTCTGCTGCGCCGCCGGGGAGACGCACGCGAGCAGCGTGCACCTCGCCGCGCCGCCGAGCGCCTCCTTCAAGAGGAACGTCAGCTTCGAGTCCCTGAACGGGACGTGCCTCTCCTTGCCGTCCGCGACGTCCACGAGCGCCTTGATGACGTTTCCGAGCGCGCTGAGCGACTTGTTGATCGCGCTCGCTTCTTTCAGACGCTCCCCCGCGCTGTCGGTGCTCTTCTGCCGCTCGCTCCCGGCGAGGTCGACGAGGTGCAAGAGCGCGCTTCTCTTCTGCACCGCCGCGCCTTTGAACGGCCGTCTTCGCGACTCCAACGACACGGTGAATACCGCGTGCGACCGCGACGACTCGCGGTTCATCTCGGTCTGACCGACGCGTCGGTTGTGGCTCCCGCGCGTGAAGACGTCGTAGGTTTCCTCCGCCGACGTCACCGCGGCTTCGGTGAGACCCTCCACGAAGACGCCCTTCTTCTCGTCCAGACGGATGACCGGCTGCGGTCCTCCCGTCGGATCTTCGCACAGCAAGTCCGCGACGGTCTCGTTGTAGATCTCGAGGTAGGAACACTTCACGGTGAAGTCGATGGACCCGCCGCCGCCGTTCGCGTCGGCGTCCGCGCCGGCGCCGGCGGCGGCGTTTTCTTTATCCTCGTCGTCCCCGGCGGTCGCCGCCGCTCCCTCGACCGCGTCCTTCTCGTCCTGGATCCTCTGAAAGATCCTCTGCAACACGCGCGGGATGAGACCGCGCTGCTCCGGGTCGCGCGCCCCGGCCGCGCCCGCGCCCGCGGCGTCGTGTTCCATCGCGGCGGCGGCGGAATCGTCGTCGTCGGCGCGTGATACCACCACCGCGTGCTCGTCCGGGCCCTGCATCGTGTACGTCTTCCCCGCGCCCGTCTGCCCGTACGCGATGAGGCATCCGTGGTACCCCTCCAAGAACGCGTCCGTCACCGGGACGCCCACGGACTCGAACACCTCCGCCTGGGTCTGATGCTCGTCGCAGACGTGGTCGTATCCGTACGAGTGCGCGCTCGTCGTCTTCGCCGCGGCGTGCGCGGGATGGAGGACGTCCAGGGACGCGCCGCCCGGGTTGGCGCGCAGCGCCTTGACGTACCCTTGCGAGAGCTCGCGCGCGTTCGGCGGGCGGACGCGGACGAGGACCTGGATGTGGTCGCCGCCGTGCGCGGCGCCGTCCATGGCGAGCGTCGCGTCGGTCGGCAGGTCCCGTTCGCGCGAGATGAGATGCGTTTTCGCGGAGCGTCCGAGGCTGAGGGGACGCGACGCGACGCCGACGCGACGACGGCGGGTCTTCTTTGGTTCGCGGCGACGCGAGCGCGCGACGACGGGCGGTCGCGGTGCGAGCCGGCGCGCGCGGTGCGTGCGTGCGCGCGGTGCTGCCGTTCGGTGTGCCGTCCGTCGCGGGCGAACCGTCGAGCTCGTTCCCCCCTTCTCTTTGCTGATGAGACAGAAAATATAGCGCAGGTTATGGGGTATCCGAACCAATTGCTCATACGCGAGTACGTGAAATCCGTACTACGAAAGTTCTCGGAAAACCCGAACGATAATCTCCGCGGGACCTCTCGGATGAAGAAGAGCGCGCGCGATACGCTTTTCGCGGCACACGTGTCGAGCGATGGCGGCGCGCGCGTGGTGCGCGGCTCGGCCGCGCGCGGGTCTCCATCGACCGGGCGTCATTCGATGGAGGGCCCCGCGAGCGATCGCGAGTCGCCCCGGCGGCGGCGCCGTCGAGAACGACTCCAGCGGAAGCGACGACGACGAAGATGTTCGCGCGGCGAGGAGAAATAAAGCGCGGAGGGCGGGGGCGCTTTCGAGGAGCGCGGCGTCGCGCGCGGGGGGCGATCGTCTGCCGCCGCCGTCGTCGTCGGACGCGGGCGTTCGCCGTAAAGCGCTCGCGTACGGCTCCGAGCGCGCTCGACGCGGCCGCGGCGGAGGCGACGCGGGCGGACGCGGACGCGGCGGGGCGGCGTCGACGTCGACCGCGACCGCGCGCGTCGCGACGGGCGAGAGAGAAACAGAAAGATCGCGGCGGGCGCCCCGACGCGCGTCGACGACGCGCCTCGGCGCGCCCCCCGCGAGATCGCGACCCGCGTCGAGCCACGACGCGCGCGCGCGAGAGATCGTCGCGAGGTTCGATCGCACGCTCCGACGCGGCGACCTCGAAGGCTGCGTCGCGCTCCTGAGCGACGCGCTGACGGAGGACGGCGCCGACGACGACGCCGACGACGGCTGGGTCGGCAGAACGCGCGACGACGACGAGAAAAAGCGTCGCCAATGCGGCGAAGAATCCGAATCCGCCGCCCCCGCCGCGAACTCGAGCGCCTTCGCGCGCGCCATCGGCCGACGCATCGCCAACTCGCACAAAGACTTCCTCGGCGCGTGCGGCGCCCAACGCCGAATCGACCTCGCGCTGACGTACGCGTCGTCGCTGCCCCCCGATCGACGCCTCTACGCGTCTCTCCTCGGCGTGTGCGCGCGCGCCAGAGACTACTCCGCCGCCGTCGACGCGTTTCGACTCTACGCCGATTCCAGCCTCGCGCCGGACGCGTTCGCGTACAGCGGGCTCATCTCCGCGGCGGGGAAGGCGGGCGAGATGCGCGCGGCGAAGAAAGCGCTGTGCGACGCCATCGACGCCGGCGCGTGCGACGACGGCGTGTACAACTCGTTCATCGACGCGTGCGCGCGATCGGGCGATTGGGACGCGGCGAGAGAGACGGCGACGCGCATGCGCGACGACCCGCGCGTCCGGCCGAACGTCCGGACGTACAACTCGCTCATCACCGCCGCGGCCAAGGCGCGTAACGTTCGCGCGGCGAAAGAGGTGCTGAGGGAGTTGGACGAGGATTTGGGGCGCGACGCGGCGACGGACCGGACGTACGGCGCGGCGCTCGCCGCCGTCGCCGCGGGCGTCGGCGTCGCGCTCGAGACGGAGACGAGCGCGGCGGGCGCGGTCGACGCCGACGCCGACGTCGCGGCGACGGCGAAAGAGGCGACGGTTCAGATGGGAACCGTCGCGACCGTCACGCGAGGCGAGACCGCGGAGCTCGTGCGGTGGGGCCTGGAGGTGTACCGCCGCGCCGAGGACGCGGGCTGCGGGGGCAACGACCACGCGCTGTCGTCGCTGTTCACCGCGCTCGCGCGCGCGGTGGCCGCGGGCGCGTGGCCTGGGGACGACGCCGTGACTCGATGCGTTGGGATCGTGAACGCGCTCGTGCGCGAGTCGGACGATGTTTTGTCGGACGGCATGTCGGACATCGAAAACGTCGGACGCGGCCGCAAGGCCAAGGCCAAGGCGCCCAAGCCGAACGCCGCGGTGTGGAGCGCGCTCGTCTCCGTGTGCGCGCGCGCCGGACGCGCGCGCGAGGCGCTCGACGCGCTCGAGCTCATGCGCGCGCGAGGGCACGCGCTCGATTCGTACACGCTCGCGAGCGCGCTGACCGCGTGCCGAGGCGGCGTCGCGGGCGCGAGCGCGGCGTCGTCGGACGCGAACGGCGTTTTCGCGACGGGACCGGCGGGGGGGCGGCGGCGGCGCGATGCGCTGGAGGGCGCGAGGGAAGCGAGGGAGGGGTTGACTGTGTTTGAGCGCGCGCCGAAGAGCGCGAGCGCGAGCGCGTACGTGAGGAACGCCGCGATTGCGCTGTACGCCGCGGTGGGTCGCGTGGACGCCGCGTTCGCGCTGTACGAAGAGATGAAGGCGGAGTCGTCGATCGACGGCGGCGACGACGCGAGGACTTTTTCTTCTTCTTCTTCTTCTTCTTCTTCTTCATCCGCCGCCGCCGCCGCCGCTCCCGGGAGTTCCGAGACGACGTCCGCGTCCGCGATGGATACGCGCCGCCGCACGGCGCCGGACACGATCACGTACAACACGCTGCTCCACTCGTGCGGCGGACGCTCGGCCACGGACGGCGCGGAGTGGGCGTTTTCGCTGGTGCGCGACATGCGATCGGCGCGCGTCCCGCGATCCACGCGAACGTACGTGGGCCTCATGAACGCCGCCGCGCGCGGCGCGCCGATCGGCCGAGGCGCCGCCGCCGCGAAGGCGGTCTTCGACGCCGCGGAGGAGGACGACACCGTCGAGGGCGGCGCCGGGAACGCGTACACGTACACCGCGCTCATCGACGCGCAAGTCAAAGGCGGGGACCCGCGCGCGGCGTTCGACACGTACGAGATCATGAAGCGTCGGAACATCACGCCGTCGGTGGTGACGTTCGGGTGCCTGCTCAACGCGTGCGGGAACATCAAGTCGGCGGACGGGAGATCTTCTGATTCTGATTCTGATTCTGCTGACGTGGAAGGCGTCGACCAATCAAACGACGACGTCGCCGGCGACGCGGTCGAACGCGCGTACGCGCTCCTCGGCGAGATGACCGAACGCGGCGTCTGCCCGAACGACCGCTGCCAAAACGCGCTCGTGCGCGTCGTCTCCGAGGCTGGACGCATCGACGACATGCTCGAAGAGGTCAAGGCGATCGCGCGCCGACGCGGCAGGTTCGAGCGCGCGACGTTAGAGGGCGTCGTCCGAGCGTTATGTCGCGCCGCGTACGCGGAGCGAGCGCTGCGCATCTTGTCGTGGATGGACGCGCGCGGCTACGCGCCCCGAGCGCCGACGTACCGCACGCTCGTGCAGACGTGCGCGAGCGAGGGTCAGGTGGTGTGGGCGTGGACGCTGCATCAGAGGATGACGAGCGCGGGGCACAGGACGGATAAGGCGTCCGCGAGCGGCATCGTCAGCGCGTTGTGCCACGCGGCGATGGCGACGGACGCGGGGGAAGCGCGGGTCATGTTGCGGAGGGCGACGGAGGTGTACGAGCGATGCGAAGCGTACGGCGTCGCGGTGGAGGGCGAGGGCGAGGCGAACCCGTGGGACGACGACGACGACGGCGGCGGCGGCGGCGGCGGCGACGCGAACCGCGCGAGCGAACGACGCGGGATGACCGTCGAGGAGGAGCTCGCGTCGTTCGAAGCCGCCGCCGCGGACGACGACGACGACGACGACGGCGGCGCCGGCGCCGCCGGCCCCGCGTGCCCTATGAAACTCGAAGCGCCGCCCGCGCGCCCGAACGACGCGAGGACGCCCGCGGGCGAGATCCTCACCGCGAGCTCGCTGCGCGATATGATCACCGCGAGCGCGCGCATCGGCGACGTCGCGTTCGCGTTGCGGCTCTACCGCGTCGACGCCGCGAGAGACGCGCTGCGCCCGTCAAAGGTCGCCTCCTCCTCCTCCTCGTACGAGCACAACGCGGACGACGGCGGCGTGCGCGCGAACGTGTACGAGGCGCTCGTAGAGGCGTGCTGCCACAACGGCGACGTGAACGCCGCGTTGGAGGTGTTCGACGACTTGAAGGCGAACGACGTCGTCGTGAGCAAGGTGACGCTCGCGTTTCTCGAGTCGCGGTGCCGACGCGAGGGCGTCCCGGACTGGCGCGTGTACGACGTGTGCGCGCAGATGCGGAAGCAGGTGAGCGCGAAGAAGGAGCGGAGGCTCGCGGAGAGCGTTCCGAGGAAGACGAGCTCGCATCACGTCCGCGGCGCCGTGGAGGTTGGGGGCTACGACGACGACGACGAAGGCGGCGACGGCGACGGCGACGGCGACGCGTACGCCGGCGCAGACGGCTCTGTCGCGTCGGCGGCGACGGCGTCCGGCGGCGGCGGCGGCGGCGCGTCGTCGTACGACTTCTACGACGAGGACGAGGACGACTCATACGGCGCCGCGGGCGCGCGCAGACGCTCGAAAGAGTCCGAGGAAGCGTGGGAGCGCGCGCGACGCGCCGCCGTCAAGTCGAGCGCCGGCGGCGACCGCGCGAAGCGCGACGGCGGCGGCGGCGGCGACCGCGGGCGCGTCTTCGAGCGCGAGGTCGACCTGGATTGGATATCCAAGCCGTTGGGGGACATCTACGAGGGGTACTACGACGACCGCGCGGCGGACGCGAAGGGGTTGGACCCGCTGCAGGCGGAGCTCAGGACGAAAGGACTCGGCGCGAGGAGGAAGGGGGGCGGTCGATAGACTGTGTGAGGGAGTCGCGCTCGCTGAAAACGGACGATTCAAAAAGTGAAAACTCCTGGAAAACTCGCACTCGTTTCATCAACGGTCCTTTCGCCGCGCTTTCACAGTCAGCCGCTCCCCCCGATCGTTGTTCATTCTCGCACGCACCCCGGGCACGATGGCCGACCCCGAACCCGCCGCCGGGCGCGAGAAGCGCGAGCGCAAGTCCACCGTGGACGTCTACGTCGTCGCGTCGCCGACGAAGAAGGAATTCGTCATCCCGGAAGGGAAGGGCACCAAGCTTCGAGACATCCCGAACGGTGCGCGCGCGCGAAAACAATTGAAAACGCAGCAGCCGTCGTGCCTACACATCCGATCGATCCGCCCGCGCCCTCGTCCTCGTCCGCCTCTCATCCGCTTCTTCCCTCCCTCCCGTTCGCGCGCGTCGCGTCGCATCGCATCGCAGTCGACTTCAACCTGAACAAGTTCAAGTCCGACGACGAGCACCTCAAGCTCCTGCACCGCGTGATGTACAACCGTCCCGGGAAGGCGACGACGATCAAGAAGAACATCCGCGACTTCAGCGGCCTCGTCCTCGACGACGCGAAAGAGCGCGACCGCGTCAAGGGCCTGATCGATCGCATCATGGGCACGACGCTGAACATGCTGCTCGACCTCCTCGACCTCCCCCGAGGCGCCGGCGCGGAGGGCGTCAAGGACGCGAAAGCCGCGCGATTGCTGTCGTGGCTCGAGAGCCCAGCCGCGACCGAGGGGAAGAAAAACTTGAAGGCGATCGCGGAGGTGAAGAAGGAGAAGGCGGCGCGGAAGCGCGAGCGCGTCGCCGCGAAGAAGGAGAAGCTCGCGAAGAAGAAGGCGCGCGACGCGAAGAAGAAGTCCAAGTCCGGCGGCGGCGGCGGCGTCAAGACCGGCGGCAGGCTCCCGGACGACGCGGCGGGGATCAAGGCTGAGCTCGCGGCGATCGCGAAGCGCAAGACGGCGCTCGAGCGGAAGCTCGCGACCGTCGTCGGCGCGAAGAGGAAAGCGTCGGGCGGCGGCGGCGGGAAGTCCCCGGCGAGCAAGAAGGCGAAGAAGGAGGACGGCAGCGACGACGACGACGACGACGACGACGACGACGACTCCGGGAGCGACGACTCCGGGAGCGACGACGACGAATCCGGCTCGGACGAATCCGGCGACGACGAGAAGGACGAGGAGGAGGAGGCGGATGCGGATGCGAAGGAGGCCGAGGAGGAGGAGGATAAGCCGCCGACGCCTACGCCCGCGCCGCCCGCGAAGGAACCGACGCCGCCGCCCGCGAAGGAATCGACGCCGCCGCCCGCGCCCGCGCCGCCCGCCGCGGAGAAGGAACCGACCACCCCGAGCGCGGCCTCGGCGCCGCCGCCCGGCCCCACGGACGCGCAGCTGTGCGCCGCCGTGAAGGAGATGCTCTCCGGCGCGGACCTCGCGAGCGTGAGCATGAAGAAGATTCGCGCGGATCTGGAGGCGAAGTTCGGGGTGTCGCTCGTGGAGAAGAAGGCCACGATCAAGGCGTTCGTCGAGAGCGCGATCGAGTAAAAACGGGGCGCTTCTCGTCGGCGCGGAGGGAGCCGCCGTCGCGAAATCGTCACGCGCGCGGGGGGCGACGCGCGACGGGCGCGGGAGACGCTGACCGCCGCCGCGATGGCGATGTAATTTAAACGACGCCTAATACGTCGTCAAGTCCACCTCTCTTCTCTTATCTAGGGTTTAGGCTTCCCCGCTTCCGTTCGCGCTGAGCCCTCTGAGCATGTCGTTCAACAGCGACCGCAGAAACTGCGCCTGCGCGTCGTCCCCCACGCTCGCGGCGCGCTGCGCGCACTTCTCCACACCCTCTCTCCACGCCGACAAGAGCTCGCGTCTTCCGTCCACCACGCGCGCGAGCGTGTCCGTCATTCGCAACAACGTCGCCGTCACGAGCGCCCACTCCACCGCGCCGACGGCGACCATCTGACGCAGGATCGGCCCGCACGCGGTCCACACGTCGTCGTCCTGACGCCTCCGAAGCGAAAACGCGGCGCGCGCGAGCGCGGCGGGGAAATCGCGCAGACGCGCCGCGCCGCCGCCGGGCTCGGCGGTCTTTTCGTTCTCGAAGAACGCGCCGACGTCGAAACCCGTCTCTCTCGCGAACACCGCGAGCGAGCCGAGGTCGATCTCGGTCGCGAGCGACCGCGCGTGATCTCGCAGCGCGACGCGCGCGTCGTGAGGGAGCACCGGGATGACGCCGCCCTGGGCGCCGGCGACGCTCTTCGCGTCGAGCGGGGTCGTCGGCGTCGTGGGCGGCGACGTCGAGGAGGACGCCGACGGCGGGCGCGCCGTCGCCCCCCCCAGCCCCAGCCACTTGAACATCCCGCTCACCGCGGCGGCGATGTCATCGCCGCCGCCGATCCCGGCGAACGCGTCCGCGTTCGCCGTCGCCTCCGCCGCGGCCGGTCGCCGGGCGGTGAACCGCGTCAGCTCGCCCGCGAGCGAATACCGCCGCCGCGATAACGCCGCGCGCAACAACCCCGCCGCCGCGCTCGCGGAGACGTCGTGGCCCTTCAGCGCGTCCACGACGACCAAATACGCCGCGGAAGTGCGAAGCTTCCCCGCGCGCGTCGACGCGTCGAGCAAGTCGACGACGTCGCCCGCGCGCGCGAACAGCGCGGGCCACTCCGAGGGGTCCGACTTTCGCGCGACGGCGACGACGACGGCGGGAAATCGTCGCTCGTCTCGCCGCGCCAGGGACAACGCGTCCGCGAGCGCGCGCTCGGCGGCTCGCGCGGCGTCCGACCCGGGCGCGTGGTTCGAGCTCGACGGCCCGGCGTGGCGGTCGAGCGCGGCGTGCACGAGCCACTCGAGCGCGCGCGCGTGCGCGTCGGACTCGCCGCCGTCGTCGACTTCGACGCGATCCGTCGTCGGCGGCGGCGGCGGCGTCTCTCTCTCCGTCTCCGCGGCGGCGGCGGCGGCGACGGCCGCCGCGGCGTCCATCTCTCCCGCGCGCAGGAGGTGCCGAAGCGCGCACGGCAGCGCGTTTTGGTGCCTCAGCGCGATCTCGTGGCAGCGCGAGACCGAGCACGGCGTCGAGACGAGCGTCCTCGCCGCGGCGGTGATTCGCGCGCCGCGATCGCTCGACGTCATCCCGATCGGATACGCCTCGGCGTCGAACTCGAGCTCGGGGTCTCGAAACGCCGCGTCGTCGACCGCCGGCGCGCGCCTCGCCGCGGCGTTCGCGGCGTTTGGCATCGCGCCCGTGAGCGACGCGCGAAGCGAGGACCCGTCGCCGCCGCGGTCGCCGCCCCGCCCCCCGCCGTGCGACGGCGTTGGCGTCGCGGCGTCGTCCCCGCCTGCGCGCTCGTACCACGCCCTCCACCCGTCGACGCCGTACGTCCACCACGACCATCGCACGTCCGCGGAGCACCTCGGCGTCTCCGCGACGTCGTCCGCGCCCGTCGACACGAACAGCGCGTCGACGCCGTCGCACGCGGGGCGCGACGCGACGTGCCGCGCGAAGTCCGCGTCGGACGCGCCCAGATCGAAGACGTGGAGGGCGCCGCCGGCGAAGGCGCGCGCGAGCGCTCTCGTCGGCGCGACGCGCTCCGGACGCTCGTCCGCCGCCGCCGCCGATGCGATCGACGGAATCGCGGGGAGCATCTCGATCGCGAACGCGCCCGCGCGGATGTCTCCCAGCCCCGGCGATGGCGTCAGCGAGACTCGCCGCGCCGGGGTGAGAAACGCGCTCGCGCCGGCGGCGGCGCCGCCGGCGACGTCGCCGTCGACGCCCAGAGCGTACACCGCGACCTCGAGCGTCCCGCCCTGGAGGGATGCGGAGGGATAGGACGCGAGGAGGACGTGGCAGCGCGAGGACGCCATCGCGACCGGGGTGGTCCCGCGCGTGAGGTCCTGGTGAAGTAACATCGACGCGTCGTCCAGCGGCGCCGTCGGCGCGTAGACGCGAATCGCGTGCGACGGCTCGCCGCTCGCGCCGCCGTCGCCGCCGCTCGCGCCGCCGAACCCGAGCCACGCTCCCCACCCCGAGCCCGCGCCCCCGCCGGTCGACGTGCTCGACATCTCCTCCGTGCACGCGACGATCACCCCGGGGTCGACCCATCGCAGGTGCCGCACCGCGAAGGCGGAGGACGCGTCCGCGGCGTCCGTCGTCGCGCGCCACTCGTTTTTCACGACGTCGAACACCGCCATCCCGCGCTCGCCCGCGACGACGCAGTGCTCGCCGCCGTCGCTCAGGCACGCGCGGCGCATCGGCCAGCGCGCGGACGCGTACGCGTGCGGGACGATGACGTGCTGCGCGCGCGAGTCTTCGTCGAAGAGAATGACGCGGTCGGCGGCGAGCAACGCGTGCGCGGCGCCGCCGCCGCCGGCCGCCGCGTCCTCGCCGCCGCCAGCCGCGCCCCGTTTCGCGCCGACGACGCGGCCGCTCCGCGCCGTCGTTCGCGCCATCGAATACTCCCTGAACGCGCCGCCGACGCGCTTCGACGACGCGGTGAAGAGCTGGTACCCGCGCGCGCCCCAAGCGACGGCGGCGACGCCCTCGTCCGCGTCGTCTTCTCCGGAGGAGGAGGAGGCCGTCGCGGCGTCGGCGGCGTCGGCGGCGTCGGGACGCGTGGACATCGTTCGACACCCGGACGCGGTCCACACGCCGACGCCTTTACGCTTCCATCCGACGGCGACGCGCGCGACGCCGTCGTCGGCGTCGGCGTAGGCGTCGTCGCGCGCGGGGCACCACCACGCCAGCGACGTCACCGGACCGGTGTCCGCGGGGGAGTATCCGCGCTCCGACGGCGACACCGCGCCCGTCAGCCGCGTCGCGATCGTCCTCCGCCCGTCCAACGTTCCTTCGGCTTCGGCTCCGTCGTCGTCCGCGATGTCGACGCGGTACAGGCGCACGATCCCGTTCCTCGCGCCGACCGCGACCGCGCGCGCGTCGCCGCACACGCGCGCGACCGTCGCGTCGCCCGCGACGTAGCTCAACTTCTCCAGCGGTCGCCAGCTGTGCGGCGGCGGCGAGCCGGGTCCGGGGGTCGCGCCGGCGCCGGCGCCCGCCGCCGCCGCCGCCAGCCCGTCCGCCGCCGAAACGCACGCGTCGATGAACACGCACGAGCCTCTCGCGCCGCACGCGACCGCGAGCTGGCGCGCGTCGTCGTAGTCGACGTCCACGACGGCGTCGGACCCGCCGGGGAACGGCGCGCAGGCGACCTCGACGGCGCCGCCGCCGGGCGTCCAGAGGATCTCGCCGCGCGAGGTGCCGAGCACGAAGGACGCGTCGTCGCGCGTCTCGCCGCGCGCGATGCAGACGCACTCGCCGTGCGCGTCGACGTCCACGGCGACGGTCTCGCGGAGGGTCAGCTCGCACGTCGACGCGCGCTCGCCGTTCTTCTCCGCGCGCGACGCCGACGCCGCCGACGCCGACGCCGACGCCGACGCCGACGCCGACGCCGACGCCGACGCCGACGCCGACGTGGGATCGAACGTCGCGTCGTAGATGCGGACGACGCTCGCGCGCGTCAGGACCGCGAGCGTCGCTCTCCCGCCGCCTTCCTCGCCGAGCCACGCCGCGGAGACGTATCGGTCGTCGCCGTCGCGCGCGACGACGCCGCCGAGGACGCGTCGTCGCGCGCCCGCGCTCCAGATCTCGACCGCGTCCGATGTCACCAACGCGACGCACCCCGCGGAGGACGCGAGCGCGAGGACGCGGCCGGGCGGCGGCGACGACGACGACGACGACGCGTCGCCGCCGCCGCCGTCGCGGCGATCGAGCGCCGCGCTCGCGAGCGTCTTCGGCCACCCGAAGCTGAACATGACGCGGACGCGCGGCGCGGAGTGACGACGTCGTCCGTCGCGGCAGCGGCGGTCGCGGTCGTTCGAACATTTTGAAGTCTCGCGCGACGACGACGATCGTGGAATCACATCGCGGTCGCCCCCGCCTCCGTGCGCCGCACGACCCGCGAGAGAGACGCCTCTTCTCTCGCCGTCGTCGTCATGAGCCCCTCGTTCGCGGAACCGCCGAACAAGGTGGCTCGGACGCTGTGCGCCCCCGCCGAGGTCGCCGGCCTGCGACGCGCGCTCGACATCGTCCGCGCGACGCGGGACGTGTACAAGACGCAGCAGGGGCTCTCGCAGCTGACCTTCTTCGTCGGCGTCATGAACGTCTTCCTCACCGCGTTCATACTCGGCAACACCCCGGAGTATTACTGGGTTTGGCAGCTCCTCAAGAACGTCGCGATGTCCACGGCGTCGTACGTCATCAAGTACCGCAACCACCAGAGGCTCTACCTCCTCGACCTGTGCCACGTGTTGGGTTTCTTCTACATCGTCATCGCGTTCGCGGGGCTCCTCGCCTCCGCGAGCCCGCACCTCCACGCCATCTTCGCGCCGTTCACGTCCTCCAAGCTCCTGTTCCTGACCGCGTTCGGGATCGCGAACGGCCCGCTCGCGTGGGCGATCCCCACGTTCGGCAACGCGCTCGTCCTGCACAGCCCCAAGCACGCCGTCGCGCTCATCGTTCACATCTCTCCACCGTTCGTCACCTGGGCGATGCGTTGGCACGCGGACGCGCACGAGCGCGCGTTCCCGGGCGTCTTCGGCGTGCCGCACGCGAACAGCGGAGATGCGAAGCGAGGGACGTCGTACGCGGAGAGCGTCACGACGATGGACCTCCTGGTCCCCGCGGCGACGTTATACTTCGCGTGGGCGGGCGCGCACGTTTTGTGGCTCTTGCTCTTCGGCCGGCACAAGGGCGCGAAGAAGACGGCGGTCTACGGCACCCCTCGCGCCGAGCTCGTCAGCGACACGGTGTATCACTACACGATGCGCACGGTGAAGCCGTTCGGGGACGTGTGCGGGTACGAGGTGGCGAGGCCGTCGAAGGCGAGCCCGATTTTGTGGTACATGGCGTGGCACGCTGGCGGGTGCGTGGGGCCGATGGTTTTGTTGGGGGTCTGGTGGCATCACTACTACGCGCACTGCGCGCTGCTGCTGATGACGGTCGCGTCGTGCGCGTGGCACGGCGCGGGGCAGTACGCGCACGCGATGTTGAATCAGAACGAGCGGAAGATACGGGCGCTGTTGCCGGACGACGACGAGGACGGCGGGAAGAAGAAAAAATAAGCTTAATTTTATTTTTATTCTCATCACGTTTCGATTACTGCGCACGTATCCTCGTCACCCGGGGACCACACGTCCACCGCGCGTCCTGTCCTCTCGCCGACCGCGCCCTCGGAGGCTTCGCGCGGTAGCGTCGCGCCACCATGGCGAGCGTCGCGGCGGCGCGCGGCGTCGTTCGCGGCGACGGCCTCGCGCGCGGACGCGCGAGGCGCCGCCTCCTCCTTCGTCACGGCGGACGTCGTTCGACGACGTCGTCCTCCTCCTCCTCCTCCTCCTCTTCCGCCGCCGTCGACGCCGACGCCGACGCCGACGCCGCGGTGCGCGAGCTCCTCGCGTGGGCCACCTCCGACGCGCTGACGCTGTCGCCGAAAGTCACGGTGGGCGTCTCCCCCACCACGAACGCGCGCGGGCTCATCGCGACCGAGCGAATGCGCGAGGGCGAAGACGTGCTGATCCTCCCGGCGTCGTCCACCGCCTTCGACGCCGCGTACGCGCGCGACGATCGCGACCTCGGGCTCAAAGACGCGATCGACGCGTACGAGCGCGACCCGAACCGCGGCGGCGACGTCACCCCGGAGGTGGCGCTCGCGCTGCTCGTCGCGCTGACGCGACGGCACCCGGAGAAGACGCCCTTCGGGTCGTACGTCGGGGCGCTCCCGACGACGCCGGGGGGCGACTCGCCGTTGTCGTTCACCGACGCGACGACGAGCGCGCTGCTGGAGATATTGCCGCTGTCGCTCGTGGACGCGATCGACCGCGCGCGATCGGATCTGTACCAGCTCTGGGACGTCGCCGCGGCGGTGATGGACCTGGTCGTCGTGCCGGGCGCCGATCCGTTGTTAACTTCTTCTTCTTCTTCTTCTTCTTCTTCTTCTTCTTCTTCTTCTTCTTCGGTCTCCGCGTCAACCGCGACGCCCACCGAGTCGGAGCTCACCGTCGACGAGTTCTTCGCCGCGTGGATGGCGATACGCTCGAGAGCGATCACGTTCCGCGTGCTGCGCGGCGATGACGGCGTCGTGGACGCGCGCCGGTGCATGGTCCCCGTCGTCGACTTCATGAACCACGCCTGCGCGCCCCCTCCCGGCGGCGTCGGCGTCGGCGACGGCGTCCACGCCGGTCCCGTCGTGACGATGAGGCGCGTCCCTGTTTACACTAGTCCCCGTACGACCGCGTCGGCGCGGTGAATGCCGTTCCTTGAGGACTTTATCATCTCCCGGCGGTCGTTTCTCTCCGCCCAGTCCTCGCTTTCGATCTCCGTCCTCGACGCCTTTCGACTCCGTCTGACGCCTTTAAACTCCACCCCCGCGTTCGCTCGTACAGAACGACGACGACCGCCGGCGGCGGCGCGTCGAGCGTCGCGTGGACGACGACGCGCGCGGTCGAACCCGGAGAGGAAGTCACGTGGGGCTACGGCGACCTGTCGAACGAGGAGCTGTGGCTGTGGTACGGTTTCGTGCCGGATCCCCCCGCGCACGCGGGCTCGGCGGTTACGTTTTCGCTGCCCGAGGCGGCGCTCAGGGCGGGGCTCGCGTCCGTCGCGAGCGGGGACAGCGAAGAGGAAGCCGCGGCGAGGGAGTCGCTCCTCGTCAAGGCGGGCGCGTTTAGCGTCGAAGAAGGAGAAGAAGGAGAAGAAGAAGGCGGCGCCTCCGCGAGGGCGTTGCAGTTCGAGCTCAAGCTCGGGACGCCGCCGGCGGTCCTCGCCGGCATCTCCGGCGTGATGTGCTGCGCCGGCGACGAGGCGATGGCGATGGCGAAAACCTTCGCGCCGCCGCCGCCCGCGGAGGACGACGCGAGAGACGCGGGAGCCGACGATTGGACGGGAGAGATATTCGCGAGGGTGACGCCGCAGTCCGCGTCGTCGTCGTCGTCGTCGCCGCCGCCGCCGAAATCGATACGAGTACAGCTGTGCGACGAGAGCAAACGCCGCGCGGGGAAATATCTCGAGTACGTCCTTGGGCAAGTCGAGCCGATCGTGTGCGGCGGTCTCAGCGACGAGGACGCGCGAGCGATGGACGTCCCGGAGGAGGTGGACGCGGCGACGTGGGCGGCGGCGATTCGCGTGCGCGCCGGCGCCGTCGCGGTGTTTCGCTCCGTCGACGCGTTCACGTCGGAAACGGCAGACAAGGCGTGGATCGAACGCGCGGTGTACGACCTCATTAAATAGGCCCTAGCTAGTAGACTACTGTAGTCGTATCACATGCCGTAGACGCGCGCGGACGTGCTGTACTTCCGGACGCGTCGCAGACGAAAAAAAAGGCGCGGCGCGTCGTCGTCAGATGAAGAGCCCCTCGATCGCTGCCGTCAACGAAGCAGCCCGCGCTCGGCGCGCTTGGCGCATCATTGCGTAGTCCGACGGAGCTGATAGACTTGTAATACTGAATCAGATGAACCCCTGGCGGCCTCCGTCGTTCGTCCTCCCGACGGCGTCGAACACGTCGGGCCCGCGAGGCGGCATCCGCGCGGGTTCGATCACCGTGTTCGAGTCCAACCACTCCTCGCTCCCGACGCTCTCGTCGTCGCTCGGCTCCGGGGTCGGCTCCGGGGTCGGCTCCGGGGTTTGCTCCCTCTCGACGATCGGCGCGTCCACGTCGTTCGGCTGCCACTCCCCGCGGTTCCTCGCCGGGGACCCGCCGAGCGCCTCCCTACGAGCGAACGTCGGGGTGGAGTTCAAAGGCGTCAGGTGGAATTGAAAGGCGCCGAGGGCGGGGATTGAAACCGAGGGGTGGGCGGCGAGACATGCCGGGAAGAGTCCTTAAGGATCGGCGTTCACCACGCCGACGGGGTCGTGTGGGGACAAGTGTATAGAACGCACCCCGCGGCGATGTGCCCCAGGCGTTTCAATTCCTTCTCTAACCGTCGTCTCCGCGCGGCCACCTCCGCGCGCATCTTCATCATCGCGCTCCTCTGTTCGATCTGACCGGGCTCCGGGTCGCCGTCGACCGCGGTCAGCGGGTCGTACGTCGGCGGCGGCGGCGGCGGCGCGAACGGAATCGCGGCGGCGACGTCCAATAAGACGTCGTCGACGTCGTCGTACTTTTCCATCTCCGCGTTCTCGTGCTTCTCGTCGTCCGTGTTCGTCGCGTCGCTGTCGTAGTCCTCCGCGGCTTTCTTCGCCGCCTCCTCCGCGGCTTTCTTCGCCGCCTCCTCCGCGGCGATCTCCTCGGGCGTGAGCCCGTCCTCGGCTTTGTTCCGCGCCTCCAGGTCAAACGTCATCAAGCCGCGGACGCCGCCGACGAGTTTGTGGTCGAAGAAATCTTGCACGTCCTCCGGGTTCGACGCCTTCGTCAGCGCCCACTGCATCACGGAACAGTCCCGCCCGCCGGTGCTGCTGACCCAATCATCGCACCACGACCCTTTCGCCGCGGTGACGTGCGACGAGTGCGCGCGCTCGTCCGCGCTCAGCGCGCGTTCGACCGGACACGGATAGTTCATCACGCGGACTAACCCGCTGTCATCCGCGGAGACGACGTGCGCGCCATCCTGCGTCCTCCACACGCCGTTGATGTCCGTCCCGTCCTGGCCCTCTCTCCATATCCCCATGAGCTCGAAACCGAGCGGCGACGTCCACGTGTACCACCCCCCGCGCTCGTCGTTCGCGCTCGCGTCTTTCTTCCTCCCGTTTTTTTTCTTCGGGTCCTCCGGCGCTCGCCGCGGCTTTCGCGCGTCCGCGTGGAATCTCGGCGCGTGCGTCACCCTGTACCCGCTCGGGGCTTCGTGATGCAACACCTCCCTGGACGTGCTCCCGGTCCTGACGCATCTGCTGTCCGCGGACCAATCGGCGTGCGTGATCGCTGACACGTGGCCGATGAGTTTCGACCGGCGGCGGTACGTCTTCGCGGCGTTGTCCTTCTCCCATTCCTTCTTCGTCCGCGCGACGGCGAAGAGCTCCAACGCGCCCAAGTTATCCCCCGCGGCGAGCCACTTCCCGTCCGGGGAGTACGCTAACGCACACACAGCGGCGGTTAACGTCGACGACGCGATGCCGTGAAAGTTCGGTCGGACGTAATCCATCGGGTCGAACCGATCCGGCTCGTCCTCGTCCGGCGCCGGGTGCACGTTGAACACGCTCACGCGTCCGCGTTCGCCGCCGACGGCGAGGTGCGACCCGTCGGGCGAGAACGTCACCGACCGCACCGGGCCGCCCGCGTCGAACGCGCTCAAGTGTTTCCGCGCGTGCGCGTCCCACAACACGACGCGGCCGCTCCGCGCGCCGGTGGCGTACCACGATTTGACGCCCATCCGCGCGCCGCCGCCGCCGCTCCACGCGACGCACGTCAGCGCGGAGTCGTGGCCTCTCACGATGATCTTCATCCCGGGCTGCGGCGGCGCCCTGACCGCGGCTTCGGTGACCTCCCACGGCGCGGCGGCGGCGTCGACCTCGCCGCCCGCGTGATTATTTCCCTTTCCCTTTCCTCCGCCGCCTTTAAAACCGCTCTGCGTGCTCTTCGTCCACTCCGAGTCGTCGTCGTCGTCGTCGGAGTAGTCTTCGTCGGAGTCGGCTTTATCGCCGCCCGTCATGACAGTCATGTCGTCGTCGCTGTCCTCCTCCGGCTCCTCCTCGCCGCCGTCGAAGTCGACCCGCCACACGCTCCCGAGGGACGTTGTCGCGAGCGCGTACGTCCCGCCGTTCGACCACGCGAGTCCGCGCACGTCCGGCTCCTTCTCCAACCACAGGACATCGTTCGGATCTCCAAAGCCGCCGAGATTTTCTTCGCCGCTCTCACTCTCGAGCCAAATCTCGCTCTGCGCGACGACGTCGCTCTTCACCTCCGCCTCGACGTCGTCCAGGCTCGGCGGCGGCGACTCCACGAGCTTGATCCCGCCCAACGGCAGCCCGAGCTTCCCGCGGAGGGTGTCCACGCCCCAGCACATGATCCCCCCGTGTTTGTCGCCCGAGAGTAAAAGCCGCTTGTCCGCGGACAACGCCAACGCGTTCACCGGGCCGCGGTGGCGGCTCCCAGGGTGCGCCGCGCACGGTTTGGACGCGTCCGCGCCCTTCCACACGAGCAGCATCCCGCGCGGGGACCCGGTCACGAGGTCGCACGGCCCGCGCCACACGGATTCGTCGTCGTCGAAAGACTTTATCCCCAGCGCCGTCGCTCGCGGAAGAAACGTCGCGCACAAGACGCTCTCCGCGGGCGCGGGCGCGAACCGCCCCGCGCGCGCGCGCCACGGCACGCGCGTCGCGGCCTCTTTCGCGGCGACGTCGCCGACGCCGCTGCCGTCGCCGACCGCGGCCGCGCGCATCGCTTTCGCCTCCGCCTCGTCGTCCGGCGACCAAAACTTGATGTGATTGTCGCCAAAGGTGATCATCTTCTCCGAGTCCTCGAGATCGGGGGTGAACGCCACCCCGCGCACCGCCGGCGGCGTGGAGTTGTAACTCCGCGTCCGCCACAAACACTTCCCCACGCGCGCCTCCGGGTGATTCGGATCGTTGCTCGACCCCGCGCGCCAGCTCCACAGCGCGATGGTGTGCCCTTCGTCCCCGCACACGGTGATGACGCGCTCGCCGGCGGCGTCGAAATTCACGCACACGATGGCCCTGCTGCCTCTCGGGTGCTTCAAACACGCGAGCGGCGGCTGCCCGGGCGCCGCGTCCACGCTCCACACGAGCGCGTACGGGCTCGCGCCCATCGCGCCGGAGGCGGCGACGCGCGAGGAGGCGTGCACGGCGAGGCATCGAACGTCGTCGACGTGCCCGCGGAAGAAGCGTTGCCGTCGCTCCGGCTTCGGCGGCGCGTACTGCGGGTCCTCGTCGATCGTCTCCACGACGCCGACCGCGGCGGCGTACCACACCGCGTCCTCCTCTCCAGGTCGCTGCGGCGGCGGCGGTTTATACCGCCGCGACTTCGTGTTCGTCCCCGGCTCCGGGACGTTCCGCCGCCGCGCCTTGAGCAAAAAAATCGGCACCGGACAGTTTTGATCCACGAGACCCGGACCGCAGCCGTGGACGTGGTCGAGCTCTAACCTCTTATCCGGCAGCGCCGCCGCGCGCGCGAGATGCCGCGCGGTGAACCCTATCGGCGGCAGCGCCGGCGTCCTGGACTGCGGGTACAAGAACGCGTCGCCGTCCTTCACCGGGGCGTCCCCGTCTCGCACGGGACCGCGGCGCGGCGGCGACTCGAACGCCGTCGCGTTCGGCCGCCCCGTCGGTCGCCTCGACGGCGGCTCCTTGGGGGAGGACGTCTTCGCGCCGCGCGGGCCTTCCATGACGGCGCGCACCCACGGCGCGTACAGGAGCAGAGGTTCCTCCGGGGGAGGCGCGGGTCCGGCGGCGTCCCGCGCGTCTTCCCCGGTCGCGTCGAGGGCGTTGGGATCGCCCGGGGCGTCGTTTTCTTTTCGGTCGTCGTCGTCGTGGTCCCCGTCGGCGTCGTCCTCGCTCGCGGGCGCCCTCGTCGCGTCGTCCGGGCGCATGACGTGCTCGCCCGCGGCCGCGAACACCGCCTCCGCGTCCTCGATGGGGACGTCCAGCCCCATCTTCTTCGCGGCGAGGACGAACTGCGCGGTCGTGCATCGTCCGTCGCCGTCCTCGGACGACGCCGCTTTGAACGCGTCCAACAGGATGACCGTCGGCTTGCGATGCATCTGCCGCCGCGCCCTCGCGGCGGCTCGAAGCGCGCCGGCGACCTCTCCGGCGACGAGCGCGGGGTCGATCGTCGCGACCTTCCGGCGCGGCTTCGCCGGCGCCGCCGCCGCCGCGGACGCCATCTTCGCCCGCGCGCGGTGCCTTCTGAGTCCGAGTCGTGGTGATGGACCGACTAGCCCTACGCGACGACGAAACGGCTCGATTCTGTTCGCCGTCGATCGCGATCGTCTCGCCTTCCGAGAACAAGAAGCCCCCCCCCCTCGTTGTTCGCGCGCCACAACCGCCCCCCGCGGGACGTCGAGTCGCGCGCGGATGCGTTTCGGACGGCTCCACGCTCTCGCGGTCGTCCTCCTCGCCCTCCTCCTCGCCGGCGTCGTCGCCGCGCAGACGGAAGAGTACGCGGAAGACTACGCCCCCGCGCCCGGCGGATCTGAGACCGCGGGCGACGTCCCCGAGACAGGAATAGGAATCCCGCGCGACGCGGCCGCGGGACCCGACGACGCCGCGGGCTCCATGATCGGCGCGACGGAGACGGGGACGGAGACGTCCGACGAAGAGAAGCGCGCGATCGACGGGTGGATCGACGACAACGGCCTGAACCAGTACGGCGACGACGCGGACACGATGTACGCGGGCGGATCCCCGCTGTTCGACGAGTCGACGGGGACGCGGAAGGACCGATTCGCGTACGTCAAGTCTCGGCATCCGACGTCGCCGTGGATGACGAGCGACGCGGCGCCCGCGCCCGCGGCGGGGTCGTCGCTGTTGATGGACGCGGACGACGACGCGGCGGAGGGCGAGGTCGTCACGGACGCGCCGCCGGCGAGGGCGGTGCCGGGTCGGAGCGGCGGCGGCGGCGTCGGTCCCGGCGGCGGCGCGTCTCGATTTCCCGCGCACTGGGGACCCGAGCCTCAGCCGCAGACGAGGGACTACCGCACGCTCCCGGGGGGATACGGCTTCGGCAGCGGCACGCTCGCGAAGTGGATCCAGAAGAACATGGACGAGGACGCGGCCGCGGCCGCGGAGGCGGGGCCGCAGCCGTGACGCGGCGCCAGCCTGGCGTTTTTTTTTCCGCACTTTTTGTTTTCGCGTCGTCGAAATTGTAATACCAGCCGGACGACCGTACGCTAAATTGTAGTCTAAGGCGGGCGAGTCGGCGCGCCCGGCGGCGGCCGCGGCGGCGGTCGTCCCGGCGGTGGTCGAGGCGGCGGCGGTCGTCCCGGCGGCGGTCGAGGCGGCGGCGGCCGTCCCGCCGTCCGCGCCTCCGTCGTCGCCGGCGGCGGTCTCTCCGCCGCCGGCGGTCGCGTCGCCGGCGGCGGTCGCACCGCGGCCGCCATCTCCGCGGGCGCTTCCCACGGCGCGCGCGACTCCCCTCGCCCACCCCCTCTTCCTCGTCCCCTCCCTCTTCCTCCGCGGGGCGGCGGCGGGTTCGCGCGCGCCGCCTCTTCCCTGCGTTTCTCCTCCTTCGCCATCGCCTCGCGGTCCACCTTCAGCGAAGTCGGGGTGGTGAAAGGCGTCAGTTGGCGTTGAAAGGCGTCGAGGGCGGGGATTGAAACCGGGGGATGGGCGGAGAGAGACGACGGGCAAAGTCCTTAAGGAATGGCGTTCACCACGGCGACGGGGTCGTATGGGAACCAGTGTATAGAACGCACCTTCACCGGGCAGTCCGGGTGATCGAAGTCCATCAGCGCGACGGTCACGATCTGCTCGCCTCGCAGGAACACTTGATCCATCGTCCGCTCGCGTCCCTCGAGCCTGTGTTTGATCTTGTACCTCGTCTTGCCGTTCTTATCCACGTACTCCACCCTGTGTTTCAACCGCACGGTGTAGATCTCCCTGACGTCCTGCAACAGCATGTTCATGTACTTATCGAACGCCTTCACGTACGCGAACGCGTGTCCTCGTATCCCAAGCTTATGCTTCGTCGTGACCATGACGACTCTGCGCTCCTCGTACGCCTTGACGATGACCATGATCGGCCCGCCCTTGGCTTTGCACTCCTCCGCGAGCGTCTTCACGATCGGGTTCTTCCTGCAATGCTCTCGGAAGTCCTCGCCTTGTTTCTTGAAGCGCATCCCGCGCTCCTTCGCGCGCGCGGCCGCGGCGATCTTCTCCGCGCTCTTCTTCGGGCGGTTCTTCAGGAACGCCTCGGCGTCGAAAAAATCCGGGTGGTCCCTCGGGAGGTACCTGCGTGGGTGAAGCGATCGGTCAGTCGAACGTCTTACCGGTCAAACGTTGAAAGGGAAGCGCGGGTGAAGAGTGACGACGGGAAAAGTCCTTAAGGAACGACGTGCACCACGCGAACGGGGTCGTATGGGAAGCAGTCTCACCTCCGAAACTTTCTCACCGTGTCCAGCGGCGCCGCGCCCGGATCCGGCACCTCGACCGCGCCCAACCCCCTCTCCCGTCCCAACCTCAGCGCCAACTCCGGGTCGAAGTGCCGTGACGTGAAGTCGAGCCGCAGCGCGGGGTCGACGTCGTCGCCTTCCTTCGCCTCCGGGTCGTTCCATACGAGCGAACGTCGGGGTGGAGTTGAAAGGCGTCAGACGGAGTTGAAAGGCATCGAGGGCGGGGATTGAAAGCGAGGGGTGGGCGGAGAGAGACGCCGGGCAAAGTCCTTAAGAAACGGCGTTCACCACGCCAACGCGGTCGTATGGGAACCAGTGTATAGAACGCGCCTCCGCCGCGCGCCGCGCCGCGTTCCTCGCCGCCTTCTCGCGCGCCTCTCTCTCCAACGCCGCGATCATCTCCTCGGTGTAGACTCGGTCCTCGTCCTCGTCGGGGGGGAGCGTCGCGAGGCGGCGTTTGAGGTCGCGCAGCTCGTCGGCGATCGCGGCTTCGTCGTCTTCGTCGTCGTCGTTCGCTCTCGGCGGCGCCGGCGGCGGACGGCCAAAGTTTTCGTCGTCGAGGTCGTCGTACAGGTCGTCGTACGCGTCGTCGTCGTCGTCGTCGTCGTCGTCGTCCGCGACGCGTGGGCCGTCGAGCTCGCGCGCGATGTCGTCGTCGTCGTCGCCGCCGCCGCCGTAGATGTCGTCGTCGCCGTACGAGCCGTAATCGAGCTCGTCGTCGTCGTCGTCGGCCCACTCGTCGTCGTCGTCGTCGGCCCACTCGTCGTCGTCGTCGTCGTCGTCGCGCGACGCGGGACGGATCTCGGAGACCGGCTCGCCGCCTCCGCCGCTCGCGCCGCGCCCCCGCGCCGCCGCCGCGCGGATCTCGGAGACCGGGTCGTCGCGCCGCGCGCCGCCGCTCGCGGCGGGCGGCCCCGGGCCCGGCTCCATCGCGGCCCTCCTCGCGAGGGCACCGCGCGCGCGAGTGTGATCGAGTTGAAGTCGCGGGGCGTCGCGTCGAGCTGCTGTTGAGTTTCGATCGATGGGATGCGGATGGAGGGTTCGCGCGCGCGAGGCTCGGGCAGAACGACGCGCGCGCGGACGTCCGAAGGACGACCCCGACGCACGCCGCGCGAGCACGATGGCGACGGCCGCGAGCGCGGGAAGAGGACTGCGGGCGCTGATGCGCGCGGCCGCGCGCGGCGCGTCGACGGCGGGCGCGTCGACGGCGCGATCGGTGGCGGGGCGCCTTCTTCGCGGCGCGGAATCGTCGTCCTCGCTCCGCGCGCGCGCGACGCCCGCGACGACGCGCGCGGGCCCCGCGAGCGGCGCGATGCGAGGGTTCGCGTGCGGCAGCGCGGCGTCGCTGACGCGTCGATCCGAGAGCGCGCGCGCGGAGGACGGCGCCGCGACGAGCGCGGGGCCCGGAGCGGCGTCCGAGGGCGACGGCGCGACGTCGCCGGGCGCGAGCGACGCGGTCGCGGCGCCGTCTCCGGTGAGACGCGCGCCGGCGCCGCGATCGGCGATGCGGTCGAGGCTGAAGGACGGGCTGAGAGACTCGACGCGAGAGCGCGTGCGCGCGATTCAGAAACGTGCGCGACCCGACCCGACCGGACGCGACGCGATCCCTCCCGGCGTCCCCGGTCGTCGTCGTTCGACTCTCATCGGATCGATCGAACGATCGATCCGCGCGTTGTTTTTTTTCCCCGCCGGCCGCCCCGCCCCGCCGAATCAATCGCCCGGCCTGACGCCGTCCCGTCCCGTCCCGTCCCGCTCCTCGCTCGCGTCGATCGATCCATCCACAACCGCAGAGGAGAAGGGCAGCCCGAAAAAGTTCAACGACGTGTGCCGACTCATACGCGGCCTCACCGTCGCGGACGCGATCCACCAGTGCGCGTTGTCCCCGAAGCGGTACGCCAAGGTGGTGATGAAGGTGGTGGCGTCCGCGGCGGCGAACGCGGAGAACAACCACGACCTGGACAAGGACAAGCTCGTCATCGTTCAGGCGTTCGTGGGGAAGGGGACGTACATCAAACGGTCGTTGCCGCACGGCCGGGGGAGGAGCGGGGTGATGACGCGGCCGCGGACGCACATTCGGATCGAGGTGGAGGAACGAGAGCCTGAGGAGGCGCCGGGGGGCGCATTCGCGGCCAAGGGGGAACGGCGGAAGATGCAGGTCAGAGACGCGGAGGCGCCGTGGAAGCGGCACCGACGACGGGCGCTGGAGAAGTACAGGATCGCCCAAGAAGCGGGGTTGGTGTAGCGTAGTTCGCGATCGATGACTAATAATAACACGTCGCGGATGCTATCGAATAGAATCGAATCGGTCATCAGTCTCGACGCGCGAGAGCCTCCGCGTCGGCGGCGGCGGATCCTCGCTCGAGCGTTCTCAACAACCGCTCCGCCCTCCCCTCCGCGACGTGCAACAAGAACTCGTGCTGCAGCATGTCCAAACTCTCTTTCACCGCCCCGAACGCCTTGTTCGTGTCCATCCCCATCGCCATCTGTTGTTGCATCGCCTGCGCGTCGTCGAGGGTGTTCTCTCCGAGGCACAACGAGAAGACGCCGCGCAGCCCGAAAAAGTTGAGAAAGTACCACGACAGAGACGAGATGTACGACACGTCGAGGGAATTCAGCTCGATCCCGCGCTGGAGCATCCCGCGGAATCGCTGCGTGAGCGGGAACGGCACTTTACCGACGACGAACCCGGTGAAGAAGAAGTTCACCCACCCCGCGGTGAGCATCTGCGGGACGATCATGTTCAAGTTTTTCTTCAACATGTCCGTCATCATCGACGGGTCCGACATCATCTGTTGCTGCGGGTTGAGCTTCTCGGACTTCTTCGAGAACACGCCCGTGGTCTGTTTGGTCGGCGGCGCGGCGAGCGATGGAGGGGGGAGAGTGGGGATGGGCGGCGTGAGCGAGAGGCCCACGGAGAGGGAGGTGGGGGAGGAGGAGGAGGAGGCGGAGGAAGAGACGTGGGCTTCGCTTCGCTTCGCTTCGCTTTTTAGGGTTGCGCGCGAAGCGAAACGATCCGATCGGTCGCGCTCGATCGGTCGCTCGCTCGACGCGAACGCCGAGGCGACGACGAAATTGACGACGGTCGCGCCCCACGCCGCGCACCTCGTGGCAGAAGAAGTGCCGGCGCTGCCTGAACCCGTGGGACTGGATGTACCCGGCGTTGTTTCGCACGCGCTCCGCGCGTATCACCGCCTGCGCCTCGCGGAGCGCCTTCAGATCCACCTTGGCGTCGGACTTTAACAACTTCCCGAAGTTGTGACGAACGACGCCGACGAGGAACATCGCGATCGTGATCGGGATCAAGACCCAGTTCCGGATGTCGCCGTCGAGGCGGAGGTCCGCCATGGCGACGTGCGCGCGCGTGCGAGGACGCGAGCGCGCGGGGTTCTGGTGGGGCCCCGCGGACGAAAAGCTGATGATGAAACCTCGACGGGAAGAGCTGATAGTCTTTCCAGTCTGCCTCACTACGTGTAGATCTGATTACAAAAAGACTGAGCTCTAACCCATCCGGGTAAAACATGTGATCTAGAAGCGAGCAGACCGCACTACGAACAATGTCAGCCTCACTACGTGTGTAGATCTGATTACAAAAAGACTGAGCTCTAACCCATCCGGGTAAACGTGTACGTGTACTACTACTAGAGTCTGCCGTTTCGGAAAAACTTCACCCGCTCGTGTCCTACCGCTACTCGTCCGTGCCCGCCCAAACGTCCGTTCTACGTCGTTCTAAACGACCCCGCCGCGCCGCGCCGCCCCTCTCGCCCACGCGCACGCGTCCTGCGCGGTGAACAACTCTCGCAGCCGCCGAGGCGGCGCCCTCGCCTGCTTCTTCAAGTTCTCCTCTTCCTTGACGCGTCTCCACGACGCCGCGCCGCCGCCGCCGCCGGGGACCACACCGGTCACGACCACGTCGTCGTCGTCGCCGCCGCCGCCGGTCTCCGCCTCCTCCGCGGCGGCTCGCGCGATGGCGGCGGCGAGGATAGCCGCGAGCTCCTCGTCCGTCGTCCCGGGCGGCGGCGGGGGCAGATCCGGGAACTCCTCCGCGAAGACGGACGCGATCCCAGCGTTCGCGGTCGCGGTCGCGGTCGCGTTCGCGGTCGCGTTCGCGTCGACGATCCGCACGTCGTCGTCGTCGTCGTCGTCGTCCGATCCCGATCCCGATCCCGAGCCCGAGCCCGCCATCGCGCCGCCGCCGCCGCGCCCGGTCTTCCCCCCGCACAGCTCGCACGCGTCGCGCCGCCGCTGCTCCGCGCACACTTCCAGCCAGTGCCCGCACCGCTCCGAAGCGCCGACGGAGACGTGCATCGCGAGGAGCTTCGTCTTCCCGGGCGGCACGTCGTGCGACGCCGCGCCGGGGATGGGCGAGGCGGACGCCGACGCCGCGCACGTCGCCGCCGTCGCCGCGCGACCGTTACTACCCGCGTGCGCCGTCCGCGGCGGCGGCGGGTACTGCCACAACGCGCTGAAGTCGCGTTTCGCGCGCACGCGGAGATACAAGCTCATCCCTCCGTCGGCGGCGCACCCGGCGCCGTCGCACGTCGCGAGGACGCACGCGCCGCCGCGCGTCTGGCACACGATCAGCGCGCCGCCGCACATCTTGATCACGCGTCGTCGGACGGTTCCGCCGAAGCGTGCCTCCCCGTCGTCCTCGCCGAGCAGCGCGCGATGCACCGCCGCCGCGAGCGACGGCCGCGGCTGCGTCGGCGCGGCGCGCACCCGCGTCGCGCGCGCGCTGTTCACGGGGTGGAGTTGAAAGGCGTCAGACGGCGTTGAAAGGCGCCGAGGGCGGGGATTGAAAGCGAGGTGTGGGCGGAGAGACACGCCGGGAAGAAAAATCCTTAAGGATCGGCGTTCACCGCGCCGACGCGGTCGTACGGGGACCAGTGTACAGAAAGAACGCGCCTGTACACGCGCAGCGTCACCGGCGCTGTCGGCGGACCGGCGGCGCCGCCGCCGACGGAGAAGAGCCGCGCGAGGTATCGCTTCCCGCGCTCGAGCATGAGCTCCGCCTGGGCGACGCGCTCTTTCGCGCCGAGGACGGCGCCGAGCGGCGTCCACGCGTCGTCGGCGGCGGCGGCGTTCGCGCGCGCGTTTTTTTCGTACACCGCGATCCCGACGTCGGCGTACCAGAACGCCTCCCCGCCGCGACCGCGTTTCGTGTGTTGCAGCGCCATGACGTACGCCCACGAGCCTCCTCCTCCTCCTCCTCCTCCTCCTTCTCCGTCGCCGGCGACTTCGATCTCGAACGCGTCGCCGTCCTCGCTCGAGATCATCCCGAAGTCGACGGCGGCGCGCGTCGTCCCCGGAGGCCCGTCTCCCTCCGCGCGGTGCGCCGCGCCCGGGAGGGACAACGCGTGCCACCCTCTGTGCGCCTTGCACACGTCGACGACGGAAAACGCGGCGAGGAAATCGTGCCAAGACATCCAGAACGTGCCGTCGTCCGCGCGCGTGTTTCCGAGCTCCGCGCCGAGGCGCGACGTCCACGTCTCGGACTTGGCGCCCCATTCGCCGTTCCACTCTTTGCGGCCCCACGGGTTGCGCACGCGCACGAGTCGAAGCGGCGGCGGCGACGACGCGTCCGCGGCGGCGGCGGAGGAGGCGTATTTCGACGCCGACGCCGAAACCAGCGCCGGCGCGGGGTCGACGATCTCGACCTCGCGCTCGACGAACCCGTCGAGCTTCGTCTGCCTCCCGACCGCGACGCCGTGCAGCTGCCGAACGTCCAATACGCTGTACGCGTGGCCGCCGACTAAGCCTCTCCCGCCACTGGACGTCGCGCACCCCATCGGGAACCCGGCTTCGCAGTACGACAATACCTTTTCCCACGCGCGTGCCTCGTCGAACGCGCCGCCGCCGCCTGCGTGGGTGAAGCGATCGGTCAGTCGAACGTCTTACCGGTCAAACGTTGAAAGGGAAGCGCGGGTGAAGAGTGACGACGGGAAAAGTCCTTAAGGAACGGCGTGCACCACGCGAACGGGGTCGTATGGGAAGCAGTCTCACCGCCGTAATGCTCCGACCCCGCGCCCAGCAGCGCGATCGTCTCCGTGGGGCATCCGGTGAGATCGAGCAGCCCTTCCGAGATGTACCCTCCGCTGATGGCGTGGTACGACCCGTGCGCTTTCGCGTACGCCTTCTCCACGACGGGGACCCACAGTCGGTTCCCGCTCGCGCGACTGAACGCGGGCGCGAAGTCGTCCAAGGCTCTGCGCTTGTTGACCTCGGGCCGCGGCCCGTTGGCGCCTCTCGAGACCTCGACGGATCTCCCCGCGACCGGGAGGCACGGGTCCACGACGACGCCGCGCCACCTCCCGCCGAGAAAAAGTCGGACGAGGTACGCGCCGCTGGCGGCGGCGGCGGCGGCGGCGGCGGGCGACGCCGCCGACGGCCCGACGACCCGCCGCGCCAGGTCCTGCCGTTCCGCGATCACCGCGAGCGCGGAGAGGAGCCAGCAGTCCCCGACCGCGCCTTGCCGGACGTGCGCGGGGTCGAACACGCCGTCGGCGCCGGTCAGTCTGAGGGTTAGGATCGAACTCGGTTAGGATCGAACAGAAACGGAGGGGCGGGGCGGAGAGAAACGTAAACGTAAACGCCCGCCGGGAGGGCAGAGAAATTAGTCTAAAGTCCTCGCCTGAACCGCGGCGCGTCGAACCGCCGCCACTCCGTCTCCACGGACGACTTCTTCGAGGGCGCGTCGTCCGCCCAAGCGAAGAACTCGCACGGCTTCGGCGGCGGGAAAACGCCTCGCGCCGCGGCGAGGCCGCACGCGTAGTATTCGCGGCCTTGGTTCGGACCGTCGCGTTGCGCTCGCTTGACGCGCGCCCTTCGCGGCGGGTCGCACGCGCACCACCGCGGGACGACGACGGCCTCGTCGTGCTCCCCGCCCTTCCCTCCCTTCCCTCTCCCCTTGCGGCGCCCGTCGATGCTCGACGCGTCCGGCGGGAACGACCCGTCGTCGAACCGAGGCGCGCGGACGCACCGCGTCGCCCACTCGATCGTCGCGTCTCGCGTCTCCGCCTCCGCCTCGTCCTCCTGGCTCGGCGTCGTGACCCATCCGTCGGCGTCGCGCGACGGCGCGGTCGGGATGGTCGAGACGTCGAGGTCGAATCGCGGCGGCGCCTCGCGAGGCGTCGTCGTCTCCGTCTTCTCCCTCGTCTTCGCCGCGTCGTGCAGGCTCGTCTGACCGAGCGGCGCGGCGGCGGGCGCGGGCGCTGGCGCGGGCGCGGGCGCGACGACCGCGAAGTGCCTATCGACCGCGCGCTGGAGTTCGCCGCCGCACGCGAGGAGCGCGCGTCGCGCGCGCGCGTCGTCCGCGCCCGTGACGGCGACGAACGCCTCGACGTCGGCGTCGCGCACCTCCGCGACGGGAGGCGGCGCCTTGCGCTTGGCCCGCGGCGGCATGCTGCGCCGCCGGGGAGTGAGACGTGAGATCGGCAGCGCGACAGTCTGGTCTTGGAGGTGCCGACCGCGACCGCAGTGCGACGAGCCTCTCGGTTCCGCGTTCCGTGACCTACTACAGTAGCTAGCGCGCGCGCCACATCCCCCCCCCGCGCGCGTCATGCTCGCCTCGGCGACGCTCTCCACCGCCCGCGCGTCGCCGTCGGCGGCGGCGGCGAGAAACGCGGGCGCGGCGGCGGCGCGGCGCGGCGCGGTCGCGGCGACGTGCCATCATCGCGACGACCGTCGCGATGACGTCGTCGTCGTCGCCGCCGGGCGCCGTCTCTTCCTCGGCGCGTCGTCGTCGGCGCTCCTCCTCTCGCGCGCGACCCCCGCGGTCGCGCGCGACGGCGACGACGACGACGACGCGCCGAAAGACTACAGCGACTACAACTCCGGCGTCGCCGCCGCGGACGAGGCGCCGCAGTCGGAGCTCGTGAAGCGCCTCCTCGCGAAGAGCGCGGAGAACAAAGAGGCGAACGACAGGTAATTTCCCGTGCGCCGCCGCGTGCGCGCGCATGAGTTTTTCCCAGCTCTCGCGTTGACGCTCCCACTGATTCAACGCGTTTTCCTAACAGGGAGAGGAAAAATTACGACAAGCAATACGCGGGTAACATGGCGATATTGAAAGGCAGCGGGTACGTCCCGAAGGACGAGAGCACGAGGGAGAAGATGGGGATCACGCGCCCGGCGGAGTGCGACCTCCCGTTCTTCCGCGAGACCGAGACGTGCAAGCTGTTCGTCAAGTAGTCTGGTCTAATAACGATCGACGAGAGCGAATAAAATACTACAGGGTAACGTAATAATCTCAAACCTCGCCCTCGTCACGCGCTTCGCATCGCGCTCGGGTCGAACCCCGTCGGCTTCAAGAACCAAAACGACAGCGCGAGCCGCTCGCCGTCGACGCCCTCCCTCACCCCTCGCACCTCGTGCTCGACCTCGTCGCTGTAGAACATCACGAGCCGGTCCCCGACGGGCGCGATGGACCGCCGTCGCGACGCGTCGCTCGGAAACGCGACCAACTCGCCGCCGTCGTCCACGCCCCGCGCGCTTTTCCCTTCCTCGTTCGGGTTCGGGTTCGGGTAATACACCGCGGTGATCCGCCGCGGGTCCGCGGCGCCGCAGTTGTCCAGGTGCTTCACGAACCCGGGCGCGCCGGGCGCGTACACGCTGAGCATCGCGTTGGCGACGTACGCGTCCGACGGCAGCAACGCGTTTTTAGGCAACGCGTTGATCAGGTGGTCGGAGACGCACGATCGCACGAGCTGCGCGACGTCACCGGGTCGAATCTCCGGCGGCGGCGACGCCAACACTTTTTTTGAGCATGAGTCACCACCTTCATCGGCGTCGTCGTCGTCGTCAAGGCCCTCGTCCCCCGCGAGCCAGCACACGACGTCGCCGCGCGCGGAGACGTCCGACCGCCCGGTGCGGTCCAACGCGCCCGCGACGAAGTCGTCCCGTCGCTCGCTCGCGTGCCGACGCAGCGCGCGCGACACCGCGGCCGCGAGCCTCGGTCCGAGCGCGTCGTCGATCACGGCGATGCCGCCGTCGCTTTCGTTTCGTAACGCCGCCGCTGCGGCGGTTACCGACGCGCGCAGCCGCGGCGACGCGAAGAGCTCCCACGCGCTCGGCGGCGGCGCGGCGGCGGCGGAGGCGTCCGCCGGCGGCGGATCGACGCGGTCGCACGTCAACACGCCGAGCTGCCGCAGCTGCGCGTGCGCGCTTCGAATCGCCTGGTACGGCACGAGTCCGCGTTCGGCGGCGGCGACGCCGAGGTTGAAGATGGCGCGAAGCGCCGGCGGGTGCGCGGCGGCGAATCCGAGCTCGTGACCGAACGCCATCGCGAGGAACTGCGCGCTCCAAAATTTGTGCGTCAGCTTCACGGGCATCGCGTCGCGGAGCTTCACGAGATCGCGCACGCGCGCGGTCTTCTCGAGGTCGGGGACGTCCGACGCGGCGAGGATGGCGCGCAGACCAGAGGCGTAGTGCTCGAACAGGCGCTGCTGGTCGTCCTCGGAGACGCTCGCGGACGCCGCGGTCGCGGTCGAGGTGGAGGTGGAGGTGGAGGTGGAGGTCGATCGCGCGTCGGCGTCTATCGGAGCCACCCCGCGCGTCCTCCACGAGGACGCGGGCGCCGCGGGCGTCCACGCGCGAGCGAGGACGCGCGACGCGACGCGCCGCATCGCGCGAGGAGGAGCGCGCGCGACGACGGGAGGCGCGACGCGCGCTGTGATCGATTCCAGATCTCGTTATTTTGGTTTCGTGAAGTTAGGTGCGTTCTATACACTGGTCCCCATACGACCGCGTTGGCGTGGTGAACGCCGTTCCTTAAGGACTTTTGCCGTCGTCTCTCTCTGCCCACGCCTCGGTTTCAATCCCCGTCCTCGATGCCTTTCAACGCCAACTGACGCCTTTGAACTCCACCCCAACATTCGCTTGTATAGAACGGCCCTTATTCGCGTCGTTGATTATTACCTCTCCGTCCGCGGTATCGGTATCGTCCCCCCTCCCTCCCCAAACCCTACATCCCGTCGTCGTCCTCGTCCTCCTCGTCGTCACCCTCCTTCCGGCGGACGCATCGGCGACGGCAACCCCAGCGGCGTGGTGTCCGCTCGGGCCGCCGTCGGCGACTGCGGGATCGTCGCGAGGGGCGTCCCTGTCGATGGACCCGCGCCCGCGTCGGCGCCGCCGGGGGCCTCTAACACGACGTCGCGCGCGCCGTCGCTCGCGCCGCCGGCGCCGATCCACGCGGCGTTCGCGTCGCCCCCGCCGGCCGTCCCGTTCCCGCCGCGGCCGCCGCTCTCGAGATCTCCCCCCCCGTTCCCGTTCCCGCCGCCGCCGCCGCCCGCGAGGTTATCCGGGGACCCGCCGCGGCTCGGCTCCCTCGAGCTTCCCGTCGTGTTCACCGTGAGGTACGGCCGTATGTACCGGTTGTCGATCTCCGTGAACGACGTCATCCGGGCCGTCTCCGCGACCGCGCTCGCGGCGGCGCGGACCTTCCCCATGCGGTCCAGATCGCTGTTGTCGCCGACCTCTCTGAGGCTCGATCCGAGCTTCGACATGAGCGACGAGTTGTACTCCGGCATCAGAGCCTCGCCGCCGTGGACGCTCCCGCGGCCGCTGCCCGGGGCGCTGTCGCCGTGGGCACCCCCCCGGGCACCCCCGCGGGCACCCCCTTCCGCGCCGGCGCCGCCCCCTCCTCCACCCGGGGAGTCGTCCATCTCGTTCCACACCGACGGCGCTTTCAGATCCAACCTGTCCACGAGATAGCTGCACGCGCCTCCGATCGTCAGCACCGTGAAGATGATGATCATCAGCGTCGCGGTCCGTATCACCCTCCCGGATTCCACGCCCAGGTCGCGGATCGTGCTCGACGCGAGCGCGAACGCGATCGCGCCTCGTAACCCGCAGATCCATAACATGTGGACGTGGTTTTCCGGTATCTGTCTCCCGGGCGACCTCCACGCGTTTATCTTCTTCGTCAACGGGAAAATGTTACACGCTCTCCCTCCCATGCACGCCAACAGCGCGACGATCGCGAACGGTATCGACTTCCACGCCTGGTTCTCTAAGAACATCGCGACGCCCATGTATATGAACACGAACGTCTCCGCGAGCGTCGCGAGCGTCTTGAAAATTTCCTTCGTGTTCTTTTGCGACTCTGGCGACAGGTTCGGACGCGTGTAGTGCGCCATGACGATCCCGCAGAACAGAATCGCGACGATCCCGGACAAACTCACCGACTCCGCGGCGGTGTACGCGCAGTACGGCGCGATCATTACCAGCGACGCCTCGATGTGCGTGTGCGACGCGAGCAGAGGCCCGCCGATGAGCTTGAAAAATATCGTCGTCGCGACGGCGAAAAACGTCCCCACGAGAACGCTCCCGACGAATATGTACCCGAAGAACGCGATCGCGGTGATCAGCGACACGAACGACACGCCGTCCTGGTGGAAGTTGATCAGCGCGCGGTACGTCACGATCGCGACCGCGTCGTTTAAAACCGACTCCCCGAACACGAGCGAGTACAGATCGATGTTGACGCCGAGCTCTTGAAACAACGCGAGGACGGTGACGGGATCGGTGGCGGACACGAGCGCGCCGAACACGAGCGAGTGCAGGAACGGGAGGTACGTGATCAACCCGATCGCGCCGAAGATCCACACGCACAGGCCGATGACCGCGGTGGAGATGAGCGTCCCGCCGAAGGCGAGCGCGCAGATGCCCCCGAAGTTGTTGAAGAAATCGCGCGTGCTCAGCGAGAACCCGCTCTCGAAGATGATGGGCGGCAGGAGCAGGAAGAAGAAGATCTCCTCGTTGAAGTCGACCCACTCGGTGACGCTGCCGCTCGTGTTCGCCGCCCACAGCGCGAGCCCGACGCCCATGCCCATCAGCAGCGCCGCGCCAGCCTCGTGGAGGAAGGTGATCTTAAAGTGCTTGATCACCAACCCGAGCACGAACGCGCACGCGAGGCACACGAGCAAGAGCAGGAACGCCGTGGACTTGAGCTCGTGCGTCTCCGCGGTGGACGCGCCGCCGGCGTCCGCGTCGTCGAGGTCGTCCGGGTCGCTCATCGCGCGCGGCGTTCGGATCGCGTCGTTCCGTCGCCCGACCCGCCGCGCGCTCGTCTCTGCGGCGGGAGCCGTCGGGGCATGCGCACGTCAACTCGTCGTCACGCGACGACGACGAGTCCTGTCAGCGGATGAAAAAGTTCCTTTTCGCAGGTGCGATCAAAAAACGTTTTTCACCCACAACTTGGTTTCAACATTTGATCGCGTCCCCTTTCAACACGACCGTGAACTTTTTTTCTCGTCCTGGCCTGCTGTCACGAACCGATTCGTCGCGGATCTCATCATCACAGTCCAGCGCATCGCGTCGTCGCGTCGCACGCCGAAACGTCAAAATGTCCAAGAAAGTCGCCATCGTGTGCACCTCCGCGTCTGAGTTCCAAGGCCACCCCACCGGGGCGTGGCTCGAGGAGATCGCGACGCCGTACTACGCGTTCAAGGCTGCCGGTCTCGACGTGACGATCGTCTCCATCGCGGGCGGGAAGGTCCCGATCGACGCCGCGTCGACGCAGGGCGACTTCAACACCCCCGACTGCGTCAAGTTCACCTCGGACGCGGACGCGGTGAAAGCGCTCGAGAGCTCCGTCGCGCTCGCCGCGTACGACTTCGACGCGTGCGCGGGCGTGTACCTCGCCGGCGGGCACGGCACGTGCGTCGACTTTTACAACGCGCCCGACGCGCCGCTGCAGCGGTGCCTCAACAAGGTCTACGCGGACGGGAAGCCCCTCGCGGCGGACTGCCACGGCCCGATCGCGCTCCTCAACTGCGTGAAGCCGGACGGATCCGCGCTCGTGGCGGACAAGGCTGTCACCGGCTTCAGCGACGCGGAGGAAGCCGCCGTCGGATTCACGGAGAAGTGCGAGACGCACTCGGCGTTGCTCGAGAAGACGATGCGCGCTCTGGGTGGGAAGTACGCCGCCGCCGCGGACTGGAACCCGAACGTGTGCGTGGACGGGAACCTCATCACGGGGCAGAACCCGGCGTCGAGCGCGAAGTGCGCGGAGGCGTTCGTCGAAGCGTTGGCCGCGTGAGCGCGTGATGACTATTACCTGTATGTATTTTCAGTTCGCGACGCGTGCAACGCAAACGCACGCGCGTCCTTCTTCTTCTCCTTCTTCTTCTTCTATCCGCTACGCTACTACATCTACGAATCGTCGAGTCATCACACGCCGTCAACTCCTCTTCTGGTTCGCCGGGTTCTGCCGCGACTTCAGGATCTTCTCCTTCGTGGTCATCAAGATCTGGTCGAACGCGGTCACGTCCTTCCCCGCGCGAACCTCTCGCCTGTGCTTCTTGTGCGCCTCGATCAGCGCCGGCTGCTTCTTCAGCGCGGCCTCGATCTTCGCCTCTCTCAAGCCCTGGTCTCTCTCGTGCTTGTGCCCCTTCGGCGGCTTGTACTCCGGATTCTTGTTCGCGACGTCCCACGGCCACTCTTTCCCCATCGCGATCGCCGCCTTGCGCAGCTCCGCGACTTTGCGCCTGGACATCGCGGGCGCGCGCCATTTCCCCTCCACGAGCGTCGGCTGCGCCGCGCCCGGCATCGACGCGAGCGCGGCCTCCAGCTTCGCGATGTTCTTCATGAACATGTATCGCATCGTCATCGTTCGACGACGCCGCGGCGAGCGCTTCGGCGCTTCCTTCCTCGCGCGGCGGTGTGTGATTGACTTAGGGTAAGAAGCAGAGCGAGGAACGGTTGGGCGCGGACCTGATGACGGCCACGGCCACGACGACGTTTTCCGCGGCCCTCGGTGTACTACAGTACGCTCGAAAACTACTCTTACCGAAATGCCCATACGGAAAACGAAAGAACCGGAGAGCACGACGCTTCGGCGGCTAAGATATTTGAGGTAAAATCGGGGGTCGCGCGAAGGATCGAAAAAGTGCACGGAGGTCCGACGGTCCAGACCATCCGAGGACCGCACGCACCGCGCACGGTCGCTCGCGAGCCGCGCGACTCGACTCTCGCCGCGGCGCCGCGTCGCTCGTCGCCCGTCGCCTCGCCGCGGACGCGTCCGAGGGCGACCTCCGCGCCTCGCGAGAGAGGGCGGAAGAAGATCTTTTTCTCTCTTTGAAAAAAAAACACGATGGCGGCCGCGTTTGGCGTCGCGTCGTTCGCGACCGCGCTTCACGCGCCCGCTCGCGACCGCGCGTCGCTTAGGCCGGCGTGCGCGGTCGCGCGCCGCCGCCGGAACGTGCTCACGCGCGCGACGATCGCCGGAGGTGCGTCCTCCTCCGCGTTCGCGCGCGCGCCCCGAAGCTCCCGACCCGTCCGCGCGGCGAAGTCTCGCCCGCTTCAAAGTATCTTTCTTTTCTTCGAGGGCGATCGACCATCGGGCGCTCCGAACGACGCCCCGAGCCCGCGCCGATCGCCGGCCGCGCGCCTTCGCGCAGCCACCCCGCGCGATCGACCGCGACCGCGACTGACGACCTCGTCCACCCCGCCCTCGAACCCTCCGAACCCTAAACCCCCCTCGTCTCGTCGCGCAGGCGGTCAGATCACGGACGTGTCGCAGATCGAGATCCCGACGGATCTCATCGAGATCCGCGCCTTCGTCCGATGGGAAGAAGCCGGAAAGCCGGAGGACACGTCGCCGGAGTGGCAAGCGGCCGAGTACGCGCGCGCGAGACTCGACCTCCAGCTCGAAGCCCTGAGCGGCGTCTCCCTGAACGACATGCGGCGGCGGTACAACCAAGACACGGTTGACGGCGACGACGACCCGATGTTTCCCGGCGTGGACGCCAACGCCATCCTCACCGCGGGGAAGAACGTGAACTACGTCGCGAACCCGGAGAACAACGCGGTCGCGGTGAGCGTGGACGAGTGGAACGACGGCGACGGCGACGGCGGAGAGTTTAATAAGCCGACGAAGACGGTGGAGCCGGAGGTTTGGATCGAGCCCGAGCCCGAGCCCGTGGGCGTCTACCAGTCGACGCGAGGACCGTCCGACCTGAAGGAGCTGACGTTGTCCCTGCGCGAGCACGGCGACGACCGCGACGACGAGCTCGCGAGCGCGCAGAGCAAGACGTTCATGACGCGATGGGCGGGAGAGGGCCCGGGGAAGCGTCTTCCGGAGAAGATGATCAACCAACGCGTGTACCCGATCGGGAAGGACGCCGAGCTTTTGGTGCAGATGTATCAAGTCGAGCGGAGCGACGAGGAGGCGATGTCGGGCGCGCGGAGCAAGGTGGCGCGGCGGCGCGTCGTGTTCACCACGGACGCGACCGAGGATTTTGTGCTTCACTGGGGCGTCGCGCGCGACGAGCCCGGGCAGTGGCTCCTGCCTCCGAAGGCACTGTGGCCGGAGGGGACGGAGATCGTCTCGGAGATTTCCGTGGAGACGCCGCTGCTTCAGACCGAGGGGTGCCTTCCGGTGCAGGGCGTCGACGGCAACGAGGACGACGACGCGTGCTACCCGATCCAAACGATGACGATCGACCTCCCGGGCGAAGGCCCGCTCGAACTCATGGGGATGCAGTTTGTGATTCGAAACGCGGACGGGACGAGCTGGTACAAGGACGAGTTCAACGGCAACTCCAACTTCCGCGCGAATTACGCGCAGGCGCGAGAGCAAGCGGTCACGGACGAGATGCTGGACACGATCATCCGCGCGGAGGCGGGGAACGGGTGGTGGACGCTCATGCACCGGTTCAACCTCGCGTCGAGCCTCATCGAGCAGAAGTGCGGCGCGCACAGTTCGTTAGAGACGGACGGGAAGAAGACGCGACGCGCGGAGATCGCGGCGGCGGCGAAAATTTACGTCTGGCTCCGGTACTCGTCGCAACGGAAGCTGACGTGGCAGAGGAACTACAACGTGAAACCGCGCGAGCTCTCCGCGGCGCAGTCGAAGCTGACGCGGACGATCACGGACGTGTATCGCTCGTCCCCGCACCTGCGCGACATCGCGCGCTTGATGCTCGGCACCGTCGGCCGCGGCGGCGAAGGCGGGCAGGGGCAGCAAATCAGAGACGAGATCTTGAACATCATGCACCGGAACAACATCGGCGAGAGGAAGGGCGTGTGGATGGAGGAGTGGCACCAGAAGCTGCACAACAACACGACCCCGGACGACATCGTCATCTGCGAGGCGTACCTCGCCTTTTTAAAGTCGGACATGGACGTGAGCGAGTACTGGCGCGTGTTGAGCGAAAACGGCGTCACGCGCGAGCGACTCGAGTCGTTCGAACGCCCGATCAAGGTCGAGCCGACGCCGCGACCGCACATCAAGGTGGCGCTCATCAAAGACTTCACAAACTACCTCGCAATCTTAAAGTCCGTGCACAGCGGCGCGGACCTCGTCGAGTGCTTGAAGGCGGCGTCGAGGAAAGGCCTCGCGGTGTCTCACGCCATGAATTACGTGCGGGTCGCGCAAAACGGCGGCGGCGACGCGCTGCAGCTCCTCGCCGCGTGCGTGGACGCGCGCCACGAGATCCGCGACGCCGGTCTGGCGAACCCGAACGCCGCGGACGAGGGCCTCGTCCGCGAGCTGATGTACTTGGACCTCGCCGTGGACGACGTCTCGCGCCGCGCGGTGGAACGCGCGGGCGAGGCCGACTATGGCCTCGACGAGCAGATGTATCTCGCCGAGCTCGTCGGGGAGAATCTCGCGCTGTCGCTGCCGTCCACGAACGAGGACGTCGTCCTCGCGCTGACGGAGTGGCGGCGCGTCCGCGAGGCGAAAACGGCCGGCGACGCGACGTGGGCGTTGCGAGCGAAAGCGGTCGTCGATCGCGTGCGTTTGTCCGTGTCGTTGCACGCGGACGCCGTGGCGAACGACATGCAGCCGGCGGCGAACGAGATTGGCCGCGCGTGCGGGATCGAATCCTGGTCCGTGGATTTGTTCGCGGAGGAGGTGATCCGCGGCGGGCCCGCGTTCGCGCTGTCGCTCGTGTTGTCGAGGCTCGACCCGGCGCTTCGCGCGGAGGCGGACATGGGCGCGTGGCAGATCATCTCCCCCGACCCCGCGATTGGTTTCGTGAAGAGAGTCGACGCGTTGGCGTCGGTGATGAACGATACTTTCGACCGACCGACCATCTTGATCGCGGACAAGGTGGGCGGCGACGAGGAGATCCCCGCGGGCGCGGTCGCGGTCCTCACCACGTGCAGCGTAGACGTCCTGTCGCACAGCGCCGTGCGAGCGAGGAACGGCGGCGTGTTGTTCGCGACGTGCTACGACGAGATTCTTCTCGAGAATTTGTCTCAACACGTCGGCGACGCGATGAAAGTCAGCGTCGGCAAGGGCGAGCAGATCGTCTGGGAGGAAGTCGACGCGAGCGCCGTGGACGCGGCCGCCGCGAACGGCGCCGCCGGCGCCGAATCGAGGAACCACATCGAGGGCGGCCTTCGATTGGATAACATCCCCTTCTGCGGCAAGTACACGGTGCCTCTCTCGGAGTTCAAACAGGGCGTCGTCGGCGCCAAGGCGAGGAACACGCGCGCGCTGAACGAGTCCTTGGGCGGCGGGAAGATCCCGAAGTGGATCAGGCTCCCGAAGAGCATGGTCGTGCCGTTCGGGACGCTGGAGCACATCCTCAAGGACCCGATCAACGCGTCGGTCGCGCGGGAGTTGATGAACCTCGAAGCCGCCGTGGACGACTCCTCCGAGGAGTCGCTCGCGACGACGCTGAAGAACTGCCGCGCGTGCGTGCGCACCGTCCAACCCCCTAAAGGGATGATCGAGGAGATCTCCACCGCGATGGCCGCGGCCGGGATCGACCCGCCCGAGGACGAGGACCGGTGGGACCTCGCGTGGAGGGCGCTCTGCGACGTGTGGGCGTCCAAGTGGAACGATCGCGCCTTCGTCTCGCTCCGCAACCACGGCATCGACCACGCGGACCTCCGCATGTCCGTGCTCGTGCAGCCGGTCGTGGACGCGGACTACGCGTTCGTGATTCACACGGCGAACCCGTCGTCGAACGACGCGACGGAGTTGTACGCGGAGGTTGTCGTCGGGTTGGGCGAGGTGCTCGTGGGGAACTACCCGGGCCGCGCGTTGTCGTTTAGCGTCAAAAAAGCCACCGCCGCGGAGGCGGCGACGGGGACCAAGTACCTCGCCGACGGCGCGACGCCCAAGGTGTTGGGGTACCCGTCCAAGAACGTGCTGCTCAAGATACCGCGGCCGACGATCATCTTCAGGTCGGACAGCAACGGCGAGGACCTGGAAGGGTACGCCGGCGCCGGGTTATACGAGTCCGTGCCCATGGATAAGGAGAGCACGCTGCACGCGGATTACTCCGGCGACGCGCTCGTGTGGGACGCGGAGACGCAGCGGAAGGTGCTGACGAAGATCGCGGAGGCTGGCGTCGCGATCGAGGCTGCGCTCGGGGGCGTCGCGCAGGACATCGAGGGCGTCGTGAAGGATGGCGAGATTTACGTCGTCCAGACGCGGCCGCAGGTGTGATGGTCCAAAAAAAAACACCAAACGCACGCTGTACAAAGCCGCAGAGCACACAGACCATTTACCCTTCAGTTTAATTGCGATACCTTTACTGCTAAAAACGTACGCGCACTTCCCGCGTTCTTCTCTCTTCTACGCGCCGCCGCCGTGCGCCTTCGCCTCCTCCATCACCGCCTCCAATCGCTCCCACTCCTCGTAGTACAACGTCTGCTTCTCGGTCTTTTTGTCCTTCTCTCTCTGAATCTCCTGCGCCGCGGCGACGTCGGCGCCGCACGCGAGCAACCGCTCGTCGATCGCGGCGATGTCGTCGTCGATCACCGCGAGCGCTCTCTCGATCTTCGCGATGACCGACGGCGCGTTCCGGGCTTCTTTGAGCATCTTCGCGACCGCGGCGGCGTTCGCTCTCGCCTCGGCCTCTCTCGCGGCGATCTCCTCCTCGCTCAACCCCTCGTTCGCCTTCGCCTTCGCCTTCGCCTTCGCGCCCGCGCCCGCGTCTTCCCGGACCGCGCCGGCGACGCCCCCGGTCGACACCATCGCGGTCGCGCTGAAGTCTCTCTTCGACAGCGCGCCGCCGACGACCATCCGCGACTTCATCCCGCCGTTCTCCACGCGCGCGACAAACGTCGGCTCCAACGCGTCCGCGAACGCCTCGTTGTGCGTCACCGCGACGACGGCGCCGTCCCAATCTCGCAACCCCTCCGTCAGCGCCTCGATCGCGGCGGCGTCGAGGTGGTTCGACGCCTCGTCCAGCAGAAGCACGTTCACGGGGCGCAGGACGAACGCGGCGAGCGCGACGCGCGCCTTTTCGCCGCCGCTCAAGTCGCCGATGACGCGGTCCTTCGCCGCGTTTCCTCCTAAACCCAACGCGCCGAGGACGGACCGCGCGGTCTGCTCGTTCAGCGTCGGATTCGCCGCGCGCGCGACTTTCAGGACGTGCGTCAACGGCGAAACGTCCGACGGGAGCTCCTGCGCGAGGTCTTGCGAGAAGTACCCCACGCGCGCGCCCTCGCCGTGCGCCAAGACGCCGCCCTGCAGCCGCAGCGACCCGCCGAGGCTTCGCAGCAGCGTCGACTTCCCGGCGCCGTTCGGGCCGACGACGAGCAGCCGGTCGCCCCGCCGCACGACCAAATCGACGTCCTTGATGAGCGGCGCGAGCCCGCCGCCGTACCCGATCGTCGCGTTCGTCAGCGTCAGGACCTCCTTCGCGCCGTCCGGCGCCGGCGGCAATCGCAGCGTCACGCGTTTCGCGTCCCCCGGGCCGGCGCCGAGCGCCTTGTCGTCTAAATCGCCATCCTCGCGCATCTCCTCTAAGCGCGCGTTCACGCCCTCGAGTTGCTTCGCGCGCGACCGCGCCGCCGCCGCGGTCGACGCCCTCGCGCTGTTCTTCGCGACGAACTGCGCGAGCTTCGCGGCTTTCGCTTTTTCCTTCGTCGCCGCCGCCTGATTGACTCGTCTCCGCTCGCTCCGTTCCTCAACGAACTTCGAGTAGTTCCCGGAGTACCCGCGCAACCTTCCCCCTCTGACTTCGATCAACCGATCGACGCCCTTCTCCAACAGCGCCTCGTCGTGCGACACGAGCAGCGTCGTGCCCTTGTACGCCCTGAGCCACCCCGCGAGGTACTCCTTCGCGCTCGCGTCGAGATGATTCGTCGGCTCGTCGAGGAGGAGGAAGCCGCCGTTGACGCCGCCCCCCGACTGGCAGTCCCCCGCGGGGGACAGCAGCAGCCGCGCGAGCGCGACGCGCATCTGCCACCCCCCCGAGAGCGCGTCGCACGGGCGATCCCACGCCTCTCTCGCGAACCCGAGGCCGTTGAGGACGTCCGCGACGCGGCGTTCGACGGCGTCGCCGCCGATCGCTTCGAAGCGATCGCGCGCGGCGACCATCATCGTCGCGCCGTTGACGTCCCCCGCCGCGATCGCCTCCTCCGCGGCTCGAAGCGCGCTCTCCGCGTCGATGACGTGCGTCATGCGGCTCCGCGCCTCCTGCGCGACCGTGCGCGAGGAGCCGCTGACCGCGGTCTGCTCCAGGTAGCCGACGTCCGCGCGAGGCGACACGAGGAGGTCGCCGCCGCTCACCTCGCGCGCGCCCGCGACGCATCGGAGCAGCGTGCTCTTCCCGCAGCCGTTCGCGCCGACGAGGCCGACGCACTCGCCGGGCTCGACGCGGAGGTTCGCGCCCGAGAGAAGGTCGCGGTCGCCCACGGTGACGCGCACGTCGCGGAGGATCATGACCGCTCCCGCGGTGTCGCCGCGCGGGACGACGTCGCGAGATGACGTCTCGGACGTCGTCGCCGTCTCCGTCGACGCCGACGCCGACGCGCGGCATCGAGATCGCGCGCGCCCGGGGGAGGGGGAGGAAGGAGAATACGACGACGACGCGCGACGGTGCGAGCTCGCGCGCGGAAGCGCGCGAGTCATCGCCGCCGAGGACGCGTGCGACGTCATGGCCGCGCGCCGTGGAACACTGAGTGACGAGGAACTTCCGCGAACGTCATCCACACGCAAGTCGCGACCGAAAAGCGCCGACCAAAAAGTGAATTGGCACTCGAGACGACGCGCTTACCCACCCCCCGCCGCGGATCATGACCGATCCCGGCCCCGACTTCGACCCCGCGGACCTGAGCAGCAAGCGCGAGTGGGAGAAGATCGGCGACGGGTCGTTCGGGAACGTCTACCGCGCCACGCTCCTCGGCGTGCCGGTCGCGGTCAAGGAGATCGGAAGCGCGAAACCCGATCGCGTCGCGGGCCTGAAGCGCGACATGCATTACCTCCGAAGGTTCCCGCACCCGAACGTCGTGCAAGTCTTCGGCGCGTACGAGGAAGACGGCAAGCTGTTCATGGTCATGGAGCTCTGCGCGCACTCGCTGCGGTCGAGAAGCGTCGTGAACCGCGTCGACATCGTCAGCGTCCTCGCGGACGTCGCGCGCGCGCTGACGAAGCTCCATCGCGCCGGTCACGTCCATCGCGACGTGAAAGCCAGGAACGTCCTCGTCGGCAAAGGGTACGACACCGCGAAGCTGTGCGACTTCGGGCTCGCGCGCGCGATGCCGGACGAGCGTCGGCCGGAGGTGAACCCGGAGATGACGCCGCGGATCGGGCCGCCGAAGTACCGCGCCCCGGAGGTGGTGAAGCGGAGGGATTACGACCTCTCCTCGGACATATACGGGTTCGGCGTCATGTGCCAGCAGCTCGTCGCGCAGCTGCGACGTAAACGGCGGAAAATCATGGGCGAGGACGAGGTCGAGTTCATCTTAGCCCTCGGCGGCGAGTGCGCGAGGAAAGAGCCGGAGCTGAGGCCGACGGCGTACCAGTGCCTGCGGCGTTGTTTACAACGGCTGGGGAAACCCGTGCAACTGTGCTCGGAGGCGACCGCGTCGAAGCGGAAGCGGTATTGGCTGAACGAGCCGATGGACGTCGGAACGTGGAAGCACTCGGGCGCGGCGTCGCCCGCGAGCACGTCCGCGAGCACGTCATCCGGTTCGGACGACGACGACGACGACGAAGGCGGCGGCGGCGGCGGCGGCGGCGGCGGCGGCGGAGGGAAACGCGCGCGGGGCGGCGGCGGCGGCGGCGGCGACTCGAGCGACGGCCGCGGCGGGATCACGGAGGACGCGAGCGACGACGGCGAGGAGGTGCAGCAGGGCGCGACGGCGAGGCGGACGGACGTCGGAGGCGGGGGCGGGGACGACGGGGAACGAGATAGGAAGGCCATGCGCGCGTGACGCGGTCGCGAAGACAGGGTTTGGGTTTGGGTTCGGGTCGGGTTCGGTTTGGAAAACCTCGCCGAACGACACTTATTATTTGAGCGCCCGCGGCGCCGTCGAAGACCATGAGGTTAGCTCATCGCGCTTGTGAAGAACGAATCGAGCGAGCACGAAGAACGTCGCGTTAAGAATCCAATCCGCCGCGTGAACGGCAGACTATGTACATTACAACACCCCGCCCAGAGCGCCGCCCGGGCGGCGGCGAACGCGTCTGTCCTCGCTCGTCGACAGACCATCTACTTCGCCGCCGCGGGCGCGGGCGCGGGCGGCGCCACGGCCTTCTTCATCGCCGCGACGTCCCCGCGCAACTCTTCGACTTCCTTCTTCAGTTCCTCCATGGTCCTCGGCTTCTCGTCGTCCGCCGGTTTCGCCGCCGCGGCCGCCGCGGACGGCGCCGCCGCGTCGCCGCCCTCGGTCGCGGGGTGCGCAGCCTCGCTGTGCGAGTGGTACTTGTGATGGAAGTAGTGCTCCATGCCGAACGCCATGGCCCACACGCCAGCCTGACGAATCGCGTCGACGGAGGGGACGGTACGGTCAGCGGGGGCGCGCGATCGAAAATCGAGAGGCGTCTCGACCGACGCGCGGCGAGGGCCCGCCCGCGCGGGAGGATTAGGGATAGCGAGAAAAGATCGAACGGGCGAAAGAGCGCGAGGCGCGAGGCGCGCGCGGTCGCGACGACGACGCGAGACGCACCATGACGTGCGTCAAGGGAGCCGAGCTCCCGGTGTCGATGAATGCCCTTCTGTACCAACCGAACATCTTGCCGACGTCGCCGCGGTCGCTGGCGCGAGCGAGATGGACGGAAGGGTTTGGGATGGCACCGCTTTTCGTCTCGCGGCGATGGCGCCAACGGCGCGCGTCGGTCGCTCGCAAAAGTGCTCGGAGCCGGCGGCAGATGCCGGCGGCGAGGGCGGCAGTGTCGAGGGCGCACGCAGGCGGCCGCGGGTGAGAGCGCACGCGCGAGCGCGCGCTCCCTCGAGCCTCCGCGACCGCGCCGGATCGCGCGCGGACCGATCGAAGGCGTCGCGAGCGAACGAACGCGGCGTTCGTCGTCCCCTCGCGCGAGATGGCGTCGTCGCTCGCGGAGCAGCTGAAGCTCGTCGCCTCCGCGGCGCCGACGGAGGAGCGACTGAAGGGGAAAGCGTCGCTTCTGTACGACATCCGAGAGGCCGCGGACATCGACCTCGAGACGATATACGCCGTCGGGCTCCAGGGTGCGTCTCTCGCGCCTCGCGTTCTCGCGGCGATGCGGCGGCGTCGGCGGAGACGCCGCCGCCGCCGCCGCCGCGTCGTCGACAAATCCATCGCTCGCGAGCCGTCGTCGCGATCGATCGATCCGATCCCTAACGCCACGCCGCCGCCGCCGCCGCGTCGCCCCTCGCTCACCGCGGCGTCCCCCACCCCTCTCTCCGCTCCGTCGCGTCGTCCCCAATCTCAGGGTTCGCGGAGCTCTCTCGACTCGACGCTCGGTTCGAGGCCGCGGGCAAGAGCCTGTTCAGCAAGCAAGCGTCCGAGACGAACCGCGAGCTTCAGGACCGAGACGCGAACGCGAAGATCGACGCCGCGATCGAGGGCTTCCTCCGGCTCCTGACCGGGTACTTCCTGGACGAGAACGCGACCAAGTGCTTGGAGTACCTCGTGCGCAGGTACAAGGTGCACGTCCGGAACGTCGACGCGCTCATCGCGTGCGCGCTGCCGTATCACTGCACCCCCGAGTTCGTGAAGCTGGTACAGCTGTGCGCGCTCGAAGGGACGTCGTTTTACTTTCTCGCGAAGGTCAAGGAGCTCGGCGCCGCGCCGCCGCGGTCGCAGCTCGTGCAGCGGTGCACGCACGACGGCGCGTTTCTGTCGTTCATATGCGACGCCGCGGCGACGACCGCGTCGAACAAGGTGCGCGTTGCATCTCGTTCGTTACCCCGCCGGTGAACCGGGGAGTGTTTTTTTTTTTCGCTTCGCTCCGCTCCGACTCGGGTCCGTTCCGGCGTCGTCGCGTCTTCTTCGCGCGCGCGCGCTGCACTCCACCGCTATTTCTTCCGTCGCGCGCGGCAGCCACTCGTGGCGTTAAAACACCACGCCGCGCAACGACTAGCAACGCGGTGGTACATGACGACACACGTCGACGTGAGCGCATGTCGGCGCGCCGTTTCCCCCGCTCGCAACGTACTGCGCGAACAGCCGTGGACGGTCGCGCCTGGAGAGCGCTCTCTCATTCGCTCGGTTCGGTTCGGTCGCTCGGTCGCCGCGCATCGGCCGCTCGGCGCCCATCTCTCTCTCGATCAAACCATAACCCAAACCCAAACCCTAACCCTAAACCCGATACCCTACAGGGCGTCCCCGGCGCGGCTTCCGCGTTCTACGCGGTGACCCTCACCGAGTCCATCGCGGCGATGAAGCAAGTCACCGCGGCGACGGTCCCGCGTCTGCTTCCGTACCTCGAAGCCGGGCTCGCCCCCGGGGCGTCCTCCGAGCAGTTCGCGGGCGCGATCATCGTCTCCGTGCAGCTCGCGCTGAAAGCGCAGCTCGCGCAGCCGCTGACGGAGGCGCTCATGGAAGGGCTCGCCAAGGGCGCGCGCGCGCCGTTGCACGCGCAGGTGCTCCAAGCGCTCTTGGTGCTGTGCCAGGTGCGTTCTATACACTGGTCCCCATACGACCGCGTTGGCGCGGTGAACGCCGATCCTTAAGGACGTTTCCCGGCGCATCTCTCCGCCCATCCCTCGCGTTCAATCCCCGCCCTGGGCGCCTTTCAACTCCGCTTCTGACGCCTTTGAACTCCACCCCGACATTCGCTCGTATGGAACGACCCTCAGACGCAACGCGTCCGCGCGCTGCCGAGCCGCGCGTTCAAGCACCTCGTGAAGCTCCCGGACCTCGCGTCGCACGTCGCGGACATGGCGAAGAAGTACGTGTGCGACGAGCTCCTGTGCGTCCTCGTCGTCGCGCTCGCGGGCGCGGTGACCGCGCACGCCAACTACGAACGCGTGTTGACGGAGGTCATCGTCGACGTGGAGTTGTCGGACGTCGCGGTGCTCGCGCTCGTGCGCGAGCTCGCGGTGACGGGGACGAAGGACGCCGCCGTCGGTGCTGACGCGAACGGCGCCGGCGGCGCGCGCGATAACACCGCGGAGAGAGAGGCCGCGGCGAGGGCTCTCAGGCTGTGCGACGCGCATCACCCGATCGCGTGCTCCGCCGCGGTGGATAAAGTTCTCGCGGAGGCGGCGAGGCGCGCGGTTGTGGCGAGCGACGGCGTCGAGGTCGCGGGCGACGCCGCCGGGAGCGGGAAGACGAAACGCGCGAAAGACGACGCCGCGAAACCGAAACCGGCGGAGAGCCCCTTCGCGGCGTTCCTCCGGTGGGCTCTGTCAGGCAGCGCCGCGGGGCCGATGCCTGGGCACGCCGCGTCGTTGGGCGCCGCGTTGGACCATCCGCAGCCCGGCTTAAGAGAAGCCGCGTTGAAGGAGCTGAAACGCGGCGGGTCGAGCGCCAAGACGATGTCCTCGGGGACGGTCCTCGCGGGCGCGCTGTTACGCCGCGTGTCCGACGACAAACCGCGCGTCGCCGCCGCGGCCGCGGGGCTCCCCGGCGTGCGCGTCGCGATCGGCGACGACGACGCGCTGTTCGACGCCGCGAGCGAGAGGCTGAACGTCGCCGCGGCGAAGTGCGCGGGGAAGACGCCCGAGGCGGAGCTCGAACGCGCCGTCGCGAAACGCTGCGTGAAACTCCTCGTCGGCGTGTTGTCCACGCCGCCGAGACGGCCCGGAGCGGCGGGCGGCGAGGGTGCCGAGAAGAGTGCCGAGAAGGGTGCCGAGGAGAGCGACGCCGAGGAGAGCGACTCCGAGGAGAGCGACTCCGAGGCGAGCGTCGAGGCGGCGGCGGACGGCGCGGCGGGGCCGCTCGCCGGGCGCGCGGCGGCGACGGCGTTCGCGCACGTTTTGTTTTCGCCGTCCACGAGAGCGGTCGCGCGCGCGGCGCTCGACGCCGCGGCGCGTAACCCGCACCCGCTGCTCTGGAAGTTTCGCGAGAAGGCGTTTCAGAAGGCGGTCGCGGAAGCTCAGTCGATCGGCGGCGCGCCGACGCCGGACGCGAAGGCGTCGAAGAGGAAAAGTTTAAAGAAGGAAAAAGAAGTAGAAGCGAAGGACGTCGACGCCGCGGCGCAGAAGGAAGCGAGGGCGCGCAGCGACGCGGCGGTGAACGCGCTCGTGATCACCGCGCTCGCGGAGGGATTGAGCGCCTGGAACGACGTCGACGCGATGACGCTGTGGGTGAAAGAGACGTGGCGCGACGGCACGAACCGCGCGCGAGGGACGCTGCTTCTGTCGCTGCGCGAGGCGTGCGGTCGCGCGTCCGCGGCGGCGGCGCGCGCGGCGACGTGGACGGTCGCGAAAGACGCGTGGAACGACGAAGACGTCGGCGCGAGCGTCCTCGGCGAGCGCAAAGACGAAGAAGACGCGAAGCGCGGCGACGCGCCGCTGAGCAAGCACACGGCCAGGGCGCTGAGTAAGAATGGCGACGCCGCGGCGGCGGTTCTGCCGGCGTTGACGCGACGCGCGCTCCTCGCGATGCTCGACGCGACGTGCGCGCGGAAGGGAAATGATCACGGAAACGGCCGCGAGCGGCGCGTTTTAAAAGAAGTTTTCCTCGCCATGGCCGCCGCGGACGACGAGTCCGGCGAAGGAAGGTTTAAGACGCACTTCGACGCGCTGTTACGCGCGAGCGAGAGGTCCGGGGTGTCGTCGACGACGTTTCTCGCCGCGCGCGCGTCGGAAAATCCCGAGGGCGGCGGCGGCGGCGGCGGCGGCGGCGGCGAGACGTCCACCGGGTCGATCGCCGCGGGACCTCAGGTCGCGCTCACGCTTCTGAAGAACGCGGACGCGAAGGACGCGGACGCGTCCAGGAGCGGGTCGCTCCTCGCGACGCTCATCGTGGCGTGCGCGGCGACGGAGCCGAGGGTTCGCGCCGCCGCGGCGGCGGCGATTGCCGCGCTGGCGCCGGGGAAAAAGAGCGTCAAGAAATCGTCCCCGTCCGCGGGCGTCGTCGCGCTGTGGAGCTCGCTCAAGGACGCGGCCGGGGACATCGGCAGCGTGGCGAAGAGCGTGGACGCGCGCGAGGTCCTCGTGGACGCGATCGCGCGCGGTTTGGACGTGAAGCAGACCGGCTCGAGCGAGAGCACGAACGACGCGATTGGCGAAATTCTCGCCCCCGTCGCCGCCATCGGCGGCGGCGGGAAAGCGAAAGAGTCCTACATCCTCGCGCGCCTCCACGACGACGACGACGACGACGACGGGAGTTCGGAGGTGCGAGTGGACGCGTACGGCGCGCGCGTGCTCGTCGCGGTCCTCGCCGGCGTCGGCGACGACGCCGTGAAAGCGGCCGCGCTCGCGCCGGCGTTGCGTCGATGCCTCCTTCTCGGCGGCGGCGACGGCGGCGGCGACCTCGCCGCGCTCGCGGTCAATCTCCTCGAGGTCTACACCCCCGCGTTCGCGAAAGCGGCGAAGAACACGCGAGACGCGTCGTGGACGGCGTACGCCGACGCGCTGAGGCCGCCGTCGCCCGCGCCCGCGAGGGTCGCCGCGATGTGCGTCGCGACGCCGGCGTTCGTCGACGCGTTGCCGGCGGCGGCGAGGGGCGAGTGCCTCGGCGCGCTGTTCGCCGCGGTCGGGGGAGATCCGGACGCGGGCGCGCGCGCGGCGGCGCGGGACGCGGTCGACGCGCTCAAGGTGAGCGCCGCGGACGTGATTGAGATGTTGCAGACCGCGACCGCGGCGGCGAAGGCGCTCGTCTCCGGCGGCGGCGGCGGCGGCGGCGACGACGGCGAAGGCAAAAAATCCAAACGCGCGAAGGGCGCCGCGCGCGCCTCCGGCGACGCGCCCGCCGCGAGCGCGTCCGACGCCGTCTCCGCCGCGATCGCCGCGCTCGAGGTCGTCGCGTGGAAGTCCCCGAAAGACATCGAACGCCGCGGCGACATCGCGGGGCCGTGCATGGATCTTCTCTCCGCGCTTCTCGACGCCGCGGCGTTCGCGAAACGAACGCCCGCCGCCGCCGCGAACGACGACGGCGACGACGACGACGACGACACCGCGCGCCCCGCGAAGGGCATCGCCGCCGGGGAAGCCTCCGGCGGGTACGCGCAAGCGCTCGTGATGTCTACGCTCGAGACGCTCGCGAACGAGCAGCGCGTCGGACGCGGCGGCGACGCCGCGGAGACGTCTTCTACGACCGCGTGGTCCTACGCGCTCGTCGTCCGCGCGGTGCGAGACGCCGAGCCGGGCCCCGCGCGCGAGGCTGCGCTCTCTCTCCTCGCCGCGGTCGCGCGCTCGGACCCGGCCGGCGCGGTCGACCACGTCCTCGAAGTCTCCTCCGCGCTGACGCACGGCGCGACGGACAAGGGCTCGGACGACCCGCTCGCGCGCCGAGCGCTCGAACGCGCGCTCGCTGCCGTCGTCCCGGCGTGGATCGCGGGTGGGCACGGCGTCGCCGCCGCCGCCGCGAAGGTTGTCGACGCGCTCCCGGACGCGCCCGCGCACCGGAGAGGACCGCTGTGCGGCGCGCTGTTGCGCGCGTGCCCGCCCGGGGAGGGGCTGCCGCGCGTGTTGCTGCTGATGCTCGGGAATATGAAGACGCTGGAGGAGGCGGCGACGAAGGCGGCGGAGAAGCGTGCGAAGGTGCGTTCTATACACTGGTCCCCATACGACCGCATCGGCGTGGTGAACGCCATTCCTTAAGGCCTTTACCCGGCGTCTCTCTCCGCCCATCCCTCGCTTTCAATACCCGCCCTGGGCGCCTTTCAACTCCACCTGACGCCTTTGAACTCCACCCCGACATTCGCTCGTATGGAACGACCCTAAGCGCGCGAGGAAATCCGCGGAGAAAGCCGGCGGCCGCGTCGCCGCGGCGTTTCAAGCCGAGCGGGAAGACGGGCACGCGGGCGACGCCGGGTCCGGGTCGAGGGGGAAGTGGGTGATGGACCTCGCCGCGTCGTTGCTCGCGCGCGAGTCCGCGTCCGGAAGCGTCGACGCGCTCGTTGAAGCGATGAAGGTGCGGACGGATCGGATCGGAACGATCTCTGTTCTGTTTTGGTTTTTTTTTCGCGTCGCATCCGTCCGTTTGGCGGATTTCCGATTCCCGCGCCCGCGCCCGAGACGAAAGAACGACGAGGACGATTCGCGCCGCGCGCGCGTTTCGGTGATGATCACTTCCTCTTGTGTCAGGATTCTGACGAGACTCCTTTTTGTCGAGTTCCGTGTTGAGACATCTAGCTCTGCTGCTTTCCTGCTGAGAAACGCAAACGCGGCGGCGGATCGTCTTCGTCGTTCTTTCTGTTCGTTTTTCGGTGGTTCTATTTTTCTTTTTCAAACCAACCTCTCGCTCTCGCGCACGTGCTGACTCTATCGCGCTGCTCATCAAACCCCACACACAGGGCGCGATCGAGGACGGCGGACGCCTCGTGTGGCTCTCCGCCGAGGTGGCCGCGAAGCACCTCTCGTCGCGAGCGTTCCTTGCCGCCGCGCGTAAAGAAGCCACCGCCGCGCTCGCCGCCGCGGACGCCGCCGCGACCGCCGCGGGCGAAGCGGAGGCGAACGACGACGCGAAGGCGCTCGAAGCCGCGACCGAGGCGGAAGAGCGCGCGGTGGAGATGAGCGCGCGGTTGCGAGAAGGCTACGCGGATCTCGCCGCGTGCGCGCTCACGCTGTTGCAGGCGGGCGCCGCGGGGGGGAGCGAAAAGAACGACGTCAAGTCGCCGTCCTCTTCGGGAAAGAAGAAGAGCTCTGCCACGCCGCCCGACGCCGACGCCGCGCCGATTCTCGTCGCGAAGGACGCGAAGGCGGCGTCGAAGATGGAGCGCGGCGGCCGGCAGGTCCTCGCCGCGCTGGACGGCCTCCTCGCCCCGGGGCCGTACCTCCGAGCGTTGGCGCCGCTTTTGGATCACGACGACGGGAGCGTGCGAAGGAAAGCGCTGCGGCTCGTCGCGCACCGCCTGCGCGCGGCCGCGGCGGCGTCCGCGGCGGCCGCTTCCACCGCGAACAAGCACGGGAAGCGCGCGGGGAAGGAGCGCGCGAGGGACGCGCGGTCGAGGGCGCGCGCGAAGGACCGCGCGTGGCTGAAAAAATCCGAGAATCACGCCGCGTCCGCGGAGCGGAAAGCCGAGGACGAGGAAGAGGAGGAGGAGGAGTGGACCGAGGAAGTCGACGCCGGCGTCGCGATCATCGCGAGGGTCGCCGAGCTCGCGGACAGCGGCGGCGCGGCGACGCGGCACGCGGCGCTCTCCGCGCTCGAGGCTGCGGCGGCTCGGTTCGCGGACGCCGACGCCGCCGCGGATTCACTCCTCGCCGCCGTCCCGAGCGCGGTGGCTGGGATGAAGGCGAGCAGCCGCGGCGTCGTCGCGTCCGCGGCGACGTGCTTCGCGGCGCTGATCCGCGCGCTCGGCGTGCGGTCGCTGCCGATATTGAACGAGTCGGTGCCGGCGCTTTTCGAAGCCGCGACGGACGCCGCGGGGAAAGTGAACGCCAAAGCGGCGAAGCTGAAGAAGAAGACGAAGGAGAAGAAGAAGGACGACGACGACGACGAAAGCGACGACGACGACGACGCGAAGGTCCTCGTCGCCGCGCTCAACGCCGTGGACGTCCTCATGGAGACCATGGGCGGGTACCTCTCCCCGCACCTCCCGTCCCTCCTGTCGTTGCTCTTCGCCCCCGCGGTGACGCCCGCCGCGGGGAGCGGCGTCGAGGCGCGCGACGCGCAGATCGCCGCCGCGAAGAGCGGCAGCGCGGCCGCGATCGCGAGCGAGGTGGCCGCGTCGCTCCGCGCGTCGCTCCCGAGAGCGGCGCCGCTGCGGTTGCTGCTGAAGCCGATATCCGACGCGTACGACGCCGCGGTGGCGCTCGGCGGCGGCGCGGGCGCGGGCGCAGCGTCGGCGGCGTTGCGCGTCGTCGCCGCCGCCGCGACGGCGTCGCCGCCGACGCAGAACCAGCGCGTCGCGCTGCTCGCCACGCTGCTTAGAGCGCTCGACGTTCGACGCTCGCCGCCCAAGGCGTGCGACGCGGACGACGTCGACGCCGTGGAGGGCGCCGCCGTGGACGCGTTCGTCTCGGTGTCGATGCAGCTCACCGAGAGCGCGTTCGTGCCGGCGTTCGCGCACGTCGTGGAGTGGGCGAAAGCGCGCGCGAGCGACGCGCCCGCGGCGAGGGCGCGACTCGCCGCGCTGTTCCGCCTGTCCGCGTCGCTCGCGGACGCCCTGCGGGCGGTGTTCACGCCGCTCGCGACGCCTCTGTTGGACCTCGCCGCGGCGGCGTTGGACCCGGCGTCGGACCCCGCCGTCCCCGGCGGCGGCGGCGGCTCGCGGAAAAAGAAGAAGCGGAAGTCCGAGGGCGGCGGCGACGGCGACGCGCGCGCGAACGAAGACGCCGGCGACGACGACCCCGCGGTCCTCGTCGCGGAGATGGACACGTGGCGCATGCGGACGCGAGCGCTCGGCGCGCTCCGGCGGCTCTTCGCGCACGATAAAGACGGCGGCGACTTTTTAGATGCCGCGCGATTCAACCAGCTCCACCCGCTCATCACGCGGCAGCTGTCGTCGACGCCGCCGCGCGGCACCGCGGAGGCGAGCGCGGTGCGCGAGGATGGAGAGGGCGAGGACGACGTCGCCGCGTCCGCCTCGGCCGTCGTCGCGGAGGGAAGCCTGGGCGCGGAGGTGGTGAAGTGCGTCGCCGCGATGGTCGCCGCGGCGCCCGACGACGCGCTGTGGAAGCCCGCGCACCGCGGCGTGCTCCTCGCGACGCGCGATGGGAAGACGCGCGCGCGTCTCCTCGCGCTCGCCGCGCTCGGGGCGATCGTCGACGCGCTCGAGGAGGAGTACCTCGCGCTGTTGCCGGAGGCGATTCCGTTTTTGAGCGAGCTGTTCGAAGACCCGGACGAGCGCGTGGAGGCGGCGGCGAGGAAGCTCACCGCGCGTCTGACGGAGTTGTCGGGGGAGGATCTGAAGTCGCTCATGAGCGAAGGCGGCGGGAGGTGAAGACGGAGAGTAGACGACGCGGCGCGCTCTCGTGGTAGCTCGCGCGCGCGACGACGCGAGAATAATACGATGCATTCATCCCTCGTTCAATTCGTCATTCGCGCGTAAAGATTGTCCGACCGCGATCGCGACCGCACGAAACTCAACGTCAAGCCGTGACGTCGACGCGGTCCGCACAGCACGATGGCGCGCGCGTCGTCCCCGCGGTGGGACGGCGCGCTCGCGCGCGTCGTCCCTCCCGCGCTGCGTCGATGTCACCGCCGCGCGGCGTCGTGCCATCGCGGCGGCGGTCGCGAGAGCGTCGCGCGCGCGGCGTTCCATGGCGGCGGCGTCGGAGGAAGGTCGTTAGCTTTAGATAACGACCGAAAAATGTGGACAGCCGACGCGACCGACGGCGTCCGCTCGCGACGGCCTTGACGCGCGCGGCTCAAGGCGCGCGGGTCCGACCGGTTCGACGACGCCGACGACGCCGCCGCCGACGACGACGACGACGCGCGGGCGTGGCTCAACGAGGAGTCCATCGGCGAGGCCGGGAGCGTCCTCCTCCTCGTCCTCATGTCCATCCTGTACGGCAGCGCGGTGCCCGTCTTCTACGACCCGACCGCCGCCGCGGCGTGGAGGCTCACCCCCGGGCTGCACACGTTCACGCGATCGTTCATCGCCGCCGCGCTCCTCGCGCCCGCGTTTGTGTTCCTCCCGCCCGCGCCCGCGAGCGCGAGGCGGGGCGGCGCGATCGACCCGGGACGCGTCGCGCGGTTCGGCGTCGAGTTCGGCGTCGTCGTCTTCCTCGCGACGTTCGCGCAGTGGAAGCACGCGGATAACGTCGCGCCGGAGTCGTTCTTCCTCGCGCTCGCGCTCGCGCCCGTCCTCGCCGTGGTCTCGCGGCGCGGCGTGCCGGGCGCGGAGGTGCCCAGCGACGTCCCGACCTCCAAGTTCGAGAAGGGCGCGGCGACGCAGGTGCGACGACGACGCGTCGGACGGATCGCCCAGATCCATCAGACCGCAGTCCCCGCGCTCTCCGCCGACCGCGCTACGCCAAAAATGCCAGCTGGCGCGTCGACCGAACCCGAACCGAACCAACCGAACCGAACCGCCGTCTCTGACCACCCGCGCGCTTCCCCACCCCACCCTCCCTCGCCCTCTATCAGGTGGGCGTCGCCATCCTCGGGATGCTCGTCCTCGTCAGCGACCAGGACACGGACGTCCTGTTCGAACCGTGGGGCGTCGCCGCCGCGGTGCTGGTCACGTCTCTCATCGTTCGATCGGAGGTGCTCGTCGCGCGGGAGAGCCTCACGGCCAAGGCGAGGATCGCGGCGGTGCAGACGGCGACGACGGCGACGCTCGCCGCCGCGTGGGCGGCGAGCGACGTCGTCGCGGCGGCGTCGGGTTCGTCGAGTAGCGTAATAACGGACGCGTTCGAGGCGTTATCCTCGCTGCGCCTGCCGCTCGGGCAGCTCGCGTACCTCGGCGTCCTCACCGGCGTCGTCAGCGCGTGCGAGCTCGTGGCGATCAACAAGTACACGCAAGGGTACGCGATGCTCGCGTTCGGGCTGATCCCCGTCACCGGCGCGGGGTGGCAGTGGCTCGCGGGCGGCGACGGCGTGAGCCTCGCGGAGGGGATCGGGTCGCTGTCGTGGGGGGAGGTGATCGCGCTCGCGACGGCGGCGCCGCCGTCGTTGCTCTTCTTTCTGACGAGAAGGACGGGCGTTTCGAGGCGAGAGGCGGAGGGGGGAGGTGATGGTAAAGATGGCGCGGTCGGCGCGGTCGGCGGCGTCTTCTCTCGTCTCCTCGGCGGGGGAAAGAAGAAACGCGGCGCGGACGACGGTCACGACGGTCACGACGACGACGCCGACGACGCGAGGGACGCGGGGCCGAAGCCCGAGGGGATCATGGGCAGCGTCGTCGGCAACCTGTTGAAGAACCCGTGGTGGGCGACGAAAGTGAGCAAATCCGGGGCGCTGGCCGGCGGGAAAGGCGCGCTGAAAGGCGCCGGCGCGCTCAAAGCGGGGAAGGGCGTCAAGGGCGCGTCGCTGCTCGCGAAGGCTGTCGTCGGCGAGAGCGTCGTCGGCGCCGTGCAAACCGGCGTGACCGGGCTCATCGAGGGCGCGGACATCGGCGAGGCGGTGATGGAAGCCGAGGCGGTCATCGAGGCGGTCGAGGCGGAGGGGCTCGCCGGCGCCGCGTCCACCTTCGCGGACGGTGTCGTCGCGTCCGTGGACGGATTGATGACGGAGAGCGCCGCGAGCGTCATCGCGAGTCAGTCCACGAGCGCGACCGTCGTCGGCGTGGGAGGGGTTTCCGCCGGCGGCGTCTCCGCGAAAGCCGCGGGGGGCGCGGCGGCGAAGATAGGCGGCGGGTTGGCGCTGAAAGCCGGCGCCGCCGCCGTCGCGGGGGCGTCGGCGGTGGTCGGGTACAGCTCGACGCTGCCGGGGTGCGCGCCGGGGGAGTACGAGACGATTCGCGCGGCCGCCGCGCAGGTGGACGGCGTCGCGGAGAGCGTGGCGGCGGCGGCGGCGGCGGCGGCGGACATTCCCGTGTGCAGCGTCGACCCGGGCGCGCTCGCGGAATTAGTCAGCGACGGCCTCAACGCGATCGGCATCGACGTGCTCGGATGAGGGCGGCGCGCAGATGTTTGTTTAGTAGTCTAATAACAGCATAGCTTCGTTCTCACACGCGACGCCGCGTCGCGAGAGTCTCTCGTTTCGTTCGCGACGACTGCGGCGCCGCGTTTAATCGTAAAAAAACGACGCGCGCTTCCCGCCGCCGGGAGACCCGTCCTCGCCGGCGGCGTCCTCGCGCGCCTCCCTCTCCGCCGCCTTCGACGCCGCGTACGCCTCGAGCGCGTTCAACCGCGACCCGCTCCCGACGTTTATCATCCGCTGAATCCCCAACACGCTCCGGCTCAGAAACCGCTTCGATCGCGTCGTGATCGCCCACGGCACCGCGCTCGCGCCGTGGTCGCCGGGGAGCTCCCTCAGCGCGGCTCTCGCGTCTCGCTCCCACGACGACACCATGGACGCGGTGACGCCGCACGCGCGCATCATCCCTCGCAGCAAGAACACCGTCCGAATCGTGAAAAAACCCTCCTCCGTGTTCTGAACGATCTTGTTGCGCAGAAACGGCGAGTTGTTCAGATCGAACATGTTAATCTCCGCGAGCGCCGACGGCCGCGTGTCGAAGTACGCGTAGCACAACGCGGTGAGCGCCTCCGTGGTCGGCCGCTCCAACTTCACCTGCGAGCGCGTCCGCACCTCGTTCGCGATGGCGCGAGGGTCCTCCGCGCACATGTGAATCACGAGCCGGCAGAGGTGCGCGCGGTACGACGCCGGCGCGATCTGCGTCTGCCCCCAGTCTAAGATGGCGAGCTTCCCGTCGCGTCGGAGCATCAGATTCCCCGGGTGCGGATCGCTGTGGTAGTGCCCGTGCCTCAGCAGCATGACGCCCCAGGCTCGAAACACGGTGTGAAAGACGCCCTCCCAGCCGTCGCCGCTCGCGCCGCCGCCGCTCGACGCGTTGTGGACGTCGCGCGCTCTCGAGGGCAGCCGCGGGACGCGTCCTCTCCTGCGCGCGCGATTGAGCGCGTCCAAAACCTTTACCCCTCGGACGCGTTCCATCACGAGGACGCGCGCGCCGCTCAGTTCGTCCACGACGCGCGGCGTCGCGACCCTGTCGGACAGCCCGTGCGTCTCGAACACCTCGCGAAACTCCGATATCTTCCTCGCCTCGACGTTGAAGTCAAACTCGTGCTCGATGACGCTCTGGTACGCGCGAAAGACGGTGGGGAAGTCGACGCCGTTGTCGAGGCCGACGCGTTTCAACGCGATCGACGTGTGCAGCATCGACGCGACGTCGCCGATCATCATCTTCTTATCCGCGACCAGCACCTTCACGACGACATCGCGGCCGTCGTCGCGCAGCGTCGCCGCGTGCACCTGCGCGATCGACGCCGTCGCGAGCGGGCGCTCGTCGAACCGCGAAAAGCGCTCCGAGAGCGCGCACCCTAACGATCGCTCGACGACGCGCTTCACTACGGGGAACGGCGTCGGCGGGTTCGCGTCCATCGTCCGCGCGAACGACTCCAAGTACGCCGGCGGCATCATCTGCTTCGCCGTGCCCATGATCTGCCCAACCTTGCGGAAGAAGCCGCCAAAGTCGCATATGACGCGTTCCATCTCTCTCGCGCCCCACGCGTGCGTCTCGTTCCACGCCGCGTCGCGCGCCGCCGGCTGTTTGATCGTCGCGCGAATCAGCCGCTTCTTCGCCGCGTACGCGACGACGACGGGCGCGACGCGCACGGCGTACTCCGCGCGCCGCGTCTCGCGCGGCGCCACCTTCCGCGCGACGGTTCGCACGACGAAGAGACACGCGTGCGCTCTCGCGTACGACGACGCGCACGCGCGGAACGCGCGCGCCGCGGACGCGAGCCGCAACCGCGACGCGACGTCGAGCGCCGCCGCCGGGGACACGGGGGACACGGCGCGGAGGCTTCGCATCGCGGCGCCGTCGGGGCTCGTCGCCGCGTCGCGGAGGCGAGCCGCGATGCTACCGGAGGCGCCGGCGCCGGCGCCGATGAGCGCGAGCGCGGGCGCGGCGACGGACGCGCACGCGGCGACGCGAAGACCTCGAAGGAGCCGCGGCGCGTAGCATCCCGCGAACGCGTCGAAGACGAGGACGCCCGAGGCGGCGCGCGTCGCGCGAGCGGTCGCGACGACGAGCTCGACGACGACCACCTTCCCGGGCGTCGCGCGGACCGCGTCGAGCGCATTACGCGCGGCGTCGCGGACGCGCGCGCCCGCGCCGAGGACGATCGCGAGCGGGCCTTCTCGGGACGTCGCGTCGTTTACATTTCCGCGCGTTTTCCGAGATCTCGCGGATCTCGTCTTCCGCGACGTCGACGACGGCGGGCGACGCGTCTCGCCGTCGCCTTCGCCGTCGATGTTGTCGCCCTCGAGCGCATCCTCGAAGACGTCGTCGTCGACATCTCCTGGCTCGCCGCGGACGGCGACGCCGTCGGTCTCGAGCAGCAGCGTCAGGCGGTCGAGATCTTCGTCCGAGAGTCGGTCCAGCGCGTCGTCGTCGTCGTCGTCGTCGGCGGCGGCGGCGTCGCTCTCGACCGCCGCCGCCCACGGGTCGCGCACGGGGTACGCGGGCACGAGAAGCGGAAGCGGAGGCGGGGGCGGGGCGGGGCCGCCGCCCCAGGGAGGCGTCCAGCTCATGCGCGGGACGCACTGATGACGGGGACGACGGAACGTGTCGGAAGTAAAATAATATTCTCAACGGATAAACATCCAACAACGCCGCGGCTACGACCCTCCGCCGCCGCCGCCGCCGCCGATCGTCCCCTTCGCGAGGTTGCACTTCTTAAACAGATGCGCGATCTCCGACTTCCGGTACGGCCGCGTGCTCAGGCACGTCGGGTAATTCTCCGGCTGCTCCATCCACAGCTTGTGATCGACGCCCGCCTCGGTCAGCCTTCCCGCGAGCGTCGTCAACTGCGCCTCGCCCTTCACCTCCAGCACCACCTTGCGCATCTCGTCGATGGCGCCGGGGGCGCAGTACGCGCGCGTGTCGTCGTGGTCCTTGAACGTCCACACCGCCGCGACCGCGGCGTGCGCGGCCTGCGCGCACACGCTGCCGAGCGGCCATCCCAGCCCTTGCCCCAGATCCTTGCGAAGCACGACGTACTGCACGAGCGGCGATGAGGGCGGAGGCGCGTCGGCGTCGGACGCGGTGGCGGTCGTCGTCGCCATCGCGCGGCGCGCGGGGTGTCGCCGCGGCGCGAGCGCGAGCGCGCGCGACGACGACGACGACGACGCGGGGGTCCGACGGACGACGACGGCGCGTCGGACGAGCGCGTGCACGGACGTCGCCACCGCCTGCGTCGCCGCGGCGTGCATCCCAGCGTCGCCGACTGTGGCGATTATTCTCTTCAGTTTCTACATCACCTCTAAGTTTTTTCTTCTCTTCAAAGTCTACGTCCACTATGCGCCGCGCGTGCTCTCGGCGCGCTCGCGCGTCAGGTCCGGTCCATCGCTCGTCGTCACGCCACCTCCGCGCTGGATAAATAATACCCGTTGTAGTCCAGCTGTCGCAACAGCGCCGCCGCCCGCCGCGGGTCCACCCCACCCAACGCGCCGCCGACGTCGCGAGCCGCGTCGCGCAACCGCGCGCACGCCTCCCTCGCCGCGACGGTAAACCTCGCGTGCACGCCCTGCGCGGCGGCGTACAGCGGCGCGTCCGTGAGAAGCGTCTCCGGGGTGGACCGTCGCATGGCCGCGCGGAAGTCCAGCGCGAGCTGCAGCGTTCGGTCGACGGCGCGGAGAAGCGACGCGTCGCGGGGCGACAGCAGACACGCGGCGTGCGCGTCCGACGCGTGCGCGACGAACGCGTCGCGCAGCTCGTACAGGTCGCGCGGGCGCACGGCGCCGGGGTTTCCGGAAGAAGAAGAAGAATTCGAACCGTCCCCGCCGGAAGAAGAAGAATACGAATCGTCGCGCGCGCGCAGCCGCGCGTTAAGCGCGTGCATCGCGTGGCCGTGCACCTCCCCGCCGACGTGCGATTCCACCGCGCCGACGAAATGCCGCAGCTCGGCGGATAACAGCGAGAGGCGGCGGAGGCGGCGCGACGCGAGCGCGCGCTTCGCCCTCCCGGCGCCCCCGCTCGCCCCCCCGCCGGCGACGGCGACGTTCCCCGCCTCGAGCACCCGCGCGTGCGCCTCCTGCAGCGCGAGCCGCGCGTGCCGCGTCCGCAGCACCGCGCGCTGCGCCGCCGCGAGCTTCGAACGCGCGGCGCGCGGCCACAGGAGCGACGCGGGCCACTAGCGAACGTCGGGGTGGAGTTGAAAGGCGTCAGAAGCGGAGTTGAAAGGCGGCGAGGGCGGGGATTGAAAGCGAGGGACCCTGGGCGGAGAGATGCGCCGGGCGAAGTCCTTAAGGATCGGCGTTCACCACGCCAACGCGGTCGTATGGGGACCAGTGTGAGATAGAACGCACCTCCACGTCGTACGCGCCGTCCACGTGGTCCACCATTCGCGCGTCGTGCTCGCTGAAGGACGCGCGGCGCATCGCGTCATCGCGCTCGCGCGTGAACGAGAACCCGGGGAATCCTCCGTCGTCGATCGCGATGGCGTCGTCGTCGCCGCCTCGCTCCGCCAGAAGCGGGTCGCGCGGGAGGAGCGACAGCCGCGACGCGAGCGGGTCCGACGCCGCGGAGGATTCCCGCGTCGCGGCGTGAAGCGCCGTCGAGAGGCGCGACGCGTCGAGCGTCTCGCCCTGCCGCGCGGCGCCGCCTCGCGCGGTCGCGCGGTCGTCCACTCGCGCGGCGAGCTCCAAGCCCTCGATCAGACGCGTCGCGAAGTCGCCCGCGCCGAGGAGAACGTACGCGTCGATCGCCCTCGCGTGCGTCTCGACGCCGAGGTGGTCGAGCAGCGTCCGCGTCACGAGCGACGACACGACGGCGTGCGCGTCGACGACGCGCTTGAAGACGCACTCGGCGAGCGTGTGCTCGAAGGGGATCTCGAGGGGGGCGGCGTCGTCTCGGTCGCCGTCGCGCGGCGCGAGCGCGCCGACGATCGAGGCGTCGACGATCGAGGCGTCGACGTCGGGGGGACGCGCCAAAGAGGCGGGCGCGTCGACGTCGACGTCGACGTCCATGTCCGTCGCCGGCGGCGGCGGC